TGAAGTCAATGTGGTGGTTGGTGTCGTCGTCCTTTTCGAACTCGACAGGCTGCAGCTGGAAGCCTGCAAGAGTGCTTGCCGACGGGAGGCTGGCAGAGAGGGTTGTGAGCTCATCCGTGTCATCGAAGCTGCTGGCGTTGGGATCCTAAAATAGAGTTAGTACTATTGAGATATAACACACTTAGGCTTTTAGAAAGAAAGCGGGCTTACGGGTTCCTTGTCATCTGCCTGGATCTTGACGTTTGAGTCAGGGGTGAAGTCAGGCACAATGACATTCTCCAGCTCCTTCAAGTAAATCGACTTGTCGGTGCCGGGCGACTTGATGTTAAAGTTGAACGCATGAAGGTTCGCGGCAGCCACGATAAATCCGAAGTGAGTCGGGTTGTTGGGGTCGAACTTGAGGGCATCTGGAGCCCTCTTCGGACCAGACCAGAAGGGAGTGCCGCCCGAGGTCACCGAGTCCTTGGGGAAGTTGTACAACAGCTGCTGGACCTTGTTTGCAAACTCCGTCTCAAAGAGGAGACGAGCCCAGGCAATGCAGTCCTCAAAGGTCCGGGGTCGCTCGGTGGTAAGGTAGTTGCGGATCGTCTCCAGGGTTTCCTTCTGGTTGCCGCCTTGCTTCAGAGTGGCCTCGATGAAGTTGGGCTGAGTCAGATAAAGGTTCACAGTCTGGGGAGCTTTGACGAAGCACTTCTCAAACATGTACTCCTTAGCCCAGGCAATAGTATGGTCAATCTTGTTGGGGAAGCTTCGGATTGTGCACATGGGGAACTCCTTCTCCGGGGGGTCTTGGGAAGAAGAGTAAGACTCTGTCAAATGGGGCAGGACAACTTGCGTGTTGCCCTTGGTGCCCAGAGTTCCGCTCTCCAGCAGCGGCTTTCGGAAGAAGACGCATCTTCGGTCAACGTAGGTTCTCGCTTCGACATTGTCCAGGGCGTTGGTGACTCCATCCAGGCTACGCCAAAACTCCTCATTGAAGACATGCTCAGTCTCGGGACTAACGCGCTCTCGCAAAGTCTCAATGTGGCCTTCAAGCTCTGGGTTCATTCGCTGCACGGCCCTGGCAGCGCAGTCGCTCTTCATGCTGCCGACATCAGCGGCTCGGAAAAGGAACTGTCGGTTGAGGTTGCTCTTCTCGATGGAGTCCATATCGGTGACGTAAATCTTGCCCTTGGGTCCTGTGCCCAAGCCAATCATGGCCCAGTTCTTTAGCATCTCACAACCAATGGCACCCGCACCAACGAGGAATTGCTTGAGATTGGCAATCTTCTCCTGGTACTCGGTTCCAAAAACAGCAATCTGACCGTCGTAACGGCTACCGATGGGCTTGCACAGCTCGGGGCTTCGCTTGGTAGAAGTAGGGAGGGACTCGAGGGAATCAAAGTACATCCATTGTTGGATGGGGTTGAACTTGCCAGACACAGCCTTGAGAACCTCCTGAGCGGCGATACCGCCAAAAAGCGCTGCCATCGGGCTAAGGTCACCAAGAGCTTGGAAACTCAACTCCTTCAGAAGCTTCTCGTCAATATCGATTTCGAGTTTCTCATCGGCGGCAAACGTCTTGGCGGCCTCGAGAACGACAATGGCGTCTTTCTCGTCCATGGGGTTGGGAAGTCGTCCATTGGCGACTTGGAACGCATGGAGGGCCTGGAATCCAAGATGAAGCTGCTGGGGTCGATCGAACTTGGCGTAGTCGGAAATGAGGAACTCTGGCTCCTTCAGGGCGGCTGTGAAGCTCTTGAAATCGACGACCTTGGGCATCTTGACCTGCTGATAAGTTCCTCCACGCTGGTACTGTCCGAGGCCGGACACATCACCAATGGAGAAGGTGTACGGACCCTTAACCGTAATCTTACGCGGCTCGCATTCATTCAACGCCTCCATGCCCTCAACTTCGGAAAATGTGACGTAGTCGCCATCTTCTAAACCGTGGCGAGTCTCATCGAGTGCCGACACCAGACCCTCTTCGTCGATGCCAGCAACGATACCGCTCAAGGCGGCCTCGCCGTTCTGATCGATAATGGTAAACTTATCACCAAAGTCACAGAAGATGGAGCCAAAGAGGCCGAATGTGTCGACAATGACAACGTAAATGCCCTTGGAGTGGCAGTAGTCGCCCACAGCTTTTTGTGTCGAGATGGGCGCATTGGTCAGCACCACAACCTGATACTTGTCGAATTGGGCGAAGTTGTCCTCAATGCTGCAATTTGTGATTAGTTATGCTCTCCTGAAAACGAAATCTGAGACTTTGGTGGCCATACCTAGGAGACTGGTGAACCTTGACGGGGGTATAAGCGTTGAGCTCTGCGACGTGCGGGGCCGTGACTTCATCTCTGGGCTTGCCGACATCCTTGGGAGTCAAGAAGAACTGGGCTGAGAGATCGGCAATCTGGACCGGGGCAGGGTCGTAGACAGTCAAACTCTTGACACCGGCCAAGGCAATGTTCTTTGCAATCTCGACACCGAGACCCTTGAGACCAACGACGAGGACGTTGGAGGCGCCCATGCGGCGCATGGCTTCGTGTCCTAAGACATAGAGCTGTCGGCTGTATAGAGACTCATCGATTTCTGTAGTTCCGACGACGGATTCATCGACTTGCATGCGGGTTGCAAGATCGACCTCGGGAAGCTTGGCGGCCTGTTGGTTTGAAGCCGACGGTCAGTTTCGCGCCTTTCTCGGAGGGAACCATCTATCAACCTACAGCCATGGTTCTCTTGAGGTTCTGTTGAGACTCCCCTTCAGAGAGCCTTCGCTTCGCCAGCGTTCCGGGGCTGGGCTGTGACGAAATCTTGGATATGGTGATCCAGCACCTAGGTCGAGCGTGACCTCACCCAGATGCTGCTGATAAAGAGGGGTGACGGTGGCTAGAGAAGAAGCCTGCTGCGTGTCTGGCGGTGCGAGAGAAGAGTCGTTTGGCTTGGTGGAAGACGGCGGTGATTCTCTTGTCGACAAAGGACAAGAAGAAGAGCGTTGGAAGAGAAGAAGTTGGTTTGTAATGAGCAGGATTCAGAAGTGCTGGCTTGCACTGGACATGACAGGCTCCAGTTCTTTCTGATGAGGTAATGTGGCTAATCGTGCCACTGTAATACTGTGCTAGCAGCAGCGACGGGAGTTTGGCAGCTGTTGCCCTGCTGCTGACAGAGGGGTACAAGCACAAGGGATCCATCTGGGTACTACTATAGGTACAAGGCAGAAGTACCGAGAAGAGGGGCAGCAAAAGCTGAGGCAACACGGGCGGGGCAACAAGGCGGGGCACTGAGGCTGTGATTGGCTAAGACGGCCAGCTCTTAGAAATAGCTCGAGGTACCTGCTTTGGAACCGGTCAGAGCGCCATGGAAGCTCGAGCGTTTTTTCAGGGACGGACCGGATAGCTTCAACGGTTTTGATACAGAGGGAATGTATAGGGGAAGAGTCAGGATTTACAGTGTATAAATGAGCTGAACGGCGACAAGGTGCTGGGCTTGTGCGTAGAGCTTCCGATGGGTCCGGCTGCTTAGCAGTATAGAGAGAATGGAAGCTGTCATTTAGAGTGCTGTTGTCCGTCGTTCCGTGGTTGACAGCTGGATACGATTGAACATAAAGAGTTGGACCGTTGGGCCGGGCGATATCATCAGTCGATTTTAAGCAGGTTCGTAGATACTTCAAGTTTATCTTCTACTGCCTCTAGGTGCATGTATGTAGTTGTGCCAGCGTGCTGGGCTACACGATGCATGAATACGGCATCAAGTCACGGGAGACGAATGGCAAGAAAATTGATCTTCTGAGAAGAGCACAAGACAATCTTGAATCTCTAGAACTATCCTGTGTTTGATATATCCAAAAAATGGCTCTGTCCAAAATTATACTTTTTAAATGTCGCGGTTCGTACATGCATCGCCAATTTATTTCTTTGGAATGATTCGCTTCAGATGAACGTCGCTACCAACAATGTCAGATGTCACGTTCGTAGAAAATACTACATATAGATACTCAATTCGACTTACAAGATGAGGTCAGAGTTGGCAGGGATAAGATCGCCGCCAACAGACCTAGAAGAATGTTAGCATGCTCATGCAATCTTCGTTTTGTTGTACCATATTTCGTCATTGGGCAGGCCAATTCGTCTGGATTCGTTTCTTGACCGTCGTAGTAAAAATTTGATCGGCTTACCTGTTGCCATAAGCGAGGTGGCTATTACGAACCATGTTAGTAAGACGTCCAAACATTGAATACGACCATATGTGCGTACCTGGGAATATCGAGTCTGGCCTTCTCGCCGAGCTTCATGGTAACAACGCCCTCGTCCCAACCTGCGCAATATTGTCAATGTAAGACCTACGTGGAATCAGTGGATAAACTGTACCCGCGATGACTTGTCCAACACCAATCTGACAGCTAAAGCCTTCGCCCGGCCGGTCGTAAGAAGAGTCGAACCTAATATCGCACATAAGTAAAAACACCAACGAACAGTGTATGGCATTGTCACTCACTTCTTTCCCTTGTTGTCCGGCTGGGAGGTGTCCTTCAGCCAGCCGGTATAGCCCATGATAACGGTGTCCTTCGCCTTGGGCAAGTCGCCGGAGCCTTCTTCGAGGATAGTCTTGGTGAGTTGGTTGGCCATTGTAGCAAAAAGTGGTATAATCAATGATGTTGTAAAATGCTGGTCAAATTTCGACTGGTAGGGAGACAAGAGGGGAGCTCTGTAGCTTTATGTCCGCAAATAAATTGACCCCCTCCATGGGAAACTGGTAAGGAGGCATTTCAGCGGGGTAAAAGTCAAGTCCTTCTTACGAGCTGATCCACGATGACGACTTTGGCGCAAGGATGGGAGGGGAGCAGTGCCACGTTGCTATCCCTAAATTGTCATACGGAATCCAGTTGTCCAGTTACCTCTCGCATCCACAGAGTATTGCTGCTTGCGAATTTGCCCCGCCCAAGTCTGCGTATGCTTGGCGGAAGCTTCATCAGCCGCATGTGTGCCTGCTTATGGATTAGAACTTCGGGTCGGCGGTGTTATGCGCTAGGCCAAGGGCCGCGGTGAGGCGTCCAGAACGTTAACCGGCATTTTGGACGGGTCGACCCCTATCAGGAGCAGCCGTCCCAGTCGAGATCCAAGAGCGAGTAGAGACCCCGCGACATCGATATCTGATGCTGAGATTCTGAATGCGGGTGGCAGCCAGAGCATATTGCGCGAGTCCCACGTAATCCATTCCCCGTCTTTGCTAAGACCAAGTCCAATCGTATTTACCGCCCTTTGGCTGCTGAAGGATGACCTTGCATGAACACAAGTAGCTGAGCTAGGCGGGTCAAATTCAAGGGTGCCCACATTGGTGATTACTCGTAGGCTGGAACCGGCAGATGAATCGAATGCCATGTGGTTGGCAAGCCCACAAATCCCAACGAGCTTATCAAGGCAGTGTCCTGTTGCGACACTCAGAATCTCAATCTTGATTTCCCCAGCTTCGTACAGAACGACAAGGTATTGTTCATCAGGAGAGAAAAGCAGTTTGCTTATGTTGCTTGTAGTATCTGATGTTGAAGTATAATTGGCGATGCATGTTCCGGTGTCTGCATCCCAAATTTTGACTTTTGACTTTGCGTTAGAAGCAAGCTTGGATCCGCTTACCGACATTGTAACAATCATCACGGGACTATCATGGGCCTCGTTCATTTCCTTGCAATTTCTAGTTGAAGGATGGAACAAACGGACCATTCCATCGTCGCAGGCGAGAACGAGCTGGGTACCATCTGCTGTGTAGATTGATGAAGATATACTGTAGGTTCCTCCTCCGAATGAACCAAGAGGTTTCTGCGTCGTCGTGTCCCAGTACCTCATGATACCATCCCTGGACGTTGATGTTACGGTTTTACCGTCAGGTGAAAATGCAATTGATAGAATAGAGTCCGTGAATTCGTCGGACAACAACTGGCAGTCGCCGTTTGCTGCGTTCCAAAGTTTAATGCTGACAGCTTCCCAACCATCAGTTGAGGATAAAATTGTCGAGCTGTCTGCCGAAAATTCGATCGACCTTGGAAAGCCAAAGAGTCCACGAGAACTCATGATATGATCGAAAGGAGCCGTAGGAATATCTTGAGGAACCATCAAGGGAATCCAAGCAAAAATTCGGTGGTCTGTGCCCATCGACAGACATTTACCTGTAGTTGAATCCCATAGTCGCACCGTGCGGTCTCCAGAAGTGGTGATAATCTTCTTCTTGTCTGGGGAAAAAATAACTTCGAGGACTGCGCTCTTATGGCTTTCGATCTCAGCACTCTCATGGCTTTCAACCTCCGCTGATTGTATTGCCATGTTAGCATCCCAGACTTTGAAGATTCCATTCGTGTCTGCCGATATAAGCAGCATCTCATCAGCTGAGTAAGTGAGGCTGGCAATACCCTCGTCGTGGCCATCATATATTCTGATGCAAGTCATCGTATGCGTGTCCCATACTCTTATGCTTTTATCGTATGAAGCTGAGGCAATCCTATTCTCATCCTTTGATAAGATAATCTCTGATATGGTAGCGCGATGACCTTCTAAGAGAGAGTCGCAAGTGGCTCTTAAAGTATTCCAGATGCCAATCCCATGACCATTCTCGACACTTGCTTCCATGGCAGTAATGACTCGGAGTCCGTCAGAAAAGAAGAGCAAACCTCCGCGAACAGTATTCCCGGCCCCTTTAGCTACCAGAGAATCACCTGAAAGCCTGTCCAGAAATCTAATTGTACCTCCTGAATAAATAGATACTAATGTTTGGCTGTTCGGAGAAAAGGAAGCTGTCTCCACGTATTTGTCGGCATAGTTGATTGTCAGCATCTGGCCAGTCACTCTCGAACTAAGTAGTCGAATAGTTCTTTCATTCGAAATCACTAGAAACGTTAATCCATCTGGAGAAAATCCTACCATCCTATCACGGTTATCTATATTAAAGTCGTGAATCGCGACGGGCTTGTGAGATGCTCTGTCCCATATCATTAATGTCCCATCTTCTGAAACTGATGCAAATTGTTGCCCATCTGTTGAGAAAATGGCCCGTTTAATCTTGCCAGCATGGCCACTATATTCTGCAACACAACTTCTCGTTGAGGCATCCATAATTCGGAGTTGTTTGCATCCAGAAATGTAGAGTATTTCTGTACCATCAGGTGACACCCAAGCAGTGGTAGGCAAATAATTTTCGTATGTTGCGACGCAGGATGCTGTTCTTGCATCCCACATTTTGAGTTGCCAGGATTGAGAAAGAAATCTACTTTCGACGGGAATTGCCAAGAGATTGGCGTTCGTCATACTCCGGTCTTCGAATGTGGCTAGGCAAGGATCCCAGTGGGATTGCATTGCTGGTAGGGTATGCAGCCATGTTGGGATGCTTGACTTGAACATGCATCTTACAACGCTTTTTTCCGGAGCAAAAATTAACGCCGATGAGTATATTTGGAGCGGCGCTTTATTGAACGTCGCAATATTCGCCTGAATGAATCGCTTTGCGTCTCGTAAAAGGTTCCCAATGTCTTGTGCGTTTTTTGCCTTTGAATTGTTCGGTCAGCTACACTTATAATAATCATGTAAACTAAGAGGACGCTGACCTCGAGTTTGTAGAGCAAGTCATCCATCATGTGAACGCTCTCTGTAATCCGGCCTATTATGCTAAGTGCTTCAAGCCAATTGAGTAAGTATCTTGCCAAAAATTTGTGTGTTTGGTCATTATCACAAATCCAGAGGCTGCTCAAACTCAAGTGATGGACCCAGTATATGCAAGCATATTGGACTGCGCCAGGTAGATGCTCATCAATAGCATTTTGTTTTATATCAGATCTTAGTGTACCTGGGCTTCTAAGAAAGCAAATGTCTTCTTTGAGGACGCTATCTGTAGATAATAACTTGATGCATTGAGAGAATAGCTTTGAGTGAGCCTCGGATTCATCTACCCAGAAAGGATATTTGCTGAGATTAAGCTTCTTTTCAGAGTCAACCAGGAAATCTCGGAAAGAAAGATGCAATAGTCTCACAGGGGTATCTAGGTCAGTAGGAACACCAAGTACTGAATGTAAAAGGTCAAGTTGATCTTCGATAGCGTCCGTAGACATGGCCAGGAGATCGGCGAGGCTCCGTATAGACAAAGGCTGAGCAAGTGTGATTATTGAACCAATTAAATACTGGAATCTAGTCAACACTTCTTTCCTGGCAGATAGAGGAAGGTCGGCAATAAGGTTGTCCAGGATTGGAAGGTATGTCATATCAAGACCGGATATGTGCATTTTTTGATACTCGAGAATCTTGCTTAATTGATGCTGAGGGCCTCCCAACCTTCTATCTTTCAAGAAGCGGCATATTGTTGCGGCAACAATAAATAACGGGACGGCTGAGTCGATAAGTTGTTGCACAACATCATCGCCAGGCCAGCCGGTAGATATTTTGCGATGTATCGAGACAGACTTGTTGTAGTCCATTTTAATCGCATTGAGTTGGTGTTTCATGAAAAGCGCTATATCATGCTCAATAGTAGCTTTTGGCACTGTCGCGAGGAGCAGATGGTCGTATTTCCCACTAATCTCCTCAAAACCGAGCCGAATGGGCAATTCAGGTCTGCTTGTGAGAAAAACTTTTAGCCGTGGATTATTCCTCTGTTGAGCCTTTGAGAAAATGCCGATTAGTGTCCTCATATTCTCTTCATTGCCGCATTCGTCGAGAGCGTCGACCACAATGAGCAAACTCGACGACCAACATCCCGGAGTGTTTTTCAGTGGATCTAAAATCAGCTTTTGGAACTGATCACCCAGAGGTTTTTCGTGAATTTGCGGTTCGAAATCAAGAACCTCGCGGATTCGTGAAGCAATGGAAGGAATTCGACGGACTAGCTGGGCGGCGATTGTCGTAATGAGAAAATTTGTTCCGCTGCGATCTCCTCCGCCTCTTTTGAAGAAAAAGCTAGCACCTAGTATATTCTTGTTCGCAAATGATTGTGCGATTGTGCGGGAAATGGTAGATTTTCCAGTGCCTGCCATGCCGTTGAGCCAGAAGACTGACTGGCTGTCTGAGTTGGCGCCCCATTCCTCTATTTGGGCAATGATATGACTCCGTGTGCCATCCAGGCAGAAAGATTGCTCCCCGTCTGGACTGGAATCGAAGGTAGCCGCGTCCGCAATTCGTAGCTTGGATAGAACAATCTCTTGGTGAACATCTAAAAGGACCGACCTGGTTACTGTTAGGATTGAGAACTCGAATAGCCCAAGTAGCCCAAGTGACTGGAATAGCTCAGATAGCTCCGATAACTTAAAATAACTCAGATGGATCAAATAGATCAAATAGATCAAATAGATCAAATAGATCAAATAGATCAAATAGATCAAATAGATCAAATAGATCAAATAGATCAAATAGATCAAATAGATCAAATAGCCATAGTAGCCATAGTAGTTATAGTAGTCATAGTAGCTAGTAGCAGCTGGTGGCTATAATAATAGCCACTAGGAGGAAGGGAACTGAATATCTTACGTTTGGTCAATGCTGATATTCAACAGAATATTGGCCTTCTGCCTTTCAATTGTTGCAAAAATCTCGTGAATATCTCGCTTTTTAAAAGGCCACACTGCTCTAGCATGCTTGGCTCCCAGATCCAGCTTTGCCACCATCTCTGCTAGGAGCCTGCGAAGGTCGAAGACTGCTTGGCGGAGACTCGGAGATTGTAGCTTGGAAGATCCTTTCGGGCTTTGTAGAAGGCTCTCAAGCTCTTTGATGACGGCCGTTAGCCGGTCAACCTCCTTTAACAGTCTTCGCACATCGCCGGGAGCCTTTTTGACGTCCACACAATAGATGGAGCACATGACACCGATCTTGACGAGGAGGTCAACGACCTGAGATATATTGGCCAGAAGCCCTAGGACGTCCATTGTATCTCCATTAGAAAGCCCGCTTCTCGGAGAAAAGGAAGCGGAGAGCGCTTATTAAATCAGCGTAGATAGAAATTGTAGAAAGAATAGAAGCGACAGCGTGAACTGAATGGGTACAAAGAAGATGAAAAGAGGTAGCAGAAAGAAAACGCCAGCAGAAAGAAAACGCCAGCAGAAAATAGGTAGTGATAATACAGGTATGCCGAATACGAAATAGCGTCGGTAGAAGAAAGTAGAAGAAAATAGCAGTAGCAGCAGTAGCAGAAACAGGAGCAGTAGTAGCGGTAGTAGAAACAGTAGCAGTGATAAAAAAAAACCGAACTGTTCTTGGTAGCAGGAGTATCGAATGGGTTGCAAAAACGGTGGAAATGAGTGAATTTGAACTGCAGGCAGAAGTGGCCATGTTCGTAAAATCAGGCGGGGATTTGTGAGGCCTGCCGGCAACGGCAGGGATGTTAGAAGTCATTTCATTATCACATTCACTTGCAACTATCCGAAGCAAACACAACCAACGCTCAGTTGCAGCTGCAGCTACCCTTGACTTTCGTCGGCGTTTGTGCAGTGCGGACTGGAGTTTTACCCATGACAGGGATTCTATAATCACCTATCAAATGATGGAGCTGCTATTAAGCGCCGAACTCGAAGCGCTGAGACGAAAATAAGATACGGCAGCGGCTATAAAAAGCAGATGACACTGCTAAAGACCACAAAAAAAAGTAGATTAGATAACAGAGTCGAAATACAGGTGATTGTGCTCCATTTAACTGGAACTATGTTGAATAGTTATACACATCCTTCCCGTGCAGGCACACTATTATACCAACGCTGACAAATGCAGCAAGTTTAAGCAATCATTTTAATGAATTACTGAGTGCTCACCGTACATGTAGCTTTCGCAGTGGTTGCTTTTGCATACGCTTTGGCGATAGACTGAACCTCAGCTGCACACTGCGCGGTCTATTGAGGAGTAACTGTATCAACTGTTTCGTACCTCAACGTTGATGAAACCAAATCTTTTTAATGAGTATGTCTGTGTTCACTGAATCCAAGTTCCTTGTTGTATATGCCAGGCTGGTGTTTTTACTGTTCATAGTGGTGATGAATACGTGGACGACAAGCTTTCCGCCAACGGGTGTGCAGGCGCAACCCTGGGATCACAACAATAACATTTGAAGACAAAAGGCGAGAAAGTGCTAGGCAGAGACAATATTAGCCAAAAAGGATGTATATTTTCTTACATCCTCTTCTATGTCGACAATAGAAGCCATTGTCACTTATGCATGAAGCTATTCTCTTATGGCACCTTCAAGAACCCGCCCCCTAAGCACAGCAACATTTCATCAACCCTCCCGATATTATTGACCCAGATTTTTGCTACTGCATCCTAAATCCTTTGCTTCGCATGAATTGCCCATTACAAAGAACATTAGACAGCCTGGGAGTGCACTGTGAGCGAGTGTGCAGCTACCAGCCTCGAGTGTCAACCAGGGGGATTAGTAGCTGGCCTGCACAGAGACTGGCAGCCCAAACTCTTGACAGCTGGCTGCCACTCGTCTTCCATCACGCGTTCATTATAAAGAAGAATTTCTGCCGGCTGCGTAAACACTGAAACGAAGTTTCCTCACACATCTCGCGTTTGTTGATTCGCGTCAAGATCAACACACGCTTCCTGCTTCTGAAGCTCAACCGTCCTTCAAATACAACGACGTGAGTGGTATCATGAGTTGATACCCATCCCCCTCGTTGGATACAGATGCTAATCAAGTCAAATAGCTTTCAAACCGTGCTCTTTCGCAGCCTAGTGGCCGCCATCATCCGTCAAGATGACTATTCTCCGAGAGCATAATCGAAGCCGCAGCTTGGAGACGCAACGTAGTGATTTCCTTCATGATCTCACCAACACGACTGACGGAATCCACTTCTCTTCTACCCAGCTTCTTACAGGCAAGGCTGATGAGAAAGAAGCCCTTGCTGTGCTTTGCCCTGAAAAGGCATACAAGGCGACCGAGATTGCTATTGTCCATTTAAGCAAGCTCCTTGTCCAGTGCAACAAATGGCTCCCTATTTTCGATGTGCAGGGACCCCGTACGTACTGGACCGTTGTTGCTACTACGACTTCTCAGATGCAAAAAATCGAGTTGTCGGAAAAAATGGCCAAGGATGTTGTGTTTGCTCTTCTCCGAGCCAGACAGCGCTGGATCCTTCGTCAGGACAACCCCAGAGCTGCCACCACTACCGTGAGATCTCACTTCATCGCCGGCCTCCAGCGACTTCTTCAACGATTTGAGGAAAAAGAAAAGGACGCCACGGCGTACCAGTTCAACACAGACAAAGACTGGAAGTTGACCGAGAAGGAGATCCGTGACGCCAAATCGCGCCTCATGGGCCCCGGAAGCCAGATGGCCGGTGGCCGTATTGGACTTTCCTTTCACTCTCCCCACGGCCTGTATCCCATCGCTCAGTTGTCCAGCGCTCCCATGCTGGAGAGAAACCTTCTCGGCATGCTTGACAGCTGCGTGGAGAAGATCACTCCGGCCGAAGCTGTGCAGGCACTTCTATCCAACCGGGCCATAGACGCTGTCAGGGTTGAGGGTTGGCAACGGAGTTGGTTCGTAGAGTCAGAAGGTAGCGACGATGACGATGAGCAAGGTAAGGTATCCCTTATTCCCAGACTCGTAGTCGCAATCGCTCTAACAGTTCCCCAGCCGCCGGCGTTGGTCATATCATTCCACCTGAGCAGGGGGACGAAGACGGGTGGCTTTACGAAAAACCACAACCCGAGCCCGTCCCTGTCCCGGCGATGACTATGAAGCGCTTCTTCAGCGAAGAGCCTGAGGACGACGGCCCGGCCAAGAAGCAAGTCTTTGACAAGGGAAAGGCCAGATCCGTCTCGACTCCGGTGGTCAGCCAGCCGCCGCTGACTCCAGGCAAGTCGGCCAGGACTTCTCGCTCGACCTCTCTGCAGGTCTCCCAGACGTCCAAGAAGTAAAGGATACGTGCTTTTGACATGCATCGATCATTGTTGCAAGTATCTTACGAATTGGCTTGAATCAGAGTAGTGGATATTTGCTTTTGAACGACGCTGGATGGATGGAACATTATGTCACAATGGCTGGATGGGTGGGCTGACATTATTCATGAGTTGATATACGGAATGGGCTTATAGGTTGAAGGGTTTCGGGAACATGTGTATGAGTTAGCAATCTATAGCCCCAGATGATTCCAAAAATCAACTTCAAAAATTGACTCGCAAGATGTTGAAATTGTTGTTTGATGTGAGGATATGAGGAAGTGGTTTTTAGTGCAGAAGTGATGGATCGCTTTGAACGCTTTCCTTCCATCCGCCGGACGCGTTACAAATTTCACAGCATTCTCAAGCCTACCCGGAGCCTTGCCTGGGTGGATAAGCGAGGCTGTGAAAGAATGGAAGGATACATATATTAACGTTGCCATAGCAGCAATACTCTGCAAGTTCCAACACAACAATACCCTCTAGTTTAGAATACAACTCTGTATTGATTTCTCTGAAGTAAAATGGCGAATTCTTATCCAGTGATTATTAAATGTGTCTTGGAAATGCCTCTCTTGGCGAGCGAAAGGGCCAGTACTTTTCAAGTAACACAATCTTGGCGAAGTGGCAGTGCTGGCTCTTGGCAGGAGTAGCAGCTTAGATTCGGCGGGTCACGATGCGACCGACATGACTTTGACTTGGGATGGACATGGAGGTGGTAGTTGGTTTGTATGCGAGAGCCACCAAGCTGTATTAAAATCAAACAAATACTTCAATAATCTTACGGTATTTTGCATTATCTATCTCGTGTTTATCTTAGCTGCAACTGTATCGGGCTGTATTAATAGCATGGAGCACATGCCAACAGCTCAACTCTGTCTATGAGGTTCCAGATTCCCGCCCGGATATCGCCGTTACACCCCCCAATGTTTTTAGGTGACAGCTCCGCCGAGAGAAACGCCCTAGCGCCCTGCGGATAGAGGCTTGACTTGGCATTTTTTAGTGGCACATCATCCCTTATTAGCGTCTGGTATTGAGTGTTTCCAGGTTCCATGTCCACCAATCCACTGCTCTGCTGTGCTGCTGCATGAGCTCAGCCGAGCATCTGATTTATATGAGAGATGACATCAGCTATGGAGAGAGCCTTATCGGAGAGTAAATGGTTCCCGATGGTCTGGGCGGGACGAAACAAACAGAAAGACGCCAGCAAGGATCATGTATGTACTTTGCAATAGCAAACACCAAGAAAAAGAAACTTGTTACGGATTTTGTTACAACATATCTCGGATAATCGGCAAGGCGCCGTGACGTAAGTGGGCGATTTCCCTGACGATGATCTTGGCAAGGGAAAAGAAGAGACTAACAGACGCGGTTCTAGATCTGTGGCCTGCAGTGGTTCGCATATTTGGCACGCAGGTGACAGAGGCGATGCGCAAGGCGTTTTTCTGCCCATTACAGTCCATGCGTCTTGTCCCGGGCTATACCTTTCTCGATTCCTATTTTTGACCCTTGCACATCCCGCTTTTGGTGATATTTTTTGTATTACTGCCAATATTACTGCCAATATTGTACAGCTTCGGAATGCTGATGTGCTGACCTCTCTGCCTCACCTCAGTTGGCTTAGCTCGTGCTATTTATTCATCTCCCGGTTTCATTTGTTGGAGGCCTTTTTTCCCTACCTACGACTGATCGGCTCTAGCCCTACCAGTTGGAGTTGCAAGTACAAAACCACCGGGCGACCCCTCACAACGTCATTTCGCCATTTTCGGGAGGCTGAGCGCGGATACTCGAGTCTTGGCAGCCTTGCTCATCACGATACTCCCGCTTGGAGCTTCATTTTCGATTTCCATACTTGGTGTTTGATCGTCTGTTTCATTATTCATTCATTCGCTCATCATGCCGGGAAACATCACCACTCATCACGACGACTCCACGCCCGAGTCGAGCGACAGTGGCCACCATGAACATGAACATCACCATGAAGAACACAAAGAACACGAACACAAGGGCCCTCCCGGTGGCTTTGACAAGACTCCACTTCCCGATGCGCCCCAAGGATACACTGTCCGCTTTGTTTTTCATGCCGCGACCAACATCCCGATTGCGGATTTTCACACGGGATCTTCAGATCCCTTCTTGATTGCAACTCTCAAGGGAACGCAGCCGAAGCGTCACAAGGAGGATCCCGACTTAAAGTACAGGACACGAACTCTGCACACAACCACGGAGCCGAAATGGGAAGAGGAATGGGTCGTGTCCAATGTGCCTCCTACCGGCTTCACTCTCAAGTGCAGAATGTACGATGAGGATGTTGCCGACAAGGACGACAGACTCGGGAATGTCACCATCAACGTCGACTCCATCTCTGATGACTGGCCGGGAATCCCCCCTCCAGGCCAGGAGTTTGAGGCCAAGAAGCGTGTCATGAGCAAACGTGCCTTTATCCTCAAGGGAATCGCTAGTGCCATCGTTCACGGAAACCACATTGCTCCTCGGCTGCGAATCAGCATGGAAGTCTTGGGCAAGTCGGAGCCTCCGTATGCGCAAATGTGCACGTTGGCCCCGACTAGATGGATCAAGCACAACAGTCCCATGATTGGTCGTCTAATCGGCGCAAAGGTGAATGCCAACGAAAGTGACGATGAAAAGGGGCATAACTCGAACGACGATACCCCAAAGTCTACGAAATATGAGTGAGTTAATTCCATGCTGCAAGATATCTGCGCGCTTATGCTCAACTTGTTCAACGAATCGTTGACTGACGTTTTGAAATCTAGCTTCCAAGCCAACGAACTACAACTCCAGGGACCAGTTCCACCGGTCCTCTACCATCGCTACGTGGAATTTAGACCAGTTATTGGCTCGCTCTTTTCATCTACTGGCATTCGTGGGACCATTTTGAACAAGGCCCTGCACAAACAGCACCACAGGATTTACAACTATAGCAGCTCCACCGAATATGGTACCTTTGAGGCGTGCTCTAAGCAAGCATCGCTTCAGTTCCTAAGGATGGCTCATTTTGACGAGGGCGGCCGTGTCTTTACTTACGTACTCACGCTGGACGGCCTGCTTCGCTTCACCGAGACGGGCAAGGAATTCGGCATCGACTTCCTGAGCAAGCATACCATGCACGCAGATGCCGAGAAATACATTGCTTGCTCAGGAGAGTTCTTCATTCGAAGGCTGCAACACCCGGATTCCAATGACAGTCCCGAGCCTCAGGAAAAGACACACCCGTCCGAGCCCATCCCTGGAGGCCCGCCAAACCAGCCACCACCTCCAAACCCCGCGTTCTACCAGCTCTACATTGATAACGAATCTGGAACATACCGCCCTGATAAATCCATTCTGCCAGATCTTAAGAAGTTCCTGGAGAAGAACTTCCCCGGCTTGGGCATCGTCGCCATGAATGTTGAAGATGAGCGCCTGCAGAAGCTCAAGGACGAGCAACGCTCCATCAAGAAGAGCGAGGGCAAGATCATGCAAGTGGTCATGAACAGCAGTACCGACAGCTTCAGCTCTGTGGAGAGCGAGCTAAATGAGCGCAATGAGAGCTGGGAGTCGGGCAGGAAGAGCAAGCTAGAGACAGCGCATTCGGCGTTGAGGAACCCTGATCAGGCACATCTCAAGGCGGCTGTGGAAGTGATGCTGCCACATCGCGAGAAAAAGGAGGAGTGATCAAAAAAAGAGGAGGATGGGGGGAGATATAAAGAAGTGTCCGAGAATCTCTATGACTGTATGGATATGATATGATACCACTCTTTCCTTCAATTTGTCGTTATTACCGTCGTCGTCGTCCCTGATAATGTAATGTTCGAATCCAACGAATTTCCTAATTATGCCCTTCGCTCCCTTTGTGTCCTCGTGAAAAAACCTCACATCCTGGGCCTGACTGAAATCCACGTGCTCGAGCATCGTGCCAGCTCAACTCCATTTCCATCTCTGACCTCGCACTTGATCCTCGTTTTCCTGCCCTCCACGCCGTCCACCCACGCATTCACCAACACCGTCTGATTGATGGGACCCGGCTTCAAGAACTTGATATCAAGCCCAGCCGTCACGCTCGCAGTCCCAAACACCTCGCCGGTCTTGCCCAGCGCCATATTGATCTCGTGCAGCGTCCCCATCGCCTCATCCACCATGGTCATCATCATGCCCCCGTGCAGCACGCCTTCATACCCAGAAAGCCCCTGCCCCAGCGCGAAGAGAGAGCTCACGTGCATGATTGGGCGCTCGTGATCCTGTAAATGCGCTTCATCCTCCGTGTGGAAGAAGCAGAGCATGTGCTGTAGGCCTCGTGGGCCGGAGAGGGTAGAGCCGACGAGCTGGTCGTGGGCTGGGCTCTGGGGGTTGAAGCATTGCGGGATAAAGGGGATTGTGTTTGGCGTCTGGATGAGGCATGCGCACCAGGGGATGGAGAGGAAGTGGGAGACGGAGGAGGCGTAGAGGCTTGGGGGCGTGTTGGGGGGGATGAGGCCTAGGGGAGGGCTGAGGACGCGATTGAGGGGCGTCAGGGAGAGGGGAGTGACTGTTGTTTCGTTTGGTTGCGGCATTTTTAAGGAAGTTGATTAGCGAGAGGAAATATCGCGATATAACATTGAGTGTGAGGACTGAGATGTAGGTGTAGATGTAGGTGTAGACCGTGATGGTGATATCAAATGCTGGTGTTTTGAATTGACTAAACGGGGAGATCCAAATGCCCAATTCGGGTTGCCGAGGTCGTCCACTTTTACCCGAAATTGGGGACCTGGCCTGGGAACTGTACAGTACAACTAGACGCAAGGTAGCACTGAGCATACAGCCCAAACAATAAGATGTTTGCAACGTGCGAGGAACAAAAAGTAAACACCAACAATCGCCACTCATTCTTGGAGAACCACGTCCAAGCTCAGGACATGTCATCTAGATAGTATCTGGAAGCGAGAAAAAAGATACAGTTGCTCAGAGCAGCAAAAGATGGGGCTTCACCGGGATTCGAACCCGGGGCCTCCTGCAAAGGCGATTCTAGAGAACCGGGGACTCCAGGTTTGTTTTTCCCGAAGCAGGAATCATACCACTAGACCATGAAGCCTGTGTTTGGTGTGGTTGGCGATGAGGCGATTCCTAGGAGGATCATGAAGGATGATGTGGGACGGAGGCCGAATATGGATTAAGCATTATGTACACAATGCTTGAATTGCTGCAACTGGATGGCAATTACAGTTGCACAAAGAATGCCGTGGAGTGAATCAAGTCTGTTATTTTGTCTCGTGTTATCACATGTACTCAGTATATATGTAGCTTGCCGCTGCGTGTCATTCACATCCATCAATTGAGCTGTCCCAAAATGACTAAAACCTTCTGCGCTTCTGAAACGAGACCGTCTGGAAAGAGTGTCTGCAACAACACTGCAATTTATCCCAAAGAAATTATTGTCATTGCCATGTACCAGCCAGTTCAATTCTTCTCGTATGTGAAATTCTCGTGTCAGCTCTGCTTTGCCTGTGATTTTTATTGGTAGGTCGGCACATATGTTGTTCCAAGACCGGCACCGCATATGTTGTTTCACAGCAATATTTCCTTCATGTTAGGTTTGCGCTGATAGGAAGCCACACTGATGCCTAATTGATCTAAACAGAACATTTATCAAGACTTATCCAGCTTGCGACATTCAGTAAACGACATCCTAAAGCCCATCTATGGAGTCTAGATATTCGCGAAAGGATTTCTCCCAGCTCGCCGCACCGCCATCCTCCAATTTCAAGTGGGCAGGATCAGGCAGCGGATGGACCTCTCACCCACATAAAGCGCGGGGAATAACAGAGGTATCGAATCGAAACACAATCTCAAAAGACTCGACACAGAGAAGGGAGCTGTGCGCGTTCAAGTTGCGGAATCGAGACACAATATCGAAAGACTTGACACAACGCGATGGATCGTTTAAGCCCGAGATGCAAAATCGAGCTGCGACGTTAAAAAATAAAATTGAGAACGACAATCCACGCATAACCGCCCTCGGCCCGGGTGACTCCCTCAATCCTCCCATTGACGTTGACATTTCAGAGCTTTGGCGCAGCTTAGACGAAGATCACAAGAGTGACTTCCACTCCAAACCAGTCCAACTGAATAGACGGCCTGCCGTCCCAGACTGGGATTCTATGCAAACAGACTTTACAAAGCCGTTTCCGATGGGTGCCATATCGCCCAACGCCAGTCCTGGCCTATACGCGGTCCATCAGCCAAGTCCTGCGCAACAACAGCAGTATTTGCAACAGCGGTGTGAGTGAGAGCGCGAGGAGCCTGAAAATATCTTTTGGTACTAACATAGGCCTGAACCTAGTTAATATGAATAACCCAAGAGCCTAAATAAAGGGTTGCTATTCGACAACAGAAACTTCAGTGTTCACCAGCAGCAACAGGCAGCGATGGGGCGTGCATATATGTAACCATCCTCAGTGGCTCTAATTTTGGGCGTGCATAAAGAGGAGAGGCCTCAGAATTATCGCATTAAGTACTTATATCAATGAAACTTTAGTTGTTGTCATATACCAGCTAATCTAATTCTTCTCGTATGCGAAATCCGTCGCATACTCTTGTCCACGACTTTACACCACCACTAGCATAACCATTACCATCGCCGCCATCAGCCAGCGGGCATTTATTCTCGCCGTACTTGCGGCTCCAAACTCCGTCCACCTGCGGCAATCATCATTGCCTTCATGATCATCGTAATTTACTGTTCTCCAAATGGCAAAACTCCGAATCGGATATGCCGCAGTCTTGCAGTCACCGTGCTTGTCGGTTTGGCAGTTGATCCAGTAGAACGGCACATCGTCGCTCTTTTCATCGCCAAGGCGCACATCCTGGCAATCAGGTAGTGTGTATTGCTCATAGAACCACCGACTTGTCCTGCCTTCATGCGGCACGAGCTCGTTTACCATCCTGACCCAAGTGTGCGTGTAATTTGCGTTTTCGTCGTAAAGGTCTTGGTTGATGAGATCCCAACTAACACCCCAAGGTGTCGGGTCCCCGCCACTTTGTTGCTTGGATTTTTGGAAACCGGAATTGCTGTTCATGGAAAAAATGTCGCTCATGTTGAAGCAGGTGTTTGCCTCCGGGATAATAGGGGTGGTGAGAGTTATGGCTCTGCTGATATCCTTGGCTTTGCAGGAGTCGCCCTGGCTGTCTGGAAAAAAAGCGATTGCAAGTCTGCCATATAATTCTTGTGGAGGACTAGAACACTCCATCAGTATAGGGTTGCTTGTTAAATATTGGATATTTTTGTTGTTGAGGTCTTACCGCCATAATCCACATCAGCCCATACATGAGAGAAGGCTGCGAATAAAAGGATGGCACCTTTCATATTTGCCATGGTAGTCAAAATGTCTGTCAAAAACTTTTGACTCAGAGCAAAAAAAAAAAGAGGAAGAGGGGTGGAAAATGAAGTTTGGAGAGAAAAGGTGGGAATGTGCGTGCGACGCAAACGCATCCTTTTATCTCGGGATGGTCAATGCGGTTGAGAAATAGATGGAACCACGTCATCAAATCGACGAAAACTATGCAGTCAGTGGCAAGGACCAACATTGAGAAGCGATTGGTATGCAGAGTGAAGCGCTGAATGCCATTCTCTCCACTGCAAAGGAGAGACTTGGTGCTGGTTGGTGCAATAGTCAGGGTGTTGATGGGTTGACAAAATTGAGGATAGCCAAGGACAGCAAGAGCACAGGCTTTGTAACAAATGTTGTCTGTTGAATTTATTAATATCAATACCACCTTTCATCAACTTAAACAAAAATGCTGTCTTTTCACACGCTTTCTTCCAGCGTCGTGTTCAACTCCACCACTCTCGAGTCAGGTCAAAGTACTCCCGGTTTGGGAGAAAAGGAACAGTCAAAAAGATCTTTAACTTGAGTTACATGGACACATCTAATGCATTTTGTGGTTCATACCTACTAACTGGCCCAAGGGTAGGTAATCATTCATATTCTGCGACATATATAAAGACAGGCAATGTCTGCTTTTCTCGTAAAGCACCATGAGTTGCACAAGAATAGTTCTACTCACTCTTGAACGTTTCGTCTACTCCTTACTTGCATGGATAGGGACACATCTAATGTTATTTAATATTACTACATGGAATAGAAGTTTGCATAGTGGTCATGTTAATGCCTGGGTGTTTTTGTGCGTTAATTTACTGTGATTCCTATTGGTACGTCGGCTAATCAGTTGTTCCAAGATCGCTCGCCAAAAAGCATCTCTTGCATTAGATCGCAGCATGGCATATTGCCCCAACATCTATCGCGAAATACGTCTAGAATTTGTCTCTAATAAAACAGCTGTCAGCGCCGCACAAGCTGTGATACGTACTCAGCGACTAATATCCGAGCTTTACCATGGATTCTGCAAATCACCTGGGGCGTTTCTCCAACCGTAGGATTATGCCAGCGACACCGTATCCCTCTGGCTCCAGCCCCACCTCCACCTCTACCTCCAGCTCTATGCGGGTAGGTTCAAATGCTCAATGGACTTCTCAGCCCTATAAAGCACGAGGCATGGATGATGTGCAAAATCGAAGTACGATCTCAAAAGACAAGATACAGGGTGATGAGCAGCGCATGGCGGATCTTCTGGCGCAGCATGGGAACAAAGTCATGAGATCTCAGCATATGGCTCTAAATGCCGACACGACGCATTCAGCATTGCAATCGTTGGTGAATACGCTTCGGGACGATCAATTTGGCAGAATACAAACGATGGATTTTCGCGACGGGGACCATCCAAAGGGTTTCATAGAGGTCATCGATCCTGCAGAAAGCGACAAGTCATCAATGAGCGGTCTTTCGGAAACGAGCGATCTTTCGAAAAAAGGTGACAATTCGGACAAGGGCGACGATCTAGAAAAGAGCAATGATTGGGAGGGAAGGTATCCTAAACGTGGCAAGACCAGAATTCCAGACCATCTGGTGCATGAAGACGCGCTGCAGTACTTAGGCTATCATGACTACGTTCACGATGTAGGATATGGATTGTCCCCATTCTAGAAAGGCCAATCTCTCTGCAGCAATGCTGACACCATGTGTTAGGGGAACATTATCGTCATCCAATTAGCTCTTGGTAAATCCCAGATTGATGAACTTCTACAAACAGCCGATGACATTCGGGAAGGAAGATGTTTGTTTTGTCTTACGCAACTGTGGTTCTACATGCTAATATTTCCCAGTGAAGCTTGACAAGCGGAGATAAATGTGGTAACGGTTCGAGAGAAGAAATTACGTACGCAATTAGAGGTAGCTTTAATTGGTAATAGCTGTCTATCTCTATCAGTAATCTTGAACGTTAAAACCTGACTGCACGCCCATTGCGATCATAATGGTTGTTATATTTATATCGATTCAATACACCTATCTTTCCCTCTTATCCCTCTGGATTTCATCTGCCGAATACCCCTTGTTCAATTCAATTAAGTACTCATCGAACTTGTTTGCTTCCCTAATCACAGCCTGGATATGTTCGTAGCCTAGCTTTTTACGTTGGTACATGGCGAGCTGACGTGCCGTGGATATCGTGTTTCGGATTTGACGACCATTCATGCTTTCGTCCGCCAATTCTTCCACTCTATCTCTTATTTCATTGATGTTGATTCCATAGCCTAATGCTGTGCCATCTTTCTCGTCAACACTCCTCTCGATATCACGAGATTTGTCTTCAAGTTGCTCCAAACGCTTCAAGAAATTTATCCAGATTTGCAGTCGCTGACTTCTCTCCAGGCTCTTGTACCGCAAACTCAGCTGAATGCGTGATTTGAAAGCTTCGTCAAAGATACCAACACGGTTACTCGTCAAGATGAGAATTCCTAGGACGAAAATTAGCCTTCACTATTGGTTGCAGTTAGCAAGAGCTGATATCACCGTCATAATATTCCAACACTCGAAGAAAGACAGAAACTAGAGCATTCCGTTCCAGATTGTGAAGAGATCGTTGTTGCAGAAAAACATCCGCTTCGTCTAACAAGACAACTACAAGGAAGCAAAAAATAATTGTAAGAATCAAGTTAAAACGAAATGATTTAAATTTGGAATGTCAGCTTACCGCAACCCCAAGTCTTTCCGAGATGTAAAACGATTTCAAGGTACTGTATATAATTAGATCTTATCCAATCGTATGTCTTAGGCAGCATTACATTCTCGACATCCTGAGCGCTTGTACCTATGTCTCCACAGGTGACCCTATACAAAGGCTTCTTTGCAATTTCCGCGACACTTGAAGTTATTAGCACCAAATTCAATGTAGCTGATATCAATTGAAATACCTTTCTGCAGTCAAAGTTTTGCCAGTTCCGGGGCCTCTAGCAATCAGATATCAGTTTCTAAAGGTTTTATGCGCCTCATAAGTTGTTCCTACCCGTGGAGCAGAATAAAGAGCCCATTGCCCTTCCCACGGATGAGGTCTGCATTCTGTGAAGCGCGAAGTTGGTTCGTGACTACAGCTTGGATCATGTTTTTGGTTTCTTGGTCGATGACAAGGAACTCAAAAGCTTCAGTATTCCATACGACATCTTCTATGTAGTGTACGTTCAGGGTGACTGCCAAGATATCAGTTCTCGCCATATAAGAATGCGCTGTCAAACTGAATCAGCCCAAGTGTCACTCACTCCATTCTTTTGTCTGCATGTTAAATCCAGCTATCGAAGTAGGAAGGCACAAGAAAAAATTGTCCCCTAACATTGGGCTTTGTTCGGAAAGGTATCGAACGGGTAGTTCTTCTCCATCAGGTAATTGGAATTGTTGTTCTGTTTCGTTGCCTTGATTGCGATGCATTTGTTTGTAAGTAGCGATATCTATCATAAAACGCGAGTCCATCTGTAGGAAGATATTCATTAGAAAGAGAAAAGAACAAGGCTCACACGCATATAGAAATGCAGAAAAAAAGATGCATTAGTTTATACAACTTACCGAAATTTGCGTAGCATTGTCTGTTTTCCCGCTATAAGACACGTAATGCCTTTCACGGCACTTCCAAAACATGTTACCGCGCTTTCGTAGGGCACTAACAATCTCCTGACTAGCAAATTCAATTGGATATACGGGCATATCGGTGATGAGAAAGCTCTCAATTGCGGATGGGAGGTCTTCGATGGAGAGGCTGCTAAAATACTTGTGAAATTTTCCGTCAAATTTCCATGAGTACACTGGAGCTGTTACTGTTGAACTGCGCCGAAATGGCCTTTGGAGCCAATTCTGAAGGACGTATGCTTTGATCTTTGCGATATCCATATCCTTTCGTTTCATTATAACTATTCGGTTGGGGACCTGAAAGGTGAGCCGTTTGATGTAGACTGATGCAACACGGTTGAAGCGACTCACAAAGAGATAGTCTATGTATTTAGCCGATATCCTCTTCTCGGCCAAGAACTGGTCAACAGTTGTCCATTCTTCGGACATGCAGCTAAAGATATACTTGAAGAATACATCTAGGTGTCGCTGTGCATCTTGTGACTGTTTCATTGTCACTTCTTCAGCTTCTTTGCGGCGATGGAACAAGAACATGTATGGGTGCTCGATAGTCGGGTTTTCTTTCTCATCCAAAAATGGATGAGGTATTCCTTCGAATGCCTCGCTAGCAAGATTCCGTAGCGCTAGCTTCAGATCGGCTGAGATGAGTTGAATTTGCTCGCCCACTACAAAAGTCGAAGCATCAATATCCAAACCCAATTCAATCTTACTCTTATTGATTTCAGGTGGTAAGTCACCACAACACTCGTAATCCTTATAAACAATAAAAGCAATCTCTTTGTTTCTCTCAAGAAACAGGTCAAAGTTATTGATAGGCTTGCTACCTCTGAGATGGACATCTGGGCCCTCCTCAACTGCCCACGGTTGTTCAAGATACAACCAAGTTCTACCGCGAGCAGCATGGCAACGAACTGAGTAAATGATCTGGCCCCGGGGAGGCCCAAGCTTCTTTGTCACTTTGGACCTCAAACTATCCAGCTCCTTGAGATTTTGAGATGTACGCTCTATTGCTTTAAAGAGATCTTCGTCCGATACCTGTGTAGTCACATCCACAAGTCGACATATCTCGGCTCGCCAGTCGATCGTAAGCACAGGGCGATATGTGGGGGGACATCGTTTCGAGCGCGACGACGGTGATTCGCTAGAATCTAATATTTCGTGTTAAAAGTGCCATCTGAGAGGAGAAGGACAGATGATTTACCACTTGAGTTACTTGAGTCACCCACATTTCCTTTCGCTGATGCAACTTTGTCATCATCAGAAGCTTTGCGTCCAGACGAGGTAAATGCTGACTTCCTCTCTCTACCAAGCGGGCGTTGCCGTCGCCGGGCAGTTGAAGAAGGCATGGCATGTGAGGGTTCGAGATGATGACTTAGGTATATTGCGAGATTTAACTGATTGATGGTACATATAGATGGAAATAACTCCGCAGCTGATGTCTATGAATGCCGTGTGCGGAGTCTACATGCAAAACAGGAACTTCGACTGCCTCTTCATAGGGATATGTACCTCTACTAGGTAGATATTAGGTACCAAGTATGTACAGATGTAAGTACTAGGCACCTAAGTAACGAGAAAATTTATGTGCTTATATCGACCTGATCCCAGTACAGATACTACCTAGTAGGTAGTGTGAACAAATGGATGATAAGGCACCTACATAAACTTACTAGTGTATGTACCGTTGGGGATTTTGAGATCCCTGTGCTAAATGTGTAATGATTGGGCTCTGGGTGTTTCGCAGGTGCGGAGTAAGGCGTCAAGGCTTGCATTACAACAACAGCCTGAGTATACTAAGTACTCGGGCATAACAGACTGCTCATGATTTTAAATGACAATGGATTCAATTTCTTTCTGCATTAGTTGAGTTGCTTTGCTGAAATGGGGCCACGACCAACGCATTACTTCCTTGCGCCCGTTGGGAACCCTCTTAATGGGCAGATCAAACTAGGCAATATTATCGCGCTCCCAAGACTTGCCGACGACCCCATCAATGAGAATCATGTTTCATTAAGCTCCATCCCAATGGAGATTACTGAGCACAATGAATATGATTACACATTCAACGTGAATGCGAAAAGCGGCGGACGAATCGGTATCTGGGCATCATTCCTACAGACCATAGGCCTAAAAGCAGAAGCAACTCTAGAAGACAGCCGTCAGCATAGCGAACAATGGGCCTTTGAAAAGTTGCAGACAATTTCCTTCGCACCAAAACTGGCATACATCACCAAATGCCTAGAAGACGACGGCGTGCGGAACTTTTTGCGGATAAATAAGCCGCACTTTGGGGCCTCGAATTTATACATGATTACCGGTATCAAAGTCGCTTACGGTGCTTCGTCCGTCGTGCAGTACGCAAAGAAGAAAGGAATAGCTCTGCGCTTGGGGTCAGGTTTCACAGGGAACCATGTTGGGCCTGAATTTTCTCGGAATGACGAAATTGGAGTCTCTCAATCGCAGGGCGGAGCCGACCCGTTTGTCTTTGCTTTCCGTTTGCGAAGAATTAAATTGTCGCTGTCGGGAGAGGTCAGTCACGAACAGTACAGCAAAGGAGCGATGCTCGGCATCAAGGGAGACGAAGATGATGACCCAGGTGCACAAATCCCTATTATTGTTGAGGATATTGAGAGCGATGAGGATGTGAATGGGTCTGAATTCCAGCTAGAGAGCAGGGATGCGCTGGATGAGTCCTCGCCTGGAGATGGTCTTTGCAAATGTGTGATATCAGAGGACTGAACCTGACAATACTGTAAATAGCATCAGATGAGGTAGCAAGCGATATTTGAAGATAAATGCTAATTCCAGGCTTGTCTCTATCCAATTGCCTCAACTCTCTCCTTCTAAAGGGAAAACTTCCGACCCTACAGCAAGTCCAAACTCGTTTCTTAGTTCGTCCACAAGGCTGTAAGCAGTGAACTCTCTAGGCTGTCCAGGTTTACCGAGGAGTGTCCATGGTAAGAGAAATTTGAATCTATCAGGCCCTTTCTCAGCGCTCATTCGCTCAAGTATGGCAATCATGGCTGACATTTCCTTCAAACTATTCTGCACCGTTTTGCTTGCTTGAAGAGGAGGCTGCCTTGCAAATTCCAGCACCAAAGCGCCTATACCTGCAGCGATGGCACACGCAAAGGATGATCCATCGTAGAGGGCCGCTGAATGGGGGCTTGTGAGTTTTGTACCAGGTGCACTAAACCTTCGGCCTCTGCCATATGAGGATACGGATGATGCGGTTGTTCTTGTATACTCGCCGAATCCATCAGCGGCATCTATCGCAATGACTTCTGGCGCCCGAGAAGGATATAAAATGTCGTTTGGGGGACCAAGTAGACCATCATTAGACGTAGAAGCAAACATGTGAACTCCTTGACGGCGTGCGAATCGGATCGCGTTTCTAACACCATCGTGATCGTCAAACGCCCATCCAAAAGACATGTTGATAATGTCCACACCCCATCCACCCTTCTCTGGATCTTCAACAGCCTTCTTAATTGCTCTTTCTACAGCCTGTTTGTCAGGAAAGAGTTCCCGGTTGCCATCTTTGCTGGACGTAGCTACGCGACAGATGTATAGAACGGCGCCGAGGCTAACTTTGAGCAACTGTACAGCGACCGCTGTGCCATGGCCTGAAGGATCTTTCATGGCTTCTAAATCTGTCTCGTCTTCGACAAAGCTGACAAACTTCTTGATACGATGCATATATGGTTTGAGAGACTTCTTGTCATGTTCTTCAGTGTAGGCGAATCCAGTGTCCAGTACGGCAATTTTAACGGGTTTGAATGAGATGCCTTTTGCGCTTCTGGAAGAATATATAGCGGGCTGGGTTTTTGAAGTCAAGTTCTTGAACCATGATATAGGCGATCCTTCGCTACTAATTGTTAGTCAAGAAAGTCGAGGAAGGAGAATATGTGATTTCGTACGTCACCCCAGAGTCCGCAGCTTGAAAACTTCCAAGGCCACTTCTATGCGTGCCCTCTACTAAATTTTGGCGCTCTTCCTTTCGGTTGCCATTAATAGGATCCGACTGCGTGGAATTTTGGTCAAAGGTCTCCTTCGTAGTCTCAGTGTCGTCCGCCAATGCCGGTAGCGATACGATAACCCTAGGTTTGTTTGACTGCGGTAAATAAACACTCGCATGCTCAGATTCAGATAAACCGTCTGCATGTGGTGGAGATTGAGGCGCCATATCAACTGACATGATGCGAGTTGTAGCTCCAAGGAGTCCATCGATACTCCGACCGGTCAAGATCATAACTCTCAGGTCTGTCTTCTGGCCCCGAAGTTTGTGGATCAGATTGAAAAATCGAGCGGGCCAGGAAAAGGCATCTCTAGAATGCTGGTGAAGAATCGAAATATCCAGAACTATATACACTTGCTCTTGGTAAGATAGAGCCGCTTCGATACTCGAAAACCAATCTTCATGACAAGCGGTTTGGAAGTTGAATGTCATCTTGTCCAGAAAGGATAGGGCGTCATTGGCTAGAAAGGAGAGTGTTCCATCTTTAACTGACGAGGGTATTATCCGTAGGCATTGGACAGCGATTTGGCGCAGGACAGCACCGCCTCTAGAGACGCCTCTGGAGAATGAGTTTTCGTAAAAGAAGGTCGGTAATGGGCTGAGGAGGAAAACAGTCGGACACCTCTCCTGAAGGTAGTCTACCATTTCAACGCTGAACTTCTCCAGTCGCTCTACAGACTGTGAAGTGCCCTGAACTACTAGAACAGAGGGTTCTGGGCCAGAAATCCATTGCGTCAGCTCGCGTCTTTCCCAAATATCGGCAGTATAGGTGTCTTTGGCTGCACGATGGTCTTGAAGCGCTTTGCTGCGGTCCTTTGCGTAATTTTGATCAACAACGATGGCATCGCCGCAAAAAGCCGGTATTTGCCAGAACAGAGACAGGTTGTTGAGATGTAGAGGTGGTTTGTTTTCGGCTTTAGATTGGAGGTAGTCTGCGTACTCATCATCGTCGTTTAATTTCAACGAGGATATGTAGAAATGGGAATACGTATGTGCATACCACTAGTTAGATTCGAAAGTAGGGTGAGAAGATCAGTACGATATTGTTGATCAGAATTTTGCTGTCTTGCATCGATGATGCCTAGATACTCCTCCCTCCGTCGCGCTGTACGCCGTCGCGCTGTGAGATTATCACTTGTATCGGATTCCAAGATGCGTATTTGTCTTTCAATTTCATCGACAAGACACTGATGCGATAGATCCATAATATGTCGCTTGCTGGCCGAGTTGAATCCCGCTGCAATTCGTTTATTCGTAGCCCACCAAGCGCCCAGGTTTTGAGTACAATATCGAGGAGGGGAAGTAAAATAGTAAAGTATGTGCTATAACTTCATAGTTCATCAGCTCGGTTAGTAAGGTGTTTCGGGGATCTTCGAAATCTGACTGATGGATTCTTATTGGTGGTCAAGGATACCTGTATTTTCAGTCAGCACTGCTGCTGCTGCGAAAAACGGCCCGCCAGTGGAGGACAAAAAACACCACTCAGCTGCTATAAATTTCCAAGGTTGTTTAATAGGCGGCGATGTAACCTATGGATTTTTCCGCCGCATGCCCGCCTCTGAAAGATGTACTTGGCCGAGCGGCAGCCAGAGACGGAACCAGCAAGCAGTGTAGAGGTGAATGTGATGTAATAAAAAACTTCAAATCGCCTACTTGAATGTAGTAACAGTTGCTATAATAATAAAAAAATACAAGCTGTAATTGACAGATCGACCTGGCGTGGTAGGAGTAATAACAGCGACGAAAGCCATCTTGAATTGGGTTTATTGGGAAACAAAGAAATTGGAAGTGAAAGGAGAGGGGATTAAAGAACGAGAAAAGGCGTCTAAATCAAGATGCTTCAATGAAAAAACAGAGACAAAATGTATCTAAAATAATCATATATTATTCAAGGCAACGTCGTATCAGTGTGAGCCGTCGTAATGGGATGCAGATCAATGTATTACAAGATGAAGTTAGAGAGGACGAGATGGACGGTTTTTACACTGCTGGAAAATGGAAGATGAAAACTGATAACATCTATTTCACTGTCCACAAGTATTCGAATCAGTGCTGGGAAGAGTAGGGCAAACCCCGACCCGAGTTACGAGTGACCTCCAGGGCTGTAGCTCACCTCGAGCTCAGACTTGGCAGCTGCCCACTAGGACGCCTCCCCTCTCCCCTTCCCCTTTCCCTAAGAAACACTGAAGGTCCTCTATGACTCAAAGTCTAGGGATTTTTTTCTCTTTGAAACATCAGGCCATTTCTTTCCCAGAATACCTCAGTTCGTCACAGCCTCAACTTTCTTCTATCACCACTGTTTCTCTTTCATCCGTCTAACGTTAGAACCTTAAACCAGAACCACGCATCCTCATTACTGCTATGAACTAGAATAGTTGATACCATCCATTCTACGATGTATTCCCCTGCCAACGATACCAGCGGATCGGAGCTGAGCCCTCGAGAGATCGAGGTCCTCATCACCATCGAGCGGACTGGCGCAGGCCTCTCGATGGTGGCCATCACCCTCACTCTGGTGTCTTTCTTCCTGATCAAGAAACTCCGAACCACTCCAAACATGTTCATCGTCCTGGCTTCGATTGCAAATGCTGGTGCGAGCATCGCTTCCATGATTGGCTACGATGGCCTCGACAAGGGCGAAAGCTCTGCTCTCTGCCAGGGTCAAGGCTTCATCTTCGAATGGTGGGCGCTCTAGTTTTCGGCTGCTCATACCCCTATGGAGCGACAAAAACTGATGTGGTGTTTAGGTTCATGCAATCTGATCCCTGGTGGTCGTTTGCCATGGCGTTCAATGTGTTTCTCGTCTTCTTCTTCAACGCTAATCCCGCTACTTTTCGGAAGCGCATCTGGATTTACTGCATCATCTGCTTCGGCGGCCCTCTGGTGCCTGCCGTCGTCTTAGTTTCCATCCACGACGATGCAAAGGGTCCCGTCTTTGGGAATGCAGCAGTGAGACGTTCTGATCCAACCTTTGGGGTGTAATTACTGACACTCGCCTAGCTTTGGTGCTGGGTTGATTCAAACTGGAGTCTAGTACGCCTTTACGCCTACTACATCCCCATATGGATCTGCATCTTTGGATCAATCATCATCTACGTCGCCGTGGGATATCACGTATTCCGCAACCGGAACCGCCTTCGCAACTTTGCAGTCCGCATCCCAATCACAGCTAAGAGAAGTGATGGTGGAGCCAGCGAAGCTGGAGATTCAACTGAAGAGGTAAGAAATGGAAGTTTATCTTGATAGGCACTTTGCGGTATACTGACTAGCTACCCAGAGCCTCACCCGGAGACAAGATTACTATGGCACTGCAACCACTGAAGTCCAGGTCACATCAAACACGCCCGACAATGATGACTTCTCTCTTCCCATGATCCCTCCTGCCATTTACTCTCACGGCCCTGCTATTGTGTCATGCGGCCGATCGTGGGCAGTACCTCAAGCAGGGAGTTATTATGGTCAAAGCATTGAGAGATTCCCCCGACCGAGCGAAGCTCTTCCTCCTGCACGGCCACACTTTGCGCATTCAGTATTCTCGTACCTGAAGAATATAAAGTCGAGTGCTTCCATGAAACTGAAGCGACTTGATCCTGTCAAGATGGCCTACTTACGCACCAGCTTCATCTTTGGTTTTGCTATTTTGATCACCTGGATTCCAAGTTCTGTCAACCGGCTCTACAGCCTTACGTATGATGGCCGCGTTGACTTCCAGCTCAGTATTGCTAGCGGGTGTGTTTTGCCGTTGCAGGGGGTTTGGAATGCCTTGATCTACTTCACCACGAGCTAGGGCACCGTGCGTGAAGAGCTGAAAGCTTTCAAAGACAGCATTTGGCCAATCCCTCGCCGAGACTACCGCAATACTGTTCGGATGGATGGCAGATTGGATGTCGTGACGTACGGTAATCGGAACACGCTCGAGTTGCCTGCCATGGCCCGACTCAAGCCCTCGCGTGTTTCCGATGATGACGAGCTGGAGCTCTCAGAGCGCTTCCGTTGAAGCTTCTCCAGCTAATCAAGACCTGGGCGGGAGTATCTTTTCGAGATTATCTTGCTAGATTATCCTTGCTAGATTATCTCTCCAGTTAGGGGACGAAGGCCGGGGTATATTACCTAGGTGAGAGTATCGTTGCGAGATTATCTTTCCGACCAGTGAAGGCACATCGGGGTATATCTTTTTCTTTTTTTCTTTCCACATTTCATCAGAACGGAAGTGGTCATGGATGCTTGTGGGGGAGCTATATATGTTGGCGAGACGAGATTCTCCTCTCCACTCAGATTTTACAATGCTTGGTAGGTTCCTAATATTGAACTAGCAGATAGGGAGCCATGTGCTATAATATTAATAATGTTACGTGCAATTTGGTCCTGATTTTTGTGTTCTTCTCTATTTGATTGCGCAATTCTACGCGTACTTTGCATAAATGTCTTCGCCCTCAGCAGCATCAACGCCATCACGGACTACGGCGGCGACAGCTTCGTTGATATCATCATCGCCCTGCAGCAAATCTATCCACCCACTCTTGACACCATCAGCAGCAAGAATGGCATCAGCTACATGAGCTACAGTTTCTCTAGGGACCTCCCCTTTGACGTTCTTGTTTCTACCCAGTGTGACATTTCCCTTGGGATCGTCTGTCAATCTGCCGGGGCGGAGGTCAATGCCTACCAAGGTTGGGCTCTGCTTGGAAACTTCGTATAGGACTTCGTCGGCGGCGATCTTGGCTTGGTAATAGGTCGCTAGTACGCCAAAGTTGATGTTCTTGTGGTAGTCTTCCCATTCGCTGGCGGTCCACCAGGGAGCTGCTTTGCGACGGGAGCCGTTGTAGGAGACGAGGAGGAAGCGGCTGATGGAGGGTTTGGCTGCGGCGGCGTTGATGAAGTTGATTGCGGCGTCGCGGTCGATGCGGTATGTTCCTTCAGCACCGTATTTACCACCGGCACCTGGTAGAAGTGTAAGTAATAGATATGGAAATCAAAGAACCTTGGGAGTCAATTTGCATACCGGCACTCCATGCGACGTAGTCTGGGTTAACCTCGTCCAAGATGCTCGCTGCCTTCTCCTGGCTGTCGACGTCTTCGATGCTTCGGACAAGGACGCTGAGCCGACCGGGTAATCCAGCGCCGAGCTTTTCGACGGCGGGGACTTGTTCTTGTTTGCGAATTACGCTGGTGACGGTCCAGGAACGCTTGAGGAGCAGTGGGGTGAGAAGTTGGGCGATTTTGCCGTGGCCGCCGAGGATGAGGACGTGGTGTGGTGAAGCCATTTTGAGAAGTGTATTTAGGGTAATATACAGTAACGATTTACGATGAAGAGAAGTTAATTAAGAACCTACAGTAAATCAACCGATCTACTGAAAGCTGCAGCTAGGGAGCAAACGAATCTACACCAAAGCTCCAGAAGCGCCGCAGAGCTTATTAAATACCTGTAATACCTTGGTAGATACAGACCCGGATGCACCACGGCTCGGATAGCTTCCTGAAGCTATCCGAATGGGATCACGCAAGGGAGGGGCATGACGACACTTTTTTGGGCGAGGGGGCGGGGCAGAAGCAGCAGGGATTGTTTAAAGCCGAATTGAGAGTATGGAAAGCTGATGGAAGAATCTGACATTGGCGGAGATAAAAGTTTGTTTTTAAGTACCGAGGTGTTAAAAGATGTTATTGTTGACAACACCCAAGGTAAAAGTCAAGTTTGATTTATAATGATTCTGATGATGGAGCCAAAAACTGATGGCTCAACTTTGGCATCAGCATCACTGGATGAACAGAATACCAGGTAATTCAGCAGCCCAGACTTTCGACATTCCAGCCGGCATTAATATTATCAAAGCGTCATACAAGGTGGCAAACTGTAAAACCATCTTTAGGATAACAACCTGCTGAACCTTTTACTGAGAGATGATGAATCTGTCTTATGTCAGCACGCAGAGTAGCCTCTGATCTCAGCGGCATTCTGACAAGGGGGCCGCTGATCGGCACTATTGTTGAGTCTGAAGCTTGATTTTTGTTTTCCTTGTGTAGCCGCCAATCTCACGAGATGCGCTGGATCTGCTGTCCTCAGCACTACGAATACTTTTCTTCGTCTCACTGATTCTCCTTCTTCTCCTAAAAATTATATATTCAACGAACCCACAACTTCATATTTGACAAACACTTTTTCCAGATTCCCAGCGGGTGGATGCATCTTCTACAGGGCTTTCAGCTGCCCCTCATCCTCTCACCCTAGACTCAGTCCCTCTTTTTCACAAAGTACGTACATGACATCCAGCTTCTACAAGGGCCTCAGTCGCGTCATGTCCAAGTCTGTTTGCATTGTCGGTTAGTTGCACAAGAATCCAAATCTCTAAGTCACAGAAATTTCTTCTAACGGCTCCTAGGCGCCGGACCATCTGGTCTTGTTGCGGCCAAGACGCTGCTTCACAATGCACCCAAAGGACACTTCAAAGTCAGCATCTTTGACAGCCAAGCCGCCATTGGAGGGCTGTGGCCGACCTCAAAGACTGATTCAGGGCGTCTGGTACATCCATTGATGGTTGCTAATCAAAGCAGACACACGGTTCAGTTCAGCGACTTGGCCTGGGACGATGATGCGCCGCAATTTCCCCGCGCATGGCAGGTTGGCAAGTATTTGGAGCAGTATCAGAGCAGATACCTCAGCGGCAATCCCGATTTCGAGCTTCGTTTGAAGAGCCGTGTGGCAAAGGCAGAGAAGCGAAATGATGGTACAGAAGGCTGGAAGATACACATTCAGTCGGGGGACGGCGAAGAGGCGAGGGATTTTGACTACTTGATCGTTGCCTCCGGATACTTTGGCAAACCCATCATCCCCGAATGCTTCAAAAACGCAAAGAGTTCGGTTCCAATCATCCACAGCAGCCAATACCGCGACCTGAAGGGTCTCTTAGGAGAGGGCAAGCAGAAGGGAGGCAAGATTCTCATCGTTGGAGGCCAAATGTCCGGCGTTGAGATCGCAGGCACCATAGCGAGTCATCTTTCATCTGCCGTCAACTCCCCGGAGGAATCAGATATTGCCGGAATCGACAAATACTCCATTTACAATGCAATACAGCGACCTATTTGGGTGTTTCCTCTGTTCACCAGCCCCGAGGTAAGCTGATTTTCTCTTATTATATGCCTTGCCAAAGTACTCACATGCATCAGCCTACCTTTACAGCTGCCCCATTTGCGCCTTTAGATTTGGGTTCGTACAACGTCAACAACCGACCCAGACCACTCGAAAACACACAGGGCCATATCAGTCAAGAGCATGCAAACATGGTTCATACCATCTTTGAATCGTCGCTCGGTGACCAAGAACAATTCTCGCCTCTGCTGATGCCTAACCAACATGAAAGAGACCAACCAGCATATCTGGCTGTTAGCGATTGGTACAGTGATTTCGTGAGATCCGGGATGATTACTCTATCATTTGGCAAGGTTCTTTCCTTGGAGGGCGACCTCGTTACATTAGACGACCATGGCGCTCAGATCGACGACATAGCTGCTGTGGTTCTTGCAACAGGCTTTGATCCCTCTCCCTGTGTCGATTTCCTACCAAAGGACATTCTCAACACCCTCCAGCACTCTCCAAAACACCTCAGTCAAGCGCTCGCCTTGGCGTTCCACGGCACCCACCATCCAGAGGTCCCAAATCTCGGATTTGTTGGATTCTATCGATCCCCATACTGGGGAGTCATACAGATGCATGCTAGATTTATTACTGATTTATGGTCTGGTCAAACTGGCTCGAAATTGGAAGCACTGAAGCGAAAACTTCAAACGGACGACTCTATCAAGAGAACACTCAGCTTGCGAGATGATCCTAGGCTTTCTCAATTCCCCATGGGCGACTACATGTACCTCATGCAAGAATTCTCCGAGGCGCTTTCGATACCCATGCACGAATCAATCATGCCAAAGACTCCGACAACCTCTCGCAATAACCTTCCTCTCGACACGCTGACGCCCGCTCGATACCCGTCACCCAGCGATAGCCCCGAAGCAAAAGCCGAAGCCGAGAAATCGTTGAAGCAGACTCGCGACGTGGCTGTTGAATGTCTTACGACACCCCGTTTCGTCGCACGAGGCGTTTTCAGGAGCCTTCTTGGCACATGGCGGCTTGAACGCGATCTCAACAGTCGACTTCCTTCACACCCAAGCGGCAAGTTTGTCGGCACCGCCCAGTTTCTGCTTCGCGAAAGGACGTCGGAGGGCCTTCAGTGTGCCTCTGATCCAAACAGCGTCGATGCTTGCGACGAGAATGGCGGTGGAGAGGATCTAGAATATCTGTATATTGAAGACGGCGAATTCCAAACCTCGGCTGGTTTCGGATTCAAGGCAACTCGTCGGTACATCTGGCGCTATGACTCCAAGAAAGACGTCATCAGCGTATGGTTTGCCAAGCCAGACGACCAGAAGCGCGCAGACTATCTCTTCCACGAAATCGAGTTCGAAGCACCCCCGCTGGAGGACAACGAGAAGCGCGAAAAGGAAGGCTGGAAGGCAAAGGCTGGACATCTTTGCATTGATGATTACTACAACGTTAAGTACAACTTTGCGTTCAAGGCTGTGAATTTGGAGAAATGGAGTATAGAGTATACTGTCAACGGTCCGAAGAAGGATTATACGATTCATGGCACGTATGAGCGGATATGAGTGTTGATTTTGGCGCCGCGAGATATATGGACGTGGTTAGAGACAAGTGCGAACGTTTGATACAACAGGTACTCTAAAATTAGATGATCATAATCCACTACAAGACATCGTGTTTAGCATCCGGTCTAACTCTATCACAACTTCGTAAACACTTTGTTTGCATGGCTTGGGATCCTTCATAGAGGTGTGTCCCAACTTGTCTGTACTTGGGAAAAGCGGCAGGATATTTGGCAAGGAACTGAAGGCGACCAGTGGCTGTCCTGTAGTATGGCGAGCTTGGTCAATGGAGGTTCCAAAGGATGGGTCTTGGGGATGAGATTACCTCCTATCTGCATCACCCAGGCTTATGGCCATACGTAGTCTTGCTACGAATGCAGTTAATCCAGGCTGTACGTCACGATATCGAGAGCAATGGGTAGCAAAGTGCCTTCTCAAAGGGCGCCAGTTGTCATCATCTTTCTTATACAACTTGTACGCGGCGCCTAGTGTGGGAGGCCATGGGAGTGGCCATGTGCAATTGTAAGTGGATTCACGCTGAGCTGCGTGCTGGGCTTTGAGCATGGAATGGAGGCTCTGAAGAGATTGGAGTGACATTTCAAGTTCATGCAATTTTTTCATAGCAATGGATGCAAGGCCGTCTGTTGGTTGGGATGGATGGCTTGGAGAGATTTCTGGGCGGTACTTGTTGTCATGATTGGCTGAAGAGCGGTCTTTGTGCGCATTGTGGATGGAGCAAGGGAGGTTCACATGATGGCTGTGCTTTCTTTGATCCGAGAGAGAAATACATGGGGGAAAGAATTGATTAACGCTGCGCTTTGGGCAGAAGTCCAAGCGGGCTTCATTACTTGAGCGGAGCACATGATGAGCGAGATGAAGTGGCTTGATGGAACAATGGGAAAAGAGATGTGATAGGTTGGCGAGACATGGTGGCCAAGTCTTCAAGACGACGAATGACCTAAATACTTTGTTGAAAGGATGATTGTATTGATGAGTGAACAGTAAAAGCTGTCTTTGTCTTTGTTGGTCGACATGGTAAGCGCTGGGCCTGAACAATATGTGTTGAACGACGAGTGACGCATTCCATTTATGAAGTCTCATCTCGAAGAGACGAATAATTGGCTGTGAGTTATCCATGGTGGCTCTTGGTGTGTTCAACGGGTGTAACCACTTCTTTCACTGTTCAAAGGAAATATTCGGCTCTGGCGAGGCATGTATTGAAGTTGAACAGATTATGGCCAGCATCAGATGGGATGGGAGACCGAAGTGACCGTCTGCAAATAAATATATATATATGCCTTATACTGCTAATAATTGTTTGCGTTGAATTGCCAAACATTGCCTTGCGAGACAGTAAACTCCCACCAGCTCTGCTGTACAACTCCCACCAATTGATCAATGGACATCTTCAAGCCATGCCGAGCTTCGTTAAGAGAAGCCCTGAATCACACATCGAGTCGCCAAAAAAAATGACAAGGAGTCATTGAAGGATCTAGGTGCAACTGTTATTTTTGCGGCGGAGGCTGCCTACCACCTCAGGCAATATGACTCCGAGAAAGAACGCTACAGATTCCAGTTTCAAGAGTGTTTGTTCAAGTTAGTGCGATGCAACAATAATCACGAGGAGCTAGGTGCATTCGAGCGGATTCCTGAATGGAAACGTGCAAAAATGACTATATTTCACGAGGAAGTCGTGCGGCCGTTGGTTGAGTGGTTCCAAAACGAATCCAAAGAGGCTGATACTGGAGAGGCAGGCCCATCTCTTAAGGACTACTACGCTGCATTTTACTACTATCAATCTGCCTGCAGCCTGTGCGCGAGGTTTCAAAAGGATGAGAAAGGCGTCTACAAGGACTGGGGGATGCCCAGATATGGCAAGCCTGATCATGATGTTTATTTTCATAACAAGATGCTTTCAATGATCCAAATAGACTTGTGTGGGAAGTGGGAGCAGCGTATTCTAGGGAAAATAGCCGACTGGGTGGGGGGTCATTACTCAAAAGTTATAAGCTACGCGCAGACGATTCGCCGGGAGGATTGTCCAAAGCGTGAATGTAAGTTCAAATTTCATGTCCACAGTTCATAACCGATTCATTATAACTGACAGAATTCTGGCAACAGGCAAAATACTGGCAAATTTACTCGCTCTGCATGGCCTTGATCATCTTCTGCGGAACCGCTTCTTAGATACACTTGACATAGAGAAGCTGGTGAAAGAGCTGGTAGCAGCTGATGATCGCTTGACAGGTCAATGTTTTACGACCGAGTCATTTGTCATAGATCATCTGAAAGACATGGACCAGCGGCTTAAGGGTTGTGTGTTTTATGGGATGGGCTAGAATATCTCTGCCTCTAGATTTTGGCTCAGTAGAGGTACATATCATTTGCCTCAGCACACAGAAAAGAAGGTTTCTTTCACCTTCTTGCCTCTTTTCGGATGGATAAGAGATGGGTCAATATAGCGCAAGCTGGTGGCTGTGGTTACTTAAGATGGGTTATGTGGTTTGGGAAGCTGTCCGGGCTGCGTTTGTGAGTAGTTATTAGCAGAGTAGAAGTGGTAGTATCTCTGTTTCCGCCATTATGTCTCTGTCATATTTTTGCAAGATTTATATTTTTATTATATATTAACCCGTAAGATTCCTTACTTATACAACTGTGACATTGAACATTAGGTATTTATAGTCGTTTATTGCTTTGTTGAAAGGATGATTGAATTGATCAGTGAACAGTAAAAGCGGTTTTTGTCTTTGTGGCTGGGCCTGAACATCGTGTCGACGGAGCGCATTACATTTTGGACATTTCAATTCGAAAACACGAATAATTGGCTGTGAAATGTTCATGGCGGCTATTTATTCTATCGTGTTCAACGGCAAGTGGTTGTTCAAAGGTGATTCAGCTGTGTCGAGACATGTATTGGTAAATCAAGCAGATTGGTATAAACATCAGATGGGGTAAGAGAAGGAAGTGGCCGTCTGTAAATAAATATATATATCTGCCTTACGGCGCCAATAATTGCTTGCTTTAAATTACCAGACATTGCCTTGCGAGACAGCAAACTCCCACCAGCTCTGCTCTACCAATCCCACTATTTAACTAATGGGCATCTTCAAGTCATGCCGAGCTGGGTTCAGACCAGCCCCAGATTCTGCATGGAGCCAAGAACACCTTAAACAGAAGCTATCCCAGGATCTAGGTCCATTAGGCCTTTTCATGGCAAAACTTGTCATTGATGCTGCCAAACGTAACTTCATGAGAGGAGACTACGTCGTTAAACAGGATATTTGCATGTACCTCTTTGAGGACCGCTATAATCAGGGACAGCCAACGAAATTTCGATCGTCCGACTGGAAGGAAATGGCCACTTTTCACACGGATGTCATTGAGCCATTGGTTCGGGAATTTCTGAAAACAAGATTCCTGTTTAATCCAGGCATGTTCACAATGTTTCGTAGGATAGGGGATGATCCAACTGACGATAGACTGATCTCGTTTCGCAATGCTTTTTATCACTATCAGTTTGCATGCATCATGGCAACCAGGTATCAGAGAAATGATAAGGGCACTTGCCGGGACACCAGCCTCACCGAAGAGGACAGAGAAAAAAAGATGCTTCATAAAATCTCTGGCTTGTGTTTGGATGGAGAGGAGCGGTTATGTCTGGCGGAAATCCTCGACTGGGTGGAGGGTCGTTACGGGAGACTCATAGACAAGGCACTGGAGGGTCGCCCCCGGAACGATGATAAAGGGCTATCGAGTAAGTTCAAAGTCCCATCTCCCTACTTTATAACCGATTCATTCTTACAGGCAGTTTTCTAGCAAAAAAAGAGGATGTTGTAAATTACTTCGCCAAGCGTGGTCTCAGATATCTTCAGAGCTGCTTACGAGATGAGCTTGACCTGAAGAAGCTGAGAGAAGCTGAAAAGCACTGTAACTTACCATTCGCAAGCGCAGAGATATCCTTCATAATTGGGCTAAAAGAGGGCACCAAGTCTAGAGCTTGACAAGTATCCAAGAACTATAGAATACGTGTTTCACTATTAGCTCACGGAGAGTAAGGGTTCCGTCATTTTCTTGCCTATTTTTCGACGAATTGGGCACGGGTAGATTTAGTGTAGATCGCTAACTGTCGTTGCTTGGTATGGGTTATGTGGCTTGGGATGGAAGGCGTTCGAGTAGAGAGCAACGCGCTGGCCGCGTTTGTGTGTAGTTATCAGTATTGAGAGTAGGAGTGGTGGTAACCCTATGTCTGTTTCGGCCATTGTATCTCTGTAATATTTTTGCAAGAATCATATTTTTATTATATATTAACCCTTTACATTCCCTACTCATACAACTGTGACATTAAACATTAGGTATTTGTAGTCGTTTATGGTACAGACAGCGATCCAGCGCAGCGTCTCCAGCAGCAGCAATTAGTTCACCAAGATTGTGCAGACCCAGCTACACAAAGCAACAAGTAAAGCCACCAGCACCCACCGCAGCTCAATGGTAAACTTGGTTTCAAGCCAGCGCTGCCATGCCTTCATGCCTCGTCGGCGATTGGGACAAGTGGGGGTTCCGTAGATTATGCATCCCAAGCCAGGCCGTGATTCGCATTCAATGTGCTCTCGCCGGCGCTTCATGAGTAGCCTGTTTCAGATCAGCATCTCGCTTACAACTATTTCTGATTCAATGAGAAAAATGAGTGAGTGTGACTTACGCTACACTGCCTCTGCAGAATCGCAAATCCGTGCCCAAATCACAGCGCCCGTTGTTCGGACATTCTAGATGAAGACGGCGCCGCTCAATGAGCCACTCCACCTTGAGGTCGACGTCGGTGTCGACAAAGCTGTGGAAATACCGATTGGTGTATTTGAGAGAGAGCGCATCGGGATATATCAGAAGTTTTGAGATTTGTAGATGAATTTCCGTCGGTAGGCTGAGAAATGAAGCCCGCGGCTCATGTTTGTCTTCCATCATGTCGGTTTCCGTTTCCGAGGGGCCGCGGTTGATATCGGAGCTGCATTTCGTGATGGTGGAGCTCATGGCGGAAGAGTCGGGAGAAAAGGTGAGGAGAAGAAAACCAGCGTGATGATTGCTTTGCCGAGGAAATAGGAGAAATCAGGGGATTATAGGCGGATATCAGAGTGAAGGTATGTTACTTTGAGATGGCTGGATCATGAATGTTTTGTTTATGTATTTGATGGCTGCCTCCGTCGTGTTAGTGAATGCCTTGGTCTAAGCCAGGGCGGCACGGCCACCAAAACAAATAGAAGAGACATTGAGCCCGAGTATGAACTAATGCCAGGCCCCCAAAATACGAGCCGCCTCAGGTGACGGGGAGCCGAAACAACGGATCGCTGATCGGGCTATGCAGCAGCTGCTGCACAACGTCAAACGTGTTAAAAACTGCAAGGCAGCTCCATTTGCAAGGGCCTGGGTGGCTGGCCATCGCGCCTTTAGTGGAGGCTTTGCTGCATTTTGACACTTGTGGCCGCTAAGTCAGGCAGCGATCGAGCACTTGCGGGTGCCTGTTGATCCCTGTAGCTGCTCAAGTGATGGCTGTAGATCCCGTGAGATGTGGTTTGTTTACATGGATGTGGTGTGGTTGGTTGGTTTGCGGCCATGCTTCAAGATGGCTGCCGTGGAGGGGGAAAACGTGGCTTCGTGCTAGATGATCTGGCTGCCTTTAGCATCCAGGCACACAAAGTTTGCCAGGGAATTTGACGTCAATGATGATGAGACTAAGTAAGTTACCCCGGAATATGAAGCTTGAGTGTTGACTCTTCCCGAAGGACTCACAAGTCCTAGCGATCTGAGAAGTGTAGTGTGCAAGGGACTGGACTCATGTCCACTATTAGCTGCGGCTGAATACCTGATTCACGCCACGTCAAGACACGATGCCGTGTTATTCTATTTTTGTAACTCGCGACCAATCTATTAGCCAAGCAATTGTATTATGGACTATGGACAAGCTAAAAAGAAACATGTCGAATCACAGCAGAGGATATCGGTAAATCATCAGTTCTGCTAGTCGCGGCGAACCACGTCACCTACACCTCTTCACTCCCACTGATTTGCTTCAAAAGAGTCAAGCTATTTAGCGTCTCTTTTCGTGCTAAAGGCACAATATCGTCTCCCTGTTCTTTGCTCCCATCGCTGCCCTCATCACCATGCGCCAGTTTTGACTTGAGCCTTTTTTGGCGTGCAGCTCGTCGAGGCTTCTTGGTGCTAGGGAGACAGGTCACATCGCACACGTTGCAGTAATCCTCTCCTAATTCGTCTCCCCTGTCCACTGGCAGCCGAAGTTTTTTGTTTTTTGGACAAAGTGATAGCTGCATCGCCCAGCCGTGGATCTCATCCCCTTTGTACCCGTAGATGCAGGCCAGTGTCAGCACGAAGAGGGTAACTGGTATTCCCGTTGCCCAGAATAGCCCTTGCTTATAATGCATATTTCTCACATCGGCTGTGTTCATACCCATGAAGCTCGAGACAAAAGACAGAGGTAGGAAGAAAAGCGTTACAATCGTAAAGACTCTGATGGCTTTTCTATGATCCTCTTCCATTATTTCAATGTCCTGTTTCACCTGTTCTTTTAAAAATCTCGACCGTGTCTTCATGTTCTGTACTTCTTGTATTCGCCTGTCGAGCTGTCGTGTGTGGTTGTCTTGGTACGCCTTTTCGGCGCGATTCTGCGCGACTCTTGTCATGGTAGTAAGACGGAGGGTATCAGGCGAAATGGACTTTGCAAATTTATGCAGGCACTCTTTTTGGTGGCTTAGCAAAGTGTGTAAAGCATCGAGTTCTTCTTCAAGATCGCGAATGTCTAGAAAGACTCGCTTTTGGGGTCGCTGATTGGCCTGGTAATGAAGCTCTGAAGCATAGTCTTTATACACCTCGAGAGTATTGTCGTTGGGGCGTGAGTTTGAGGTCTTGACCTCGAAGAGTAAGTTGTGACTCTTGCAAATTAAAGCCAAGGCCAAGAACTCAGCTCCAACGGCCTGAGGTTGGGGTCTTTCGATGTCACTAGACGTATTGCCGGACAGGAATATGTCTCTCTTAGCATGATCCAATCGATCTAACATCCGGTCTTTTGCAGTCTCCTCAAATCGCTGCAGCTCGTTGATTTTATCCGAAATCCTTGATTGGTCAATTCCCGAGGATGTCTTTATTCTCGTCATCAAAGATAGTCTCTTTGATCGGAGGATAAATACCTGAACAATCTTTTGGAAAGCGTAAAAGATATGTTTCGGTAACGGTGGTCTTATCGCTAGATCACCCATTGAGTAATCTTCCTTGGATGTCACCATAGCATGTAGCTCATTCATGTGAAGTGCCAGCTCGGAGAGCTCTCTTTCAAACTCTTGTACGTTGCGAAGCAGATCATTTCGCTCATTTCGCACAGGATAATGTGAGTGCCAAATACGATGCAGCCATGAGTAACATGGATCGTCGTACGGCCTGTTCCCTCTGTGGTGACAATCGAAATGCTCATCGTGGAAATGTTTCAGTGCCTCTTCTGCCGACGAGTAGTGCTTCCCTCCCTTACAATCTCCGCATTTGGCCAAGAGCGTCTTTTGAGAGTTTGGAGATTGGCTTCTGCCTGTTCTTTGAAGGATCACAGAAAAGTCGCGAATGATATATGTTGGTACATCGTGAGGCTCACGTTCGCTCTCTTCCCAGATGAGTTGCTACACGCCACGAGTGTCAATAAGAAAGTGAATATATGGTGGAATGGTGTGGTCTTACTCTGCGAATTATATCCATGCAACCCCAAAACCGTTTCAAAAGCTTGTGCACTGTTGAGCTTCCCGTCTTTGGCAAAAATGACCACAGAATCTGCCGGCTGACTATGACGAGCTGTTCCATCAACTCTTTATCAGGGCTCAAAATGCCCAACGATTGTGCCTGCTTCATAGCGACATCGTCTTGTCCAATAGCAGGCAGCGTTATTTCTGAATCAGTGTTGCTCTTCTTAACCCCCTCCATTTTCAAGTGGGCGTTTTCGCTGGCGTGATCAACTGTAGATACGCTATTCGGCAGATTGTTGTCTTTCACTGTGATATCAGCGGTCATCGGGCCACCATTTCGATGAGTAAGACTCTCTTTTGCGATAGTGAGATCGTCTTCTTGTAAGCCTCCACTCGGAATATCTTGTCGAGAGAGAAATTCCTCCTCTGTAAGCTCTGGGACTTTGACATAGTAATACATGCCTACTTGGCTGTTAGAAATTGCTTCGTCGGCTTCATCAAGAAGCTTGATCATGTCTGCCTCTTTGGCGCTTCGCAATGAGCTGGAGGTCGTTGGAATGCAGGGTCCCCATAAGAAAAAGGGTACTATTTTCGCAGGTTTGGATCCTTGTACCTTAGCCGTAGGGTATCTGTCGTTGGCCAAGCCGCTTGTGGTGGAAGTAACTGGTGTCTGTTCGGTGGAGGCATCTCGCTTCCGATGGTGGGAATGAGATGCGCTGCCCGAGTTCGTACGTACTCTTAGCTTTCAATGCATGTCTTCGGTCCCTATTTTTGTCATTTTCCACAATACTCGGTTTTCGAGGATATTCCGAGTTGAGATTGGTGATAATAGGTGACGGTAAGCGATATTGGGAGTCGGTGTGTTGGTGCGTGTGGTAAGCTCTCAAACTGTCACGCCGAGAGCTAAACGATTCCGCATTCGCGCCTGACGCAAAGGAAGGAATTGATCCTTGACTTTGACTTTGACGTTGCTTATGGATGAATAGTTGTTTTAAAAACAAATCGTTACTTGCATTGGGGTCATCTTCCTGGACCTATGAAGAACTCGAATGTGAGACAACCTTCGTTAGAGCGTAGGGTGTGAAACTCACAGAAGAGTAAGTTTCAACGGATATTTCTGCACCAGGCTGCATCTTCTTGTGTCGTATTCTTTTGTAATTTATCTTGTGTTTATTCGTCTCAGGGAGATCAATGGTTCCGTCAATGTCTGTCATGTTACCTGCAATATCATCATTGAAGTTGGTGAAATTACCAGTGGAAGAAGCCTCCGGTGCATCTCTGTCATTTGGAGAGTTGTTAATTCCTAGTGGCCTTGTTGTGTTTGTGCCTTCAACCAATTCACTTCCGTGTGATTGCGGGATAATACCCAAAGGGTATGTATCAGTGTCGTACAGCTCATCGGGATCTTGCGGATCTGGAGAAGACACAATAAAACCAGTACCATCTTGATACAGAAAGAGTGGAGCGGAAGCGGTGTTGGAGGTGAGCTGGTCTGCTGATTCGTGTTTAGAGGACTTCTTCTTAGAAGATCCCACCAGTCTAGAGGATGCGTCGGTGCGTCGGTGCTTTGTTGGCATTTCGTCCAATATACTGGAAGCATCATATCTTCTGTACTCCAAAAAGAGCCGATCTTTACTCGGATCTGCATTCGTTGGTCTTAGGGTAAGATAAATTGTATAAAATGGTGATTTTCGCATGTTCCGTGAGCTCGCAATCTTAATCCATCGTTCGGCAGTGATGATGACTTTGTTCTCATCGCGCAGATCATAATTGAGAAAATCAGATCTCTTTTTCTGAACGGCATCCATCGTAATTTTGAAAAGATCAACCCATGTAATGCTTGATGATACAGCAATATCATGATGTTTTTGCTTATCGTCAATGATCTTAATCTTGATTGGCGGTTCATGTCCCAGACTTCGCTCTCCAATCGTTCCGTCCAAGAGTTCCTGAGTTGTATGGTCTGACATGGTGATCAGAAGGGTAGGACCAATCAGAAGGCACCACATTTGGTTCACGTGCAGTGCATTGTTCAGTTGTGAACCATTCCCAATCTTGCGAACAATTTGAGTCTTATCGCGGTTTGGAGTAACATCGAACCCGTAGAGGTTCTGTAGAAGTGTCCGGGGATGATGGTCGCCGCGATTTTCCCCATTTTGGTGCCCTTTCAAAGGACGTAACCTCAAATAGGGTGAGGCAACAAAAACAACCGGAACGGTTGGGCGAGCCTGTTGCGAAAGCAAGTTTTGCTGAGAATAATTGCCGATGCCTCTCAGAACAGACCCAGGTTCAATGTAGGGTCCTGTTTCAGAATGTCGTAGATATTTTTTCCCGGCTCTTTTGACGAGTTCTATCGTAACAGTTTTGACATCGTCGCCAATCAAGTGACACTCCATAACGAATTGCTGCATCCCGATTAGCAATGGCCAATTGTTTCAGCTGTTTATATCTTACGTGTAAGACATCAAGATCCATCGCGGCACTTTGCAAATGACTAAACATCATCTTATTAGTGTCTGTCAGAGTATTTAGGAGGGCGAAAATCTCACAGCCATTTGGTCTGCGTCGAGTTGCGAGATTCATCGTGCGTTGGAGGCCCCTCTTGGCGAGACACCTCCTCTTCTCCTGCATCATTGACGGAATATTCGAGATTCCCAAACGTCTGTAGTTTCTTAATGAATCCCTTAATATATGCATTTCCTTCGTCCCAGTAAGGGGCGTGAGAAGCGCTATTGATGGAATCTCTGTAGTTAGATGCCAAAGGGATATTGATGGACAGTCCCTCATTTTCAGCTTCATAAGCCATTTGTCCCTGAAAGAATGATTCAATAGTCTCTCCAGTTGCATCGATGGACTGCGAAAGAATATTCAGGCCATAATCAAAAGGCGACAAAGACCGTGGTGTTTCGTCAAGAGGATCAGTGGGTGCGCGATGACCATGATTTTGGTCCATTCCTCGAGAGTCTCAAGTGCGTTTGTCATCCTCGTCATCAGTAGTTTGTATATGATGCACGTTGTAACTTCCATGTTGCAAAAAATTGTCACTCGCGTCATTAGCATGACTACCGTCGGTAGAAGTAACTCCAAGGTCAGGATCTTGGTTATTTTGCGTATAAATGCTAGGAGAGTGAGTTTCCATTTTTGTAAGAATGGATGCACTCGGCATACAAAAAGATTTTTGATTAAAAAAGAACTTTGTAGAGCTATTAGCAATATCTCAAATGACAAGTCAAGATGATCATCTCAAACAGCATGGAAGGTGGGAAAATGCAGTATATTTTATACTGAGAGCAAACCACTCCCGAGACGTAGGATTACGTCGATATCTCATCGTGTCGATACTGCAGCTAGGGAGCTATGCAATGCTATACAGGAAGGCTGCATGGTGCTGAGAGAGAGCCGCAGACGTTGGCCAATCATTATCAGCCGGGTATATCCCTTGCTCTTGGATCTGAACAAGGCTGGCCAGGGCTCATGTACAGTAATCCAGATGCATGCTGTGGCTGAAATGCTATGAGCACACGAAGTTCGCCGAATACAACTTGTCAGTTGGTCCCAGCAAAAGGTCGAGCATTGTACAGCCTCAGTGGCGAGTGTGTTGGGCGGGGAAAACCGTTGTATGTTGCAATGCAGGCCATCTGTTTGATTACAAGTGAATCAGGCTGTGCTATGTACACTGCATGGTAACCCACACACCGACTTTTAGCCACCTTTCGTTATTCTCTCCTATTGGATGCGTTGCCAGTGATATATGATATGAGTAAAGTCATTGGTCGTTGTCACGGTCCAGGGAGGTTCGTCCGCTTTTCCGCCAGGCCGGTCGAATAGCATGTCATCTGGACCTTGATAGCTGAATGAAGATGCATTCGGTGCTATGCAGGAATTTATTTATACGTCTCTGGTGGCAATACATAGGTCGGTCATATCTGATGTACAAGAGAAGCACAGGCTGATAAGCTCATTGCCATATAAGGCTGAGGAGGCGACTTTTCATCCCAAAAGAGCTTTCACAAAGCTAACACGACGACAATGCTCTTTAGCTAGGTGAAGTTATACCGAGATAAAGCCCGGAATGACATCAGAGCTCAACGATGCAACAGTTTACTTACTAACAGTCGACAGAATTACTCGGCTCTTCGTGAGGCGCCCTCTAGCATTGTTCCGTCAATATGCGGAGTACAGCTGCACCCGCCAAATGCAAGGGAGTCTACATCCAGGTTCTTCTGTGGAGATTGGTGCGCCACTTTCTATGTGAAACTATTGGACCGTTGCGAGGTGACGAGTTAGATTTCGCCTCATGCCACAAGCAGTTTAGCACACTTACACCTTGACTCTTCTCCTCCGCCATTAGTAACTCTCCCTTCTTTCATTCCTCGAGATGGTATTCAGTTGACGTTTAATGAGCCTGATTGGAAAGTAATTGCTTTGCCTCGGGTCCGTATTGATACATGGAGAAAGAAGCTGAGTTACACCGCAGCAATGCCTCGAAAGGTGTGTCCATTTCAAAGCAGCCGTCTCTGATGCGTAATCTCGCCAACCCTGTACTAGCCCATGTTAATTTTGCATCCAGTTCATTACTCAAGAGGTCAAAGACCAGAATCGCGAGAGTCAGCGCCGATCGCGAGCTCGGCGCGCTGAATTGATAAATGATCTCAAGAAGAAAGTGCAAGATTTTCAGCAGCAAGGCGCATCTGCCTCTTTGGAAATGCAGAGGGTGGCTCAGGCAGTGACACTTGAGAACCAGCGCCTAAGAAGCCTGCTGAGCGTGCATGGCGTATCGCAGGACGAGATTAATCAATTCATCTCACCTCCTCCGGCCACTTCACCTGGATCGCCAGATGGATTACCTGAGTCCGGTACTTTGAAGTGCAAGGCATGCGGCAGCACATCCATAATGCTACAACATCTGCCGGCTGTATTATCACCACTGCAACATCAACATCAAAATTATCACACCACGCCACAGATTATGAGCGATTGTGCCCTTCCATCACCTTCCATCTCATGCGACACAGTTGAACTTTCCAGAATAGAAAGTAATACCGACGTGGGAGTTAGTCCAACAGCATTCAACTCACCACCTGCAAACCACATTGCTCGCTCCGGTCCCTCTGCTAGAAATATTAAAGGAGCGAGAAAATCTCAGAAATCTCAGTCCCAAGAGAGCAGAAAACGTCAATGCTGCGGATCCCGTTCAAGTGAAGGCGACAACCAACATAGCGAAAATCCCTTGGAAGATCAACTCCATCTCGCAACACCTCGTCCTCTTCCAAATCCTACAGAACCTGAAGCTATTAGCTCTACCGACTCTATGGAAACATCTTGCGATACGGCGGCATCCATTCTAGTGGATCTTCACCACGGGATGGATAATGAACAGGCTCGCACTGCCCTTGGCTGCAAAGGATCAGAGACTTGCAATGTCAGCAACATCAAAATTTTTCAACTTTTGGAGAAATTTGACTAGTTCGCTAAAGTATCTACACTGGATCATCAAAATTCGTTGATTAGTCCAATCTATTTCCAGCCCCATCTATTTGCGACCCATCGAAGAGCGTATACCAAACCCAGCAAAACAGGCACTTCTATCAAAGGCCCAACGGTGGATGCCAATGCCTCATCGCTGTTCGGACCAAACGTCGCAACAGCTACAGCAATGGCCAACTCAAAGTTGTTACTTGCCGCTGTGAAGCTTTGCGTCACAAGAAACTGGTATTCAAACCCAAGCATCCGACAAATGCCCACGGTCGTGAAAAAGACAATGGCAAAGTACACAACAAGCGGAGCGGCAACACGAAGGACTGAAACAATCTGATGCACCACTTGATGGCCTTGGGCAGCAAACAAGACCAAAATGGTATATAAAAGCCCGATAAGAGACCATGGCGAGACAAAGCGGATGAATATGCCATCATACCATGCCGGCCCCGCGATGAATCGAAGACCAAACCTCGTTATTACGGCAGCGCCTAGGGGAATGCCTAGAAACGCTGCCACACTCGTTGCGACGACCGAATACGAGATAGGGGCGATGTCGTTCTCCTCGCTGATGACATTAAGAAAGAAGATGGCAAGCGGCGCAAAGAGAACTATTTGCAGAATGGAGTTGACGGCAACCAAGATGGCGCAGTAGTCGTTGTTGCCACCGGCGAGGGCATTCCAGATTAAGACCTCGACGCATATGTCAGCATGTGATTATAGCACAACTCGATCATGGTGGAAGCGAAGAACATACCATGGCGATACATCTACCCAGGCCGACAAGAATAAGGCCAGTACGAAGGTGACTCTTGTCTGGAAGAAATGCCCACGATAGCGCAAGCTATGCAAGTTTTTCAGCGTTAGTATTTTGAAGAAGGCTATCGCGTAAAAGCAGTTGCTCACCATGAGAAACGGGGCTATAATCCAATTCACGAAAACGCTGAAGCCGATTTGCTTCCACAACTCCTTTTTGTTCAAGAGCTTGTGAAGGGATTCATACTGGACCTTGCACAGAATAGGGTACATCATCACCAGCAGTCCAATGGCTAAAAGAGTGTTATTGAGCGAACCATTAAATATTCTCAACGCAGGTCAACTTGCCTATTGGAACAGATACTCCAACGAATTTTCCTTTTTCCAGAGCTGGAGACATTGAGGGGACAAAATTTCCGAGGATGATGCCTACAGCCATCGCCAAGAAGATCCAGACTGCCAGAAAGCGATCCAACAGGCCTAGAGATGCGAAAGCAGAAAAGTTGCGCTTCTGCTGTAAGTTATCGTCATCGATATGGTGTACATCGCCGCTATCAGTTTGTTGAGCTTCTATATCGTTCGATGCTTTTTCTTGTCTCACTTCCGGCTCTGAAGCATCTTGTGCTTCCACAGCTTTATGATCAGACATGGCAGATCAATCTGAAGCAAGGCTTCGCGCCTTTTCTGTGTTGAATATCGATATTGATAGTGATAAAAGAGGCTGTGATCAACAGACAGAACTAAAGTGCAAAATATCGTGAATTTATCTGGCCATTTCAACGGCTAAGAGAAAGTTTTTGCCATAAAAGTATGTGAACTGATACTTCAATTGTGATCCATAATGGCATTACCGCCGGGGCGAATTGAAGCAAAAAATGGGACGCTGCCCAGACATGGCCAATGAGAGAGGCAGGACATGACACACTCCCAACATTCTTAATGCCAGCGTATTACAAGCTAAGAAATTGCGACTGAATTCATGTCGAGCCATAATTACGAGAGTTAAAAGAATGACTTGGACATGCATAGATCAATATGAATCATATTTCTAATTAATAATTATCTCAGAGCCGCATGACAACATAAGCTACCTACAAACAAAGGGGCGAAACTCAGCCTATTAATCAATCTATCAGGCATGTCGCGCCTGAAAAACAAGTAACATAGCTACAAAACAAGAATTACATGAAGAAATAAAACATTGCTCCAACTTGTAAGCCCAGCAAAGAGATCCAGCTCAATTCAATCGCTTTTCCAGCACCATTCCCGGTGCCACTTCCAGACCCAGAGCTTCCAGATCCAGAACCCGACCCCGAACCAGATGAAGTCCCGGCCTTGGTGTAATTGGCGGGAGGATTCGACAGTCCAGTGCTGTTAGCAACGTCCTTGTATTCAATTCCCCCAACCCACACTTTAGCAATATCCCGTGTGTTGGTTATGTTGGCCAGCGGATCACTGTTGAGAAGAATCAAATCAGCCCTCATGCCAGGCGCAATCTTTCCTCGGTCTGCCAGCCTGTGGTGCTGAGCGGCGAGTTCAGTTGCTGCACGTAGGGCTTCCACTGTGGTCAATCCTGCTTCTACAAGATTCTCTAGCTCAAAATGGAGGCTTAGTCCGAATGGAACAGAGATGTTGGCATTGATAACTCCCACAGCATCTGTGCCTGCCAAGATGGGGATACCAGCAGCGTGAATAGCCCGGACATTCTGATACACGTTATCGTAGCTGTCTGGTCCGCCAATCTGGTGACCGGTAAAGGTCAATATGGCAGGGTTGGCAAACGCATATCGAGCAATATTCATAGTCGGGGTACTCCAGCTGTTGGAAGACCTGCGAGCCTTTAGGACATTGGAGGCATTGATGCGGCCGTTTGTAGGAATATGCTGGATTCCGTCCGTGCCCGAAAGGACTGCTTGTGTCCAGGCATCAAGGTCGGCAGCATGGGTCATGGACTGCTTGCCAAGGTTGTGAACAGCATCAACCAAAGAGTTCTGCATACTCTGGCTAGGTCCATTTAACTCGGCCGTGATTTTATAAAAGTCGGAGCCGTTGCCAAAAGTGTAAGAAACAACTTCAGTGGCATTCGCGTCTGGATAAATGAGGTACTGTGAAGAGAGATTGAAAGTTCGAGAGTGTTGGCTGCCGGGTCCGGTGGCGGGGACTCCGGCCGAGACAAACGAAGCTACACCCTCCAAGTTGCGGAGCGGCGCGCATTGTGTGTAGTTTCGGCAAGCCATAACCATGGCAGTGGTGACTCCGTAAGAAGTCAGGGTTTCCAGCCCGGCAACGTTGGATATGTGGACGTGGCAGTCGATCAGGCCAGGAATTAAAACACCGCCGTTGCCATCAACTGTGGTCTCGATGTTGCTGGTGTCATTGCTGATATTTTCACCATCGATGATGACGGTTTGGAGCCCGGTGAGTTTAGTGCCGTCGAAAACACGAACATTCTTGATGGCGGTCTTGGTTCTTGGAGCGGGCTCTTGTCTTCGAATCATGTCGTTGGGATCTGGGGTCCGCTCTTGTAATAGATGCTCAAGGCAGGCAAAAGCGCCTTGTGAAAGCACCGTGGCGAGAGTAAGGAATTGAATTGGTTTCATTTTAGAGTATAATATATGAATAGTAGAAACAATAGGAGAAAAAAATTAGTTTTCAATTGAAGAGGTATAATGAGCGTCTAGAAGTGTAGTCCTATGCTCATCTGCCTTGAAGCTTGTTATGAATCTATAATTGTATTGCCAAGAGGGATGTCCAAAGTTATATACTCCATGACTTTGTTTTCTACGTCACCCTAATTATTCTCATCATCAACCCAATTCTGCCCAATCGCCATCTATCATTGTGCATATTCGTACACTATGCCATTACCAGACACAACAGGGAAACATGCAAGGGCCTTTCATCTTGCCTTAGGGCTGATGCATTAATCAACGTGAAGCAATGTTAGGGATCAATCAGCCCACGAGGCTATGGCAGGATTGTACGAGCAAAGCCTGAATATTTTGTTCAAACAGATCTGGCCCATATTCAGTCAAGCGTACGAAGGCAATCTTAGTTAATTGGGCTTCCCTTTTGAAAGGATTGCGATGGTTCAGGAAAGATGCATATTATAATGCATGGTCCAACCCTCATCTGATTAGACAACACCACAGTGCTCATCAAGACATGAAGCTAGCAGGGGTCAGGCTCGTACACTAAGTCGGAGAGGGATAGCTCAGGGGAGCCCATTTGCAGGCCTTCATCATTATTTCCGGGGCAGATCTCAAGTTGCTATTCTTGTATAGCCTCGCGGGCTGGGCTAACAGTGGCGTAACCTCCTCTCATGCACTTCGCCCATGCGCCTTGTTTGACTTTTGCCTCATCGCCCACAACGGCCTCCAGCTGTCTGCCGTCTCCATCTCTGTTTGCAGACTCCATCCCCTTGCTCCATAAATGCAACGGCCTGAGCGCCACTTGAGTGCGGAGCAAGCCAAACAGGCCAAACGAGAAATAATCAAACGAAGCCCCCGTTTGCATAAAACAGAGCCCAGAAAGATGGCTGGCGGCTCGCGAACTTTCCACCACAAGTCCCGGAATGGCTGTAGCCGTTGCAAGAAGCGGCGTGTCAGGGTTCGTCCGTCCTGCTATTGTATCCTGTTCGTAAAACTCTTGGCAGTCATGCTTATACATCTGTAATGGCGATAGTGTAATCTGCAGGCCCCGAGCTGTGCCAACTGTACGAGGCGAGGCGAGCTCTGTGACTATCGATTTCTCGGCAGAGACAGCCCGCAGAGGGTATCGTCTAGTCATGTTGCATATATGAAAAGAAGCAGCCACTCCGGTAGCTCGTCATCCCCAGAGGCGCCACTAGGGCCCGAGCTATCTTACATGTCTCCCGCTGCCCACTATCAGTCAGGCGTCGATGTTGGGTCTATAAGAGCGGCATCTCACCCTACCGCTGAGAGCTTGGCGTTGTGTCTACTTGAAGACGACGAGAGTCATCTGATCCCCGACGAGCTTGTAGACCAAGCGGATGCGAGTGAATTCCTTGAGCATAACATGGCGGTCGTTTCAACTCTTCACGACAAGTCTACAGACTCATTACTCCGACCAGACGGCGACACTACCAAATCAGATCTAGTTGCATATCAACATCAGATTGCGGCATCGAGCAAGTTCCGCAAATCGGTTGGCGCCATCAGCGACCGTAACTGGTTCACCGTCCTCGTCTTTGCCATTTCAGTCCTCATCTTCCACTTCGACATTCACAGAAGAGCAAAACGCGGGCTCGCCGACAATGAATATTTGGAACCAATAATGGCCTTACGTGGGGCCGCCCTCTTGGGCATGGAACTGGGGCCATATCTTATGAAGAGCAAACTGCTCGCCGCCGCCAGAAGGCGAATTGAGACCGAGAACCTGCCGTGGGACGACCTCGCCGAGCAGGCTATAACGAACCTCGAGCTAATAAACGAGACTTCGTCCCCGCTCCGAAGCCGCGGGATCTTCAAAGATGCCCTCAACAAGTTACAATTCTGGCTTAGACTGTGTAAGTCGAAGCCACGCACATGGCTACATTTTGTATGGTGGCCTGGGGCTATTGACCAAGAATATTTGGATCTTTTGGGAACGAATGATCCCATGGCGCTGGTAATTCTTGTACACTGGTGTGCAGTAATGAAGTCTTCGCCCAGAAAATGGTTCATGGAGGGATGGGCTGAAAACGTTGCACGACCGGCGATTGCACAAATTGGGCCAGAGTGGGACGATACCATAGCATGGGCATTGTCAAGGATAAGGCCTGGCGTCAGCAAGTAATGTGATGACGACTTGACCAAATTCCTTCAAATGATTATTTATTTTTAATAGACTCCGTTGGGCTATGAGGGGGTATAAGAATGCACATCATCCGTAGAGAGAATTGAGGACTTGAGAAACTACATGTAATAGAATGCATCCAGCCTATACTGTTCCCTCCTCCCCCCAACTTGTTGGCTCGTCACTCATCTCAAAATCAATCCTGCTCGCCTTTACAATCTGCTTATGCTTCAATAACGGTCTGTGAACCTCCTCCCCATCGACCTTTAAGCTCTTCACATATGCCTTCCCATCTGTACCCGCTCCCGGCGCTGAAATAATGAGCGTGTGCTCTTTTCCATCATCTCCGGGGCCAGGAGGCAACAAAATTTCCACTTCATCAAAGAATGGCGTTGCTACAACGTACTCATCGCTCGCCGGGTTGACAGGATAGAAGCCCAGCGCCGACAAGACATACCAGGCACTCATCTGCCCCAAATCTTCATTGCCACTCAGCCCCGAGGCCGTTGCGTTGTAATTCTCCCAGGCAAGTTCGCGGATCTGCCGTGCCGCATCAGCGGGATATCCGATGGCAGAGTACAGGTATGGAGCGTGATGCGACGGCTCATTGCTGTGCATATTATGGCCGCCCGCGAAATATTCATCCATGCGAGCTTTCATGGCCTTCTTCCCGCCTTTAAACAGTGAGGCTAGGCCGCCTACATCGTGCATCACATTCAATGTGTAGATCCACTTGTCTCCTTCAGTCCATCCCCAAGATTCATTCGCCCAAGTCCCGTTTGCATTGCGAGCTTGCATAAACTCCGTCTCTGGGTTCCAGAGGTTCCTGTAGTTTTTCGAGCGCTCTCTTAGCTCCTCTGCATGCTCGAGATCCCCTGCATGTTCAGCCACCACGGCAGCGGCATAGTCATCAAAGGAATAGTCGAGTGTACGGCTGGCGGATTCGGCCCAGCGATCGTTGTCAACCCATCCATGCTCGAGGTAGCTCGTTAGTCCAGCTCGGCATTCGTATGGAGTGCTTGGCTCTCTGGAGTAGTATAGGAGGTCGGTGTCGTTATCAGGAGGCACATACGCATCGACATAAACAGCATCCCAAGCCTTGGCGACATCAAAGTTATCGAAGCCTCTGATTAGAGCGTTTGCAATCACAGCGTCAACATGTGTCGCAATCATTTCGTTGTTCTCAATCATGTTGTTCCACAGAGGCAATCGCCCAGACCAGTCAAATATTCGTAGGAGAGAGCGCATCATGGAATCGACGCGCTCCGGAGCAAAGATGGTGAGTAGTGAGTGCTCTGCCCTGTAGGTATCCCATATCGACCACGACTGGTAATATGAATCGTTTGCTTCATGAACGCTGTCTGTATAACCACTGTAAAAGCGTCGGAGGCCACCTTCGGATGATTTGGTAGGTTCAGAATAGTCGCTTGGATATTGGAGAGCATGAAACAGACCAGTGTAAAAGATCGTCCGTGGGTCATGATCTGAGTCGGTTTCGTTGACTCCAGAAATTTTGATCCTGCCCAGTCTTTCTAACCAAGCCGATTTGACGTTATCGACAGTGGTTTCAAATGTCGTCCCGTCCGGTATATCAATATCCAGATTCTTCCTGGCCTGCTCTACGCTGACATACGAGACTCCAGTCCTCACCTCGACTCTCTTGACCGATTTGTCAAAGGTAACATATGCACCAACAAACTTGTCTTCGATATACTTTTCTCCATCATACAACCTTTCTGCGCGACTGACTCCATAAGAAGTAAAAGGCTCAGAGAAGCGCGACACAAAGTAGAGCCTAAAAGACTCGGGCTTGTCAGGGCCTAGCAGATATTCTTGTCGCTGGGAATTACTGCCTGACACCTCTTGAGCTTCAGGATCGATCTCAGCTTGACCTGTCCAATTGAGTCGGGTGGCCTGGATGGTGAAGTAAGGCTGCCGTGCCTGGGTATCCTGAAAATCGACGCGAAGATGGCCGACATGCGCCGACGCGCTCAAGGCTACTTGTATGGAATTCTCATATTTGTATCCTCCAGAGTATTCTGAAGCATTTGCCGATAGGCCTTGAACGGTGAACTGGTTCTCCGGCTCAAAGACATAATCTCGTCGTCTCACGCGGCCATTTGCACCCTCAGTCACATCCTTGTTAGGTATAAAATTAGCACCACCGGGACATGGAGGACAAGCATCGCCAAGAAGCTCCGACGTTGCCTGTTCAGTAAGATTCCAGCCGGATTCTCCCGCTGAATCCGCGTCGAGAGTCACCTCGTACACGTACGGTGTGCTTCTCTCGTCTTCTTTTCTGAACGATAGACCTCGTTGCTGAAACAGGTGTCGGACCTCATCTCCCAGACCTGGCATAAGCGCCACATGGCCGTTTTCGCCGATCCAAATGGCGGGCTGATGCGTTGCCTGGAAGCCGTGCATGCGGCGATCGCGGTCGTTGTAGGGGACCTGTGAGATGAAGTTTTCGCGCGTCTGCGGAGTCCATCGCGTCATTCCAAATGGCGGCGATACAGAGGGAATCATGCCACCGAGATCATTAGGATCGTAGCCTCTAGTACCGATGAGAGGGTTGACATATTGCAGGACACCCGCGTTGGCGTGGTAATCGCTGTTTACGTCTGCTGCTGATGGCGGCGATTTGATTGCGGGATCCGGGTGAGACGACAGAGCTATCGTGGATGAGGCCAGAGAGAGAAAGATGTATATTGATGAGCGTTTCATCATTGGATACGTGATATAGCAGCAGCTTTATTGATAACGCTCACATCTGAAAGACGTGTGATGAGAGGATAATGGAGAGGAAGCCACAGTCAGCCTGTCCAGCTAACAATTGAAGGTTCCAGAACCAACCACCTGATTGCCAGGCAAGTTGATGTGTTGCAATGTCACCCAAATTGAAGCTGCACGTAATTCGGGCTACAACACTGTGATATAATAGAAAAGTCACCGCCTAAAGATGAAGGCCGTGACATTCATTCCAATTGCATTTAAGCCGTTTCTCGGTCCATTCCGGCGGCACCGGTGTCGATCGTCCACTTTTTGCGGGGTACAGCTTGACATTTATACATCAGATGATGTGAACGAATAGCTTTGCCATTTATTCTTATTATCATCTGTGGTAATACAGAGTGCTCACTGCTGTTATTGAAATTGTCATGTAAATACACTTGATGCGGCAGCTTTGCGTGCGGACATGAACATACACTACTTGTAAAGGTGATGCTAAGACGCACCACCACAAGCCAAGACATACACAGTAAGCAATGGCTCTTTAGCTGACAAGGAAAAGAAAGCCACAAGTGAGAAAGATACCACCAAGAGCGCAAATATTCTCGAATTCACTCAATATTGAGCACTACTAGGTAGTAGTATCGGCGGTCGTGGGTATTCCATAAACGAGCATCCCGATGTCAGCCTCCGGGTACCCGGTATGTAGGTCTCCGATTATTAGTGAACATGGAACAGGTATAAGAGCAGTCGAATAGCCGCACATGTCTGCCTCAAATCAATAACCAGCTGTTTTACTCTTCACATGTCAATTCACGTCACTTATCACAATCATATAACATAAGTCAATGAGACATTCATTCATGATTCAAGTAACTGCATGATCATTTTTTCATCACTATCAACACTGCCCGTCATTCCATCTTGTTCCCTTAAATATCGACCTTGATCACAACCTTGCCCTTTGCCTTCTTCTGTTCAACCTTGTCATAAGCGGCCTGAAATTCCTCAAACTCAACAACGCTGTCAATCTGGGGCTTCAACCCCCGAGCATCAATAAAGTCGGCAATCTCCTTCAGATCCTCGCCCTTGCAGTCCATGAGGAACCAAGTGCTCTTCGCCAGCTTCTTAGTCACAGACTCTGGCTTCAACTCATCTGGGCCACCAACAACGCTCAGCAAGACACCATTCTCCTTGACAGCCGACCAGCATGAAGCCAAAGTTTGTCCACCAAGGCAGTCTAGAATCAGGTCAACCTCGCGAGAGGGATCCTCCTTAGCCCACTCGTCAATTGACTGCTTCTTATAGTCGATAATTTCTGTGGCTCCAGCCTTCTTGGCAGCCTCGATATTTGCGCCGCTGCACTGAGCAACGACAGAACCGGCACCAGCGGCGGCAGCAAACTGGACAGCCCAGGTTCCGACGCTACCTCCGGCGCCAGTAATAAGAACTCTTAGCTTGCTGTTATGAGCCCTTGCGTCCGCATCACCTCGAATCCCGTGCTTGTTGAGGGTTCCTTGGGTGAATACTCCTTGCCACGCAGTCAATGTGCTAAGTGGCGTTGCAGTGGCTTCAACCCAGTCTAGAGACTTGGGCTTCCAGGCCAACTCCTCAGTATGAACAATTGTGTACTCTCTCAGACATCCAGGAAACCTTGCATGGAGACGGAAATACACTTCATCACCGGGCTTGAAAGGACTGGACTCTGGTGAAGTGGCGACAATGCCAGCAGCCTCAGTTCCAGGAACACGCTCTCGGTTTGGTGGGAACAGCGATGGGTAGTTGACCTCCCATCCTAGTTCGCCGAGACAAGGAGCTGTGGCCTTGATCTTGATAAGATGGTCATCTGGACCAGCAGGTTTAGGAAGGGGAGTTCGCCGGAGCTCGAGGGTTGTGAGTTTAGGATCGATCTGATAGATAGCTCGGATGGTGGTGGGGAGGTTAGCAGAAGCCATTTTGACGAATTGGTTGGCAGTTGACAACAGGTTTGGCATTATTCAGACACAGAGAATGTGCAATGACAAGAGAAAAGGCTTTTTTTTAACAACTATAACTGTTTCACTTCATCAGAATCTTCCCGCATTTTATACTTTTCCCCCGCGCAAGCATCTCCATCATAGTGATGTCCATTTTGCGGTTCGGTAACCCATCTACGGGTAGCCTTCCCGTCTACCAACCGGGTACCCAATCTTTTCAGCTGCCAAGCATCGAATCGGCGACTCGTCCAGCTTCCAGACACGGCAGCAAAAACCCTAAAATTACTCTAACCTAATATACAGGTATGGCTTGAGAGGCGCCGCCCGGCCAAGACGGAAACGTGTTATGGCGATGCTTGTTAAGAACTGGAGATTCAGGCACTGCCGGGAATCGAGTGGATCGGGCACGGTTACGCCAGTATGCGGCTTTTCTCTTTAGTATATCCACTCCAAAAGGCTACCACTTACCCTTATTGTTGAGAATGGATAACATCAAGGGCTCTACCGCCTAACAGTACGGGCCAGATCCCTGCGATTCGGAGGTACTTCCAGCGTCTTTTGCTCTGCTCCGTGTCCGGTCTCCACTGGGCCGGGATCCGCTGCCGAAGTGTCCCAAAGTGGCAGCATATCCCGGCTCGGCAGATGGAAAACTGACTCGAATGGCAGTTTATATCATCTGATGATGCCTCAGATGATTTTGAAGGGAGGCTGCGTTTTGTTTCCTTTCTGGTGCATCGTCACATTTCCTATTGACTCCTCAACATGTTGTCATGATCACTATAGCTACCTAGCTCCAGTTGAGGGATTAATGGGTGACAGCAGTTCGCATACGCAAAAATCTAGTTGCTCAATGTTAATGTTAGTTTCTACTAGTCAAGATTCGGGAATGCCGTCACATCTGTATCACCTCTTCTATTTGTCATCTTCATAATACTCACCATTAACCGATTCAATTGCCATTATGAATACCCCATTCAATCCATAAACGGGCAAATTTTCCCAAGAGTTCAGGCAACCATCCGATTCCACCTATCACAACTCGCTCAGACCCTCCACAGCCTCCTCATGATCTCCGCATCTTCATCAACATGCCCTCTCGGCCCTTCATCTCAACATGCGTCTCATAAACACACAGACCCTTGACTTGGAAGAATTCTTCGACATCTATGTCCCCGAATACGCCATTCTCTCCCACACGTGGGCCGACGGCGAAATCTCCCTCCAAGAGTGGGCTGATCGCAAGAACCGACGCTTCAAGCCCGGCTATCAGAAGATCATCTGGACTTGTGAAGAGGCTACTAGAGACAATCTGCAATATGTCTGGGTCGATACTAATTGCATCGATAAGACCAGCTCGGCGGAGCTTTCCGAAGCCATCAACTCCATGTTCAAATGGTACCGCCGGGCGCGTATGTGCTATGCGTATCTTGAGGATGCACCGCACATGAGTGTCGCAGAGTGTGAAGAACATGGCAGCGCTTTTCGAGCAGCAAAGTGGTTTACCAGAGGCTGGACTCTGCAAGAGCTCATTGCACCACCAGAAGTCAAGTTCTTCTCGCAAGATTGGCAATCTATTGGGACGAAGGCCGACCTAGCGCTATGCATCTCTGAGATCACTGGCATCGCATGGACATGCCTGCTGAAACCCAAATTCTCGAAATCTAATCCCCTTCGAGGGTACAGCGTTGCTCAGCGTCTTTCATGGGCTTCTCGTAGATCAACTACTCGCATCGAAGACCAAGCCTATTCTTTGATAGGCCTTTTTGACATTACGATGCCACTTTTATACGGAGAGGGCCACGAGGCATTTACGCGATTCCTGGGCGAAATCATCGGTAAATATCCCGACCATAGTTTCTTTGCTTCACAGCTCCGATATGTCGACTTTCTGCCACGATCGCCAAAGGAGTTTTGCGACTCCCGTAACGTGGTGATTGGCAACTCGCCGCAGTTACAGAAACATTATACGCCTGTGTCTCACTCGTATCCATTTCAATTGACGAACACCGGACTGCAGATAACGCTGCCTATTGTACCTACCCTAGTACCACATTTCGTGTTTGGTGTTTTAGACTGCTGGGAGTATGACATGGACAGTACCCAGGCTACTCGTTCGGTATCCCGTATATGGATTCCTCTACTGCAGAAGGACCATCCAGGCCTGCGACATTATTCACGACTACTATGGCCACAGGTCTTTTGTCCAGTAAAGCTCATCCGCAAGCATAGATTCATGCAAGTTACGCAAGCCGGTGAAGATGAAGAGCAAGGAGAGCAAGCAACGGCCACTGAGACAGCTTCAATACTTGACGTTGTCCAGCATGTTGACATTGCGTCCATGGACATACACAAGAGTATACTGATCAAGAATCCCTATGCAACTACAGTAGATGCTCCTCGCTGGCAGCCCCGTTTAGCTGGCAGCCCATTTTTGGTGTGTTTCCCGCGAGGCACAGGGGACTATCGTCTATTGGGCATATACCCCAGCGAAAACGAAGTACAGGAGACATCTTGGTCTGCCCATAAACCACCATTGCTACCTCTTATAATGCCACGGAAGATATCGCAAATAAGGAGCGCAGACACTGCAAGTGATGGAAGCGAAGCACCAAACGGTGACGACATACAGAACGAGGTATACGGTGTAGTTGTCGTCTTTAAGAAGAGAGGATGTAGACCCGCCAAATGTACAGCAATATACTTGGCCAATATACCAGAGACGACAGATGGCTGCACAACATTTCGACCAAGTTGCAAAATCATTCACGGCTGGAACACTTCGCAAACGAAAGACTTGAACAAAGACGACTTTGAAGACATGACCGATATCGACGCAAAGGACAACGTCTTCGTGGCCACTCAAAAATTCCCATGCCCCTCGAAAAACAGTACAGAAGGGTTAGAGCCCCGATTCTTGGGCTTGGTTCAAGTTGTCTTCGATAAAGCTGACATGATGGATGAAGTCAGTTTGTCGTCAAGTGGGGGGATGAGGGCGGCGGAAGGAATTCTGCAGTACTTCGGTGTCGAGGATTCGGATGAAGAAATTGGGAGTATGAGCACAAGCGCAAGAGCAAGCTTCCCAATATGAGCCAAATATAGTACACGAGCAATGATTCACATACATTTTAATAGGATTATTGAGGACACCATTTGTCTTAGTAGGCACCGTATTATCGCTATTTATCTACCGAGGGATAGCCGTCATGTTGGCTTATTCCATCACCGCACATGGATCACCGACGTGGTAGGTTGACGCGTACTTCATATCGTCTATATGAGCAGCGGTGATAATTGGAGCAGCTACCCAGTATTTTTACTCGCCTCATTCACCTTTTACGGCCAACACATATATAGATGAGACAAAAGATATACTTGGGATTTCATCAGCCTTTTTTGTCATATTCATATCTTATCAGATGGGCCATTGGCCTCACTGCATGACCTAATGATGCTATCAAATGCTTCTCCCCGATTCGTGTTTCCCCGACCATATTTAAAGCTCTTATTGGAAACGAATAAATCTCGAGGAGTGCGACCATTAGCATCCATTGCAGATGTTTGTGCGCCAGCTTCTATAAGAACTTGTATAATTTTGTTTCTCATGGCAATTTGATCAACTTTTGCGCGTGTCCTTGTATGAGATACCAAGCCACTAGCCACCGAGTGAAGTGGTGTCCGTCGAAAATTGTCCAGACTGTTAACATTGACTTTCCGATCAGATGTGAGTCTACGGACAATTTCGTATTTTAAACTTTGAGCAGCGACATGCAAAGGGGTCGCACCGTCACATCCCCTGCAGGGCGCATTAGGGTCAATATTGCTGCAATTAGCAAGAAGTAATCCACAGCTACGAGTGAGCCTCTTGGTATAGCAAGAGACAGTGGCGTCTCATAGCAAAAGTCTTCTTCCGGGTCTATCGACTCTGTCAGGCCGGCATTGTTGGATGGTATACCCCTTCTGAATGAGAAGTGATGACTATGCCACTTATCATCGGGGCATTTGGCTTTGGGTGTTCGTATCTCCGGGTCTACTCCAAACTCTACAACGAAAAGTTGTAAAATATTCTGAACTGGCTTCCACGTATCTGCCCCTATTAATGCGAGGTGGATCGCATCCCATCCGCACCTTTCATTGGGTTCCGGTGGTGATATATTCCGATTCCTTATCATGTATAAGTATTCAACAACATTCAATCGACGGTGGAATAGAGCAAGATGAAACGGGCTGACCCCCCAATGGTTGAGCAACTTGGGGTCGACACCGGGTTTCATCAAAAGTAACCTCACTGCCTGAAGCTTTCCTTCCATTGCGGCCCAATGAAGAGCTGTGTTTCCGTTCTGATCCTGACGATTCACATCAAGGCTCCATTTTGGGTCCAATAGCCTATGAATTGCGGGCAAGTTTTCTGTTTCGCAAGCAATGTGAAGTGCTGTGGTTCCCCCGAAGTCAACCTTGTCTCGAAACTGAGACGGTGCCGCAGAGTATCTCTCAGCCCAATATTCTAAAAATACGCCCAACGTTGCCTCGGAATACCATCGAAATTCGTTCCCCAGTTGGTCGTTGGCCCCCCAGTCAAGCAATAACTTGACTAGTTCCAGTCTCCTCAAGAGAATTGCCTCTCGTAAGGGTGGCGTGGCCTTTGTGCCCCCGTTGACATTTGCGCCTTTCGCTAGCAGGTATTCGACTGTTTTATAATGTCCCCGTTCCACGGCGACATCAAGCGCTGTGTCCCCAGCGGTTGCGCAGTCAATACGCGCGCCGTTTTCTACTAGTAGCCTGACAGCAGGGAGGTGTCCATGTTTAGCGGCACAATGTAGAGCCGTTCGGCCAAGCGAATCTTTCGAATTAATGCGCGCCTTATTCTTGAGGAGCATCTCGAGGATAGGAACGTGTCCTTTTTCAGCAGCTATTTGGAGATGAGGGCTTCCGGGTGTCTGTGCAAATAATCTTTTTAAATATCGCCAACTGCCTTCATTTTTGAGAACTCTTTTCATAAGAATGGTCAATCCATAGTGGGCCGCCAACTCAGCTTGTCCACTTAATCGCTTATAATCCCATGACCCCTTCCACCATAACAACTTCGACGTACGCGTTTCACGTGTGTCGTAGACCACCTCCATCCATAAATCAAGGATTTCTGACTTATCAGAGAAAAATTTTGGATGCTCTGTTAATATTTTGTCACCCCGCTCGCCAGAATTTTTAAAATGCTCAGTCCACTGGTGTGATGCGTAATCAAAAAAAGGATAGCGGAGTTGCATCTTTTTGTATTCCTCAAACGTCTGATACTGAAAAGCATCCTTATCTTTGAAGAACACGTCGTAGAAATAGGAAATACATCCAGATGACAGTTTTGATTGCTCCAATTCAACATTAGACAATGAAAACCAAGGCATCGCCTCAGGGCTTGGAATTTGGCGCGTTAAAAAATCGTGTGCGCTGTGGTGAACCAAAGTTACGGTATCGTCTGTGATGTTTAGGAAATGGCCGCAGTACGCGAGTTTTCCTCGTAAGACTGTGACGCTATCAAACAGCCCGGTTTGCTTGATCCCTAAAGTGGTAGCAAGTTCGCTGAGCGAGAGCGGCCGAACTGCAAATGTGCACCACCGGAGGATATCCAATATTAGGCCTCTCTGTGTGCTTTCGATTTGTTGAAGGATTCTTTCATAAAGAGCATCAAGTCCCCGAGGGAATTGGTTCAAGCTCTCTTCCACTTCAGACATTTCCATGGTTTGAAGATCTTTCACAGTGAAGCTTACCCACAGATATGTGCCAGCGGACTTTTCCATCAGACATTCTCTAACATGATTCGCTAGCTGAGTTGTATATTGCTTACTTTCAGACAACTCTGCAACACGCGTTGAGATATACTGCTCAAGCCCGCGATTGACCTCGTTTTTTGCATCTGGATCAAGGCGAATTCTTGGAAATTGACCAAGTGATGCTTCAAAAATTTGAGGATACTCTCGACTCAACACAAGTATTTTGAGCCTAGGCGACGTGCTTGTGATTTTCTTGAGATTTTTAAAGCAGGAGCTCCAGTGAGGTTGGCTCACACTCATCCAGACCGTCAATGATACATGTCGCCTGCGAGTCTCCGAGGTCATTCACCATTGTGAGAAAGAATTTCCAAACCGTTTCAAATGAATTCTGAGAAAATAGCTGCTCCCTTTGTACTTCATAGCTGGAGAGTATATGTCCGATAAGTTCCTTTTTCTGCTCCAGAAGTTGGAAGAGTATTCCCCTAATGATAGCAACAGCGCTGTTGCGCGTATTGTCGTTGGCATCACAGAAAAAGTAAGTTGAATAGTGGGTTTTCCCATCGTCGATAGAGAGAAAACAACTCGAGAGATACGTTATAAGGTAAATCGATAACATGGTTTTTCCAAGGCCAGGGCCACCTGATATCCAGAGCAGCCCACCGTCAGAAGCCCTCCATTTGATGAACTCTTTCTTCTGAGCAATCCAGTCGCAAGTGCCTTGTACAAGCTCTCCCTTGGAGTTAATAAGTTTGGCACGATCAGTTGCAGGGTCCGTGATGAACAGAGCCTGCAGACATTTTAGAGAATCGGGGCTTGGATTAGCTGCTTGTGCAATTGTGTTGAGTTTGGTATCAATGGAATCATATCCGGTTTGTATATTTTCAGCCATTGCTAGAATGCGACTAATGGTATAGGTTAGAAGCTAATATGTTGAGCACTAGACGCTGTTTACTCACAGATTAATATGGGTGTTGAGTGAGTTATACTCATGATCCAGGTTGTCGAAGAGCTTTGAAACATTTACTTCTTGTTTCAAGCCAGCGATAGCTCGCCATGTCTTCTTTTGAACCGAATCATGGCAGTTAAATGAGATCTTTTGCAGGAGATCTTGTAGCGATTGCACATGACATTCGCACCGAGTCAATATTTTACCAATGTCTTCTGTTTGCAAAGACTTTGTATTTTGTATTTCTTTAGCAAGCGATGCGAGGCTTTGGAGACGTTTAATATTTTGCTGTATATGGCCCGGACCATCTTGAATTTGGTCTGCGACAGATTTGACCAGTTTGATCGTCTTGAAGACGACTTCGGCAAATTGCTCAGCGGCAGCTACGACGCTAATGATTTCGATTCCTGACATATTCGGCAGGTATATTGGGGAATATCAGAATGTAATTGCTTGATGAGAAGGAAACTCATAGAGGGCGGGATATTTATCTTCCAACAACGCGAGACTCTGGCAACACATATGTGTGTCACTGTCGGGTTGGCTCGTCTCTGCTACAAGGCCTCAGTTCGCGTACCTACATAAGGCATGTGTGACGTTTCCGCTGCTCCTTGTTGTACAAAGACTCATTTGCTCAATTTGCTGCGCGGTTCGCGTGGTTCGTGAAGACGCCCTTGATCCAGATATAACCCGGTGCATGTATATACAATGATAAAGTTGTACGGAGTAGGTAGGGTTATACGTGCAAGCAGATAGAGCCAAGCAGCTTTGAAAATTGCCTTCCCACACTACGCGTGACGATCCGAGCCCAAAGTAGCCACATGGCCTCACAAGAAAATAAGTAGAAGAAATAAAAGGTTTCCTTTCTGATACCGCATGGCTCGGTTTTGGTCATACAGATATCTTCAGTTCATGATGAACAGGTACCGCCAGACATAGTCAATCTAGGTGGTAACGTAACAAACCCATACGTACCCTACAGCTTAAGGTTAATTATAAATGCAGCTAGTATATCTAGTACTTCTAGGAAACAATGCAATGAGTATATGTTCCTCGTGTCAAATTGTTATAATATAAGCTTTTTTATCGTTCACATCATTGCAGGAAACTACTGATGGAGAGTATTTGGTGTTGCTGGCATGCAGAGAGCTGAGCTTCAAGTATTTTAAGGGAGACTAGAGTGGTGATCTGTTTCTGCTCTGCTATGGAGTGAGTAAGAGTAGAACATTGCTGTACTCCTTCAGCCAGTGCCGTGTTTATCTTCCAACATTATCATGTACAAGAAGCTGTATGTTATCGACACATTGCGGGACATTGATCCTTACATGCCAGGCCAGGTACGGTAGACTTACGTGGCTAGAGATCTCGCTTGTAGCCCCAAGTGCAGGGTCCTGGGCCGATCTCCAAGAAAAGACCAGCACGTGTGGAGAAGAACTGCAGGCCCCTGAAAATGGGTGCACGGATGATTACAGATACGACGTATTGTGTAATGTTCCAAGGCGCCTACTGAAGAGGACCGCAATGAAGACAAACGATAGGTTGGTGGGCATTAGATGATTGAGTGCATGTTATGTAATTGGCCGTCTCTTGTTTGGCAACAGCTCGTGTATGTACCTACATGTAGTTTCATCTCCTCAACATCAATTGCATGGAAACACCACCAAAAGGCCTCGCAATCCCGGGCCTGTTCAACACACCGGTTCTCCGCCAATGCCTTATGCGCATCTTCTCGTCACCGCTAAACTGCGGCGCCAAGATATTTAGAACCGGCAGCCATTTCGCAGCAAATTGGATTGCCCTCGGGGATTTGTAGGCCGCTAAAATTGGGACACCCCATCGCCCACGTAATGGCATGCACGGGAGCGGCTTTTTTCTGCCTTCATCTCTGTTGAATCCCACTGGCTGGCTTAATCCCGCGGGAGGCCGCACCGATACCCTTTTGTGATTAACATGCCGGATCCTTTGCAAAGGGCAGCTTGAGAGTTTTGCTGTAAGAAGTGTAAAAGTGAGTATATGGCTCAGTTTGTTTCGTCATGAATGCGTTTATTACTCTGGAGACGGATTGAGGGATATCCTAAAGAGGCAGTGATCCATCATTCCCTTCTAAAAGGGGCCAATTGAGGGCTTGATGCATCACCACCACCAAAACTCAGCTATCTCTCAGCTACATCGTCATCGTTCAATACTGCTACTACTGATACTATTCCGATACGCACGTAGACACACATACACCCCCTACTTCACATCCCTGTAACGGGGGTTTGCAGCAGCAACTTGTACGGAGTAGATTGAACGGTAACAATGCGCTGACTTGCAACTTTGCCCAATTCTAGCTAGCCTCACAGCTGCAATGCCGGGACTGGAGCCTCATTCACCAGCTAGCCGCTGAAAAGTTGCAGTAGTCTCATCAACCGCACTCCAACGAAATGAGCGAACTGAAGCGCGTCTCTCCTATTCTTCTCTCTACTGTGGTTACTCTTTTGCTCTCGATATTTTCACTTTTTGCATTTAGCCTTTTTCTCCTCATCGACATCATCGGCTCCCTCCGTCATCCGTCAGCAGCCTCTCAGCGTGAGAGATTTGTTTTGCCTTTTGCCTCCAGTTCCTCTACTCTAACTGCCCCGAAAAGCCGAAATCTCACGATGCCGCCCATTGGGAATTCCTTGCCCTGCAAACCCTTGGCCTTCCCCCGAATAAAGTGGCGCCAGGTCCCGGATCCCCGTTCAAAAGAGGTGGGCCTTTGTCGTGGGCTTCATTTAGCCCCTGTTTCCTCTTCTTTTCCCCCCCTATGCATATGACCAGCTTCTTCGTTTTTTCTTCTCTTCGCCAGCATGACGATGGGCTGCCCCCAGTCTCGTTATCCCTCTTCATCGTGAGTTTTCGCCGCTTCTGCTTTCCCACAAGCGGTCGCGTGCGCCTGACGCAGTTTGACCTTTTTCGCCGCTCTTTTTCCTTTTTTATCATTCTTCTCTTCCATTATTGAAACACGCCGCGACACTTTACTTTTATTACTATCCATTTTATTCTACGTCTGCTCCACGGTACAGACAGATTCCACACGTGCTTATCCATACAACCCACCTCGTACGACCCGACGTAGATAAAAGTCTGGTAGTACGAATAGCTCGTATCTTTTGTTTGAATCCTCGACAAGACCGCGGCCTGGCTGGAGCGGCAGAGCCTGGTCCGATAGCTAGATGGCTCTGATTGTGGATATTGTGCGATCGGTCCTGTGCACCTCATGGCTTAACGTCTTGCTTGTCTTTGTGCCCATCGGCTATGTGGCCTATTTTCTCAACATCAATTCAACCCTCATCTTCATCTTCAACGCTCTCGCTATTGTGCCTTTATCGTCCCTACTCACGGATGTCACGGAGAAGATTGCCAGCGATGCCGGCGACACCATTGGCGCCATCCTCAACATCAGCCTCGGCAACCTCGTCGAGCTGATCTTATTGTGAGTTCGGGCACCTTGCTGTTCCCTTCCTTGAAGCTTGATGTGTTCCGGCTTCCTCCCTCTTTGCCCCTCCAAGCTAACCTGAGTCATCTGCTTGTAGTATGTAAGTCGAACTAGCCTCACGCGAGCAACGAAGATCCCGTCGATAGGGCTCGTCATTATACTTGCCCGTCATACTAACCCGCCCAGTGTCGCCCTTAAGAATGACCAGATCCGCGTCGTCCAGGCGTCGATCCTCGGATCTATCCTTGTGAATCTGCTTCTGATTCTCGGCTCTGCGCTCCTTACGACGAAGCTTCCTGATCAGGAATTTTTGCATGATGCCGCTGGCACACAGCTTCTCGGATCCCTCCTCTTTGTGTCGGTGTTTACCTTTCTGATGCCTGTAAGCTGTCGCCTTCCTGCCGCTACGTCAGAGTATGCGTACTGATCCCCAACCTCTCTTATAGACTGCTTTCGACCACACTTTCAAGGGAACCGATGGCGCAGAAGGCATGAGTCTCAAGATGAGCAGAATATCTGCCGTCATGATTCTGCTAATTTACATCCTATACTTCTTTCACGAAATCAAAACCCGAACCCCTCCTCACGATGTCGAAGCTGTACCCCAAGACGAAGAAAACGATGATGCCACTCTATTCGACGGCCAGGATCACGTTCCTCTTCGACCTATGCCTCTCTCTTCAGACGCGCTCAATGGCTCTCAGGCAGCCCCCCGAACCGTTCGATTTGTTGATGTCAGCCCCACATCGGAACATGCGCCTCTCAAGGAGGGCGAACGAGACAGCTTGGATGGATTAGACCCCAATGATGGCGAATTGGATAACGAGGATTATCTGGAGAATGGAGAGCCCAAGGAGGAAGCTGGCGAAGGTCTGTTTCACTCGTCCAGACGGGGCAAGACAAGAGCTCGCTCATTATCGCTAGGCTCGAGCCGGGGAGCGATGAGCGAAACATCAGAGGGAGGAGACCGCACGGAGCTGATGGCACCGTACCTTACGACCAGGCAGATCCTCCGCGACAGCCACGTCAATCTCGACCGCATCGTTGCCAAACCGAGACATGTCTCGTTCGGACCCAAGACGGACCGCGTCATTTCCTACGTGATGCTGATCCTGACCTCGACCTTCATGTCCGTCTCGGCCGAGTTTCTAGCCAGCGCCATTGACGATGTGATTCGCCAGGGCCATTTGTCTGAGTCCCTCATTGGTCTCATCATCATGCCCATCGTCGGCAACGTCGCCGAGTACGCAACTGTTGTTGTCGTTGCTGCGAGAGACAACATGGGACTTGCGCTGGCAGTTTCTGTTGGCTCATCGATCCAAATTGCGCTCTGCGTGACTCCATTGACGGTCATTGCGGGCTGGATCATGGATCGTCCGCTGATGCTGACATTCAATCTCTTTGAGATTGCCACTCTCTTTGGATCTGTTTTGTTGGTGAACTTTTTGATTCTTGGTGAGGGAGTTAGTGGCCCGCTGCGATCCAGCGGCCTGAAGGGCGGATTAATGTGTGCATGTTATGTGATTATCGGGTAAGTCTGAATCTATTCTCTACATTCTCGTTCTCGTATAGGCATTTACTAACGTTTGAAACAGACTCGGGGCGTATCTGTCTCCCTAGCATGATGGAGTTATACACTTCAGGTATTTTGTATACATAGAATTTCTGCATTCTGCGATAAAAGCAGTACCAAATAATTAGACATGTATCTACTAGAGCTAATCATAATGAACAAAAATTCGTCAAAAGAAGATTGAAGCTTCTCCGATATTTGGTGGTGAGCGGGCATTACATAATCACTTTTCTTGCTACGGAGCATTTAGTGTTGCCTAACTTCGACTCTTCAACTCTTACATGTAAACCTCAACTTTGCCATGTTGTAATGCAGGATCACGATTCATCTTTTCTTCTTCTTCGTCTCTCAATACATGGTCATGCGGCGTGAGAGGGATGACTCTGACGATGAAGACATTCCGCTGCATCACAAACGCCCGTTTGGCGCTGGGCTGAAGCGCAAGAAGATTGAGTTTGTCAAAGCCACAGACGCAGACGCAAGCAACACGATCAAGAATCTGGGCAAAGAAACCGCCTCTATCGGAGATGTCTACGCCAGCATAGTCCTAGGCGGCAGCTCTAGGGATTCATCGTCAAAACCTGAAGGCACTAGCGATGAAAAGGACGACCAGACTGAGGACGCTGCTGAAAAAGAGCCGGAACCTCCCACATGTCCCGTCTGCTCTCTTCCCATCACCACGACGCTGCAGCAACACGAGGCTTCGCTTGCCCATCAAGTCAGTCTGGAACACTCCCATCCGCCATCTGCACTAGATCGATCGCGCATGGGTTTGCGAGCCCTGGAATCTCAGGGCTGGGACCCCGATTCCCGCCTTGGCCTGGGCCGAGAAGGCGAGGGCTCCCGGTTTCCGATCAAGGTAGCCCGGAAAGAGGACACGCTGGGAATCGGGGCTACTCGTACGCAGCCAAAGCAAGCGGTTCAAGAGAAGCCTCGGGCCCTGACAGGCAAGGAAATGCGCGCTCTGGCGGACAAGGAGAGAAGAAAAGGGGAGAGGCTGCAGGCTGAGATCTATGGACGGGTGGATGTGGAGAAGTATCTCAGGGGGAATGGAGGTGAGGATGGCTTATGAGAAGGACAAAGAGCACAAAGAGACGAATAATAGACTGCAGATGGCCTGGATACAGATGTGGTTGGAGGAAACCGAGTTCCAGCATGGTCGTGTGATGTTTTGCTATGCCCGTGCATGCCTGTATCCATATCCACGCCCCCGGCACGAGGTGTGGCATGATTCCATCCATTCCATATCGAGCTCTGAGACCCTTGAAGTCGCTAAAGGGAATAACCTCCAGTGGATGTTCTTCAGTAAAGCCTCCTAGTGACCTCATCGCCCCGCGGCACTCCAACCAGCCACCGCTAGCGCTAAAGTTAGGGGCCAGGCACTAATGGTCGAGCCTGAAGCAGCCTGGGGTCGCCCGGAGTTTCAGCCTGTGCGCACCAACCCCGCCAAAACCCGACCTTCCTTTCAGCTTTGGTGATGCTTCACAAAACAAACTTGGCCTTCCCTCAGCCTCGACCGCACTCGAGCTTCCAGCTGTTGCTCACGCCTCTGATCTCTGCGCTACCAAGAGAATCTATCAACTGTAGTCGAGTTCATTGTCGCAAGCCGATCTTCCGCCTATTTCCCTCGTCTTTTCCGCCTGTCGTTGACTTTGTCCATCACCGCCTGACGGGACAGCTCCGTTGAACTCCGTCACAATGGGGTTGTCCGTCTTTGAAGAGCAGCACAATGGTATGGGCCATAATCTCATGCTCGGGGAGTTTGAATTTATCGCATTGCTGACACATGTTATAGTTATCCTGCAAGAAATCAAGAACATCACCCAAAACGATGTACGAGACCGCCTGCCCCTGTTTATCCCCTACCGACCGACAGCGATTCTGACCACTCCCAGTGGAAATGTTTGATAGTCGACGAGACCTCCAAGAAGATTGTCGACAATGTTGTCAAGTCAGACGACATCCTCAACAACAATATTGCTAGTCAGCCTCAGCTTCTCTATCTCCGATTGCGAGACCCTCTACTGACACGATCTCCGCAGCCATCGAGCTGATCGAAGCTCGTCGCGAGTCTAACCCCGAGATGGACGCCATCTACCTCCTCAGCCCCGAACCGCACATTGTCGAATGCCTCCTGGCCGACTTCGAGCTCCGGCGCTACCGAAGAGGGTTTCTGGTATGGACGAACCTGCTAGACCCGGCCCTGCGAAGAAAAATCGACGAGTTCCCCGGCGTGCGCCAGCTGCGCGCGAGCTCTCGGACGCTGTTTGTCGACTTTTACCCTCGAGAATCACATTTGGTGACGTTCCGAGATCCCTGGAGCTTCCCGATGCTGTATCACCCGGCGTGTAATGCCATTGTCCCCAAGCATATGCAGCTCCTTGCGCAAAGAGTAAGCTTGGACTAGCCATGGATTTTTCTTTTTTCTTTTGTTAGTATAGAACGAGAATGCTGATGATGTGGTCAGATTGCCGGGATATGCATCACTCTCGGAGAGTATCCAAAGGTGAGATACTACCGGCCGAAAAATGCCTTCCACGAGGCTTCCGTCTTGTGCACCCACCTAGCGAGATTCGTACAAGAAGAACTGGATGGCTATGCCCAATGGGACTCCAACTTTCCGCCTCCGTCGACCAGGCCACAGTCGACGCTTCTTATTACAGACCGATCGATGGACCTTATGGCTCCGTTAGTACACGAGTTCACCTATCAAGCCATGGCGCACGATCTGCTTCCCATCAAGGACGGCGACAAGGTTACTTTCCATACGGTAATCAACGAAGGGACGCCAGATGCACAGGAGAAGGACATGGAGCTTCAAGAAAAGGACAAGATTTGGGTCGAAAACCGCCATCGCCACATGAAGGACACGATTGACAAGCTCATGGGCGATTTCCAAAAGTTTTTGGATCAGAATCCCCATTTCACTAGGGAAAATACCGACACGACGAGTCTGAGCGCCATCCGAGACATGATGGCTGGGTTGCCTCAGTTCCAGGAGATGAAGGAAGCTTATTCTTTGCATCTCACCATGGCCCAGGAGTGCATGAACAAATTCCAACACCATAAACTGTCCGACACTGCGGCCATTGAGCAGACGCTGGCCACCGGATTGGATGAGGACTACAAGAAGCCGAAAAATATTCTGGACTCGGTCGCTCGATTGCTGGATGACGACGCAGTATCTCCTGGGGACCGACTCCGACTGATTACCCTCTATGCGCTGTACCGTGACGGTATGATTTTGGATGATGTCAAAAAACTTCTCGCCCATTCAGGTCTCCCCATTCAAGATACGGAGACTATTATCAACCTGGAACACATTGGCGGGAGACCCATTAAGCAGCTGAAGGAGCAACGGCAGGCAATTCCTCCGCTATTCCCCCCTGATAATAAGAATTCTCAAGACGAGGACGATTATACTCTTTCCCGCTTTGAGCCTGTCCTGAAGCAGGTGCTGGACGGACTGACCAAAGGAACTCTGGATCAAACTCTCTTCCCATACGTCAAGCCACCGCTGGATCCGAACGAGGATATGCTTGCAGCTCAGGCAGGGTCACTTCGTGCCGCTGGACGGCCAAACTGGGCAGCGGCCGGCCGACGACCTCCCGAAAACCGCCAGAGGCTGATTGTCTTTATGGCTGGTGGCGCTACATACAGTGAAAGCAGGACATGCTACGAGCTTGGCAACGAGCGAAGCCGTGATATTATCTTGGCAACTTCGCACATGCTTACGCCCCAGCTCTTCCTCCGCCAAATTGGAGATTTGAGCCGCGACAAACGACAGCTGGATCTTCCCATTGAGCGCAAGAGACACGCGCCCGCACATCTTTTCGAGCGTCCAGCACCACCGCCACCACCAGTCCAGGCTCGACCGCCACAACAGCAGGCCGGAGCTCCTCGACCTGGCGCTGCTGCACATCAACCAGTGGCTCGCCCGGGTGGCCTTCCCAGTCGACCGACTCCCAGCGGCGGTGCCGTGCCAACGCAAGCCATGGCGAATATGCACATCAACTCCAGCGGGCACAGGCCGACAACCTCAAACAGCTCGTATGATGACGGCAAAGCACACAAGGAGAAGAAGAGAAGGAATTTTCTAGGCCTAAAGAAGTAGGGTTCTTTTCGAGAGAGGTCCTTTTCTTCCAGCTCCGCATCATCGGGCGGCGGGAACAAGATTAAGAAGCTGCAAGCTTGAATTTCATCCTTTGAGAAAAGAAGGCATTCATTTATTGATGGCGGACGAAATACTTCTTTTTTATTTATTTTATTATTTCACTGCGAGGAGAGCCTTTTTTTGGACTCGTATGTTTTTCCAAAACTTTTGGGTATTACATTTTTCTGTTTCCCTAAAAGCGTGGCGTGGAGAATTGAGATTGAGCGATAGTTTTATTTGTGGTGGCGAATGAATGAATTCATGTATGGTTGAGATGTCTTATATTCATGAGGCGAAAGTGAAGAGGTAGTAAGTAGTAGAGCATTTTAATTCTTTGTTCTTTTTTTGAAAGGTAGAGAAGAAGGTGGTGGAGGTAATAAATCGCATTGTGTTGAAGAGGAGTAAAATATCCATGTCCTAGAAATGTTATGCTAACATGTGAGATGATATGATATATGGTGAATGACAAAGGGACCACCCCATGAAACGCTCCGCTGCTGCATCGTGAATCGTAACGAAATCAGATAATATGCCCGACAAAGAACAAAACTCCGTGCAAACATTAGAATCGTGTCTCAATTACCTTCTTCCCCTTGTTAACTCTCTCCTGAGCGCTCTTTACTCGCTCATCATCCATGTTGCGCCTCCATTTGCAGCTCGGCGCGAACTCGCACGACGTGCACTTGAACGCCTCCTCAATCGTCACGCCCTTTGGTTTCCTCTCGCCGCGCCACCAGCTCATGTCCCCAGCGAGATACGTATCCAAAGTCTCCGCCGAAGCAGGGAAATCAATCCTCGCAAGTTCGCGGCCGTCATCCCGAAAGACGTACTGCACACGCAGTATAGAGCCAATTGACTCCGCGCCGCGCGGGAAAGTAAGCCGAATCTCGTCCTCGACGAGAGTGACGAGCTCGCGGAGAGATCCGTATTTGAGGAGGTCTGGCACGCCGGGGGACGATTCGGGGATACCAGTGGAGTTGTCGTTTTGAGCGGCTTTCCCTTTTGCAGCGTTCCTTTTGAACTGCTCGTATTCTTCTGCCGAACTAGTGGGGGTGTCGAAGAAGATTTCGTCGTGGAGCTCGCCGATTTGCGACATGAATGTGTCCGAGAAGCACTCATCTGCATCTAGACCGTATCGCCTAAACACTTTGAAGAAGTCCAGCTCTCCAGCAGCCATGTTGGATAGAAAGCGATGGTATAGCAGTAACTGAATCTTTGCAGGCCGAGCGGTTGCGGACGATACAGGTTTCGTAGTGCCCCGTGTTTTGACATCCGCAAGGAAAATCTGGCGGTTGTTGTCCTTTGGCTTGCCAGGTTTGAGACCTCCAAAGTAGTCTGATATCATTGACTGGCTTTGACTGGGTTGAGATCCCTGGCTGGAGAGCTCCTCCTCAAATTCTGGATTGGGGTTATCGTAGCTGAGATCATCAATGACACCGTTGACCAGATTGCCGTCCACCATGCCCCAAACCTCCAGCTCCCTTGTCAAACCCGTATCTCGCAATGTTCTCAGTCCTTGGACCAGGTTCCATAATCTCAGCCCAAAGCCGTCTTCCTTGTTTAGAATCTCAACCTTGACCGTCGTATGAACCTCGTCTTCAAGCTTCTTATGGACTTTGGAGCCTTTTTGCATGGCTGGTGTTCGAGTTTTCCGTCCACCAGGTAGTCGTGTAAGTGTATACCAGTACTGAAGCTCACACCATGCTCCAGCCGTCAGGTCGCTTACTGTTAGCGGCCTCTTTGGAAATGAGCGAAACCTCTTTAATGGGGATCGGTCATCCTCGAATTCAAGCTCATCATCGTCGCTGATTTCTGTAAGCGGTGGTGACTGGATGGGTTTAATTGCTTGCAGAGCAGTGGTTACTATATCTAGGTTTAGCCGCTTGTCAAAGTGAGATTGGCGAATCTGGTATGTACTCACGATCGGGATATGCGACGGCTGCACTGACAGAGGGAGGAAATGAGATGCTTTTCTCGTCTGTCATTGATGTCGATGCGGTTATCTCTTCTTTTATAGCAAAGCCATTTGATGGTGACGCATAGCTGCGGTAGACATATTTCTGAGACGATGTGACCTCCCCCAAAGCCTCGAAGCTTGAAGTTGTCTTCTTGGCAAAGCTCGAAGCTGGGACGACAGCTCGATTTACATCATCCGTCGACTTGAGCGGCGGCGAGTGAGTGGAAGCAAGTTGGATGAGAAGCTCCTCGTCATCGGTTTCAAAGTCGTAGCCAAACTCATCGTCGCTGGTTTGTACGGCCATGATTATCGCAGCAGCAGCAAATCGATCATGGCGATGTTTTCGCCATGCGTGAATGCGATGGCGGGGTGAATCGACGTGCCTATTGAACCTAGTCTGGCGGTTAGTCTCAGAGATGCGCGATAGAAACACCAGCCAAACACGCAGTCACGTGAACTAGGCATCTCTCTTGAGCGCTGAGCAAGTTGGCAAGATTGTCGACTTCTGCCTAGGAAATATCCAAGGATTGATCGAATTTAGTCGCTATTACGTTGAATTGCGTAATGGCCATAGGATCATTGACCGCAACATTGATGCCCTGTTAAGCTTAACAATTATGGTAGAAGGATGGTTAAAACGCTGGCCGACTCAATTCATGTAAGTGGACACAACTGCACCTAATCACACTGCCCAAAGACCAAATCAGCTCATGTCCCTTATCGTCAGCAGCATCATTCTGCTTTACTATCTTCTGCTTCTGTATCTTCAATTCGCGGAATAATACCTCGTACCTCGTGTTCCTCAGCCTAGCAGTAATTAATACGATGCAACTTCGTATATGCATCCTCAAACTCGTTAGTTCACAGCTGTCACTGGCACTTTTAGGCGTAGCTCGGGCTATACCCGCCCCAAGACGGCAAGTGGGCACAACTAGATATAGAAGCGGAAGCGGCATTCACAGTGACCGCATCTGACTAAGCAGAATGCTACAGTGGGTGGATGGACATTGAACAGCTGGCTGCAGCAACTCCGGACGCGAATACAGTCCGTACAAGCTCCTGAAGCTGCGCCTCCCGACTTCAAATTCGGACTCGACAATCTGCAGCTCCAGACCTGCGGCATTACTGGATCGTCGATTGCTGCTTCACTCGAACAAGCTTCACTTCGTTATCGCTCTTTGACGTCAATTGCGACCGAACCAGAACCCCTGGAGTACGCCTGGCTGCGTCACTCTCCATCCGCTAACCCCCCCGAATTGGTCTGCGCACCGGGGCCGTAATCTAACCTACCATACGATTGCGCTGCGAAACGAACACCTCACCATCTTCGACCTCGACGACCTGTGTGGTATGATACAGCCATAACATAACCCTCAAACAATGTATCTACGAAATAGTGCGCCCACGGCGCTTCTAGCGACTCTGCTCGCGCCGCTGGCCTCTGCCTTCTACCTCCCCGGAGTGGCCCCTACCACATACAAGCCCAACGAAAATGTCCCGCTATACGTCAACAGCATCAAGCCCGTAGCGGCGCCGCAAGATGCTCGATTACACTCGGTCGTCTCGTACGATTACTACCATCCGGCCTTTCAATTCTGCAAGCCAGAGGGCGGGCCAAAGTATGTGTCGGAGAGTCTGGGCAGCATCCTGTTTGGCGACAGGATAATGACGTCCGCCTTCGAACTCAAGATGGGCAAGAACGAAACATGCAAGTCGCTCTGCTCGGTGAAATACCAGGAGAAGTCGGTGGATTTTGTGTCGACGAGGATTGAGCAGGGTTACAGCCTGAATTGGCTTGTCGACGGTCTTCCTGCAGGCCAGCAGATTCAGGACCAGCTGACGGGAACGACATTCTACAGCCCCGGGTTCTTGCTAGGACAGGACGATGAATCGGGCAACATTCTCTTTAACAACCACTACGAGATTTGGGTCGAGTACCACGAAGTCAGCGGGAACGAGAACCAGCTTCGAGTTGTCGGTGTCGTTGTTCAGCCCACCTCTAAAAAGTACGAAGGGGAGGCCGACTGTGGCGACAACCACCCGAACCTCGTCTTTGCTAAGGGCTCTGGTCCTCAGGAGGTAAAGTTCAGCTACAGCGTCTACTGGGTAAAGTCGCCTACCGCCTGGGCTACCCGTTGGGACAAGTATCTGCACGTCTTTGACCCCAAGATCCACTGGTTCTGGCTCGTTGACACCGCCATCATCGTCGTCATCCTTGTTCTCACCGTCATGTCCATTTTGATCCGAACTCTGAAGAAGGACATTGCGCGATACAATCGCCTCGACCAGATCAACCTGGACGACCTGAGCGGTACCTCGATGCTGGAAGATGGTGTCCAGGAAGATTCTGGCTGGAAGCTGGTCCACGGCGATGTCTTCCGAACCCCATCACGCCCGCTTCTACTTTCCATCCTTTTGGGCAATGGAGCCCAGCTCTTCGTCATGACTGGATTTACCATTGTTTTTGCGCTGTTGGGTTTCTTGTCGCCTTCTAACCGTGGATCTCTGGGCACCATCATGATCATTCTCTACACTGTTCTCGGCATCGTTGGAGGATACACCTCGGCTAGAACGTACAAGGCCATGCAGGGCGAGCAGTGGAAGCTCAACATTGTTTTGACTCCTCTGCTGGTCCCCGGTATTGTCTTCATTGCTTTCTTCCTTCTGGATCTATTCCTCTGGGCCAAAGAGTCTTCCGGCGCCGTGCCCTTCACCACCATGCTGGTCATCGTCGGAATCTGGTTCGTCATCTCCATTCCTCTCTCATTTGCTGGCTCTTGGCTCGGCTTCAAGGCTGTCCAAATCGAAAATCCCGTCCGCACCAACCAGATCCCACGCCAGATTCCCCCCGTCACCACCTACCTCCAGCCCATCCCCAGCATGCTCATTGTTGGCCTCTTGCCCTTTGGCGCCATCTTTGTCGAGCTTTACTTTATCATGAGCTCCATCTGGTTCAGCCGCATCTACTACATGTTTGGTTTCCTGTTCCTCTGCTACGGCCTTATGATTGCCGTCTGCGGTGCAGTCACCATCCTGATGACATATTTCCTCCTGTGTGCCGAGAACTACAACTGGCAGTGGAGATCTTTCCTGGCTGCGGGCATGAGCGGTGGCTACGTCTTCCTCAACTGCCTCCTCTATCTGGTCACCAAGGTCAAGCTTGGCGGCCTTGCGGGAACAGTCCTGTACATTGGCTACAGCGCCCTGATTTCCTTCCTCTTCTTTATCCTTTCCGGTAAGTTGTCAACCATCATCCCTGTTCTCATGGCTACAATGTCTAACTTTGAAACCAGGCACCATCGGCTACTTCGCCTCCTGGTGGTTCGTAAGAAAGATTTACTCTTCCATTAAGATTGACTAAAGCAAAAAGGAGTGTGTGGTTACAATGCGTGGCGGCGATGTGTTTCAGTTTGACACCATCGCAGCTGAGAAAAAAAGGGGGCAACTTCGAATATATCTAGCAAACTTGTAAAGTACATGTACGACCATGGTGTGTACGGCGGTATCACTGTGACGAGAAGGGAGGGTAAGAAAAAAACAGCGATTCTTCTAGTTTTGCACATTTAAAGGCAACGATTTTTCTTTTTTTTTTGTTTGGTACAAGCAAATATGGAGAGGATGAGATTGGGCTGGGCGGAAAAGAGCAATGCGGGATAGACATGTTTAATTGAAGACTTTTTTCGACTTATTTCAAGATCAATTTGACTACCTGGATAGAATCATTCTTTTTTTTTTCTCCCTAGGGGCTATTACTGAATCAGCTGGTACGACTAGGATTGACCTTGTGTAATGTTATGAACAAAATGTGTCTATTAAAGGTCTTGTTAAATGCTTCTCTGTATTGAGCCCAATGTTCCAAATAACTCGCTATTGCTATTATCAAATGCTCATTCAGCTGCACGAGACAACTAGTCCTCATCGTCGTCATTATCCAAATCATCCAGGTTAGTAAACTGGAACTGCTTCTTCTCCGCCTTTGCACTCGGAGGAGCGGCAACAGCTGCCTCCCCAGAGGCGCCGACAGCCATGCTTGCTCTTCGCCATTCGGCCTGCTGCTTTTCGATCTGTCGCTGCCTCTCTTGGCGTTGACGCTCCGCCTCCTTCTCGCGCTCCACACGCTCTTGTTTCTCCTTTTCTTCCTTCTCTTTGCGCTCCTCCTCTTCCTTGCGTTTCCGATCTTCCTCTGCGACAGGGTCGTAGCCTCTGGGGTCGATGCCTTGCTCCAGGAGAATCTGGTTCGATGCGAGCGCACCAGAGCGAATCTTGTCTTCCAACGGCCAGGGAAAGAAGAGTTGTCCCGATAGAGGGTTGAGGAACTGCGTCATCTGGTCGGGGAGAGTGGTGTGCAATGCAGCCTGTGCTTGCTGGGCGGATTGCTCGATAGTGCCATTTGTAGGAGCAGGACTTTGCATAGGATTCGGAGTCTGTGCAGAAGGCGTCATGGCAGATTGAGCCTGAGAGTCGGGAAGCGGAGTTTGGCTCTCTTGAGTGGCGGCCATGGCATTCAGAATAGCGGCGGGCGGCATAGACGTCTTGCTGATGCGACGGGCATGGCCGAGAAGCTCTTCGTAGACGATCGGAAAGTTTGGTTCGGTGGGGTAGATTGTGACTTGGGTGTTGACGATGTCTTTGCGCGTCGTTGCGAGGCAGGTGAGGGTCTCGCGGATCTGGGCGTCGAGAGACGCGGAGAGCTGGCGAAGCTGCAGAATCTTGAGGTGGTTGTTCTGATGTATTTCAACTGAGGAGCTGCATTAGCGGTTTCTTCTTGTATGCTGTTGGATGGATGCTAGATGCATGTGGTCGCATACCTTGCTCGAGCCCCTTGCAGAGCTCATTGTCTGCAGCCTTGAGCTCCTCTGCCTGAATAGCCGAAGGATGGTATTTCGTGACCGAGTCAATCAGAGTCGCAAGAGCTTTTTCCAGGCGCTCAAACCGGCCGTCAATATATGTGTCCATGGTTGTGTTCAGCCCAGCTCCTCGACTCGATTCGGTGAGGCTGCAAAATGACAGAACCGCAAAAGTAAACAAAGGTTGAAAGATCAGAATGACAAGGCTGATTGATTGAACCGGAAACGAGGCACGTTTGGCCTCGATAACAAAAAGCTGGTGTGGGGCCCCTTTCTAAGTTCGATCATACGATTGGCCCAAAGCAAATTCGAGATGTGCTTAGTCATAGCCTCAGGCCAAAATCCTGGCCGAGAATCGCCGGCAAATCGAACAAACTCGCGCAACTTTTGAGTGACGGCACTTTTCGACGACGAATTGACGAGCAATTGATCGATACACGCGGTTCCCGCTGCCAGAACAAGTCAGGATGGTTTCTCAGGTACGTTCTCAGACTGTCTCACTGGGTAGAAGTTTGCTCTTCAGCCGGGTTGAAGAAATGCGGTGGGTAAAAAGCAAGAGCTAACTTTTTGACTGCGAAATAGACTCCCTTCCGCGCTGCGGAATTCAAGAGCGCCTACGGCCCCAAGTACGTTCGAACTATATCATCTTGACGGTGGAAGATTTTGCGATTTGGGGGAGTGCATGGTTGGAGAGGGGAGGGCTCCTGAGAAAAGCTTTCCGGCTGTGGCAGCTTGTGATAGTTTTGGTATGTGTATGAGCTGACATTCGCAAAAGGTACGCTTTCCAGCCCAACTACCGCGGCATCTCCGTCCAGACTGCCACCCGATAGTAAGTGTCTCTCTTATTTCTTTCTTTCTTCTACTTGGGGAAGTCTGGGGAAAGCTACAAGGAGGTGTCGAACCTTGCATGCGACTGGAGGGGTAATGGTGTGATGAAGAGGTGTGATGGAGAGATGCCCTCAAATCCCATCACATCGCTAAACTTGCTACGGAATATCGCAAAATTCTCGAGACTGCCCGTCTGTTCGACGTTGCATCCGGAATTCAGCTCTTTCGCGCGTATATATAGAGTCTTCCAATTTGCTAACAGGTCGATAGTGGCTTCCGAGCTGCCACCATCGGCGGTGGTCTCGGCGTTGCTCTGATGCTCTTCGCCTCCAGCCTGCCCCGTGTCCGTTCTGACATCCTCGTAGTAAGTGCTTGCTCCTAGCAGGAAGAAGATGTATACTCACAATGGCCTAGAAAATCCCCTTCGTTGGCGGCTTCTGGGAGAAGCAGGAGGTTCACCCTGCCGACAACGTAAGCTCTCCCTTATGAATTTTGCAAAAGCTCGATTACTAATTGTGATAGCCCTTCTAAATGCATTTGCTGGATGGTGTTTGTAAAATTGTAACAAGGCTTTGCGCAGCTTGCCTTTGTATAAGAGATACACAATAGACTTTTCCTAAACCACACCTATCTACCTCTGTAACCATGCTTTGCTTTGTGAAATTGGGTAATCTGATGTATACTACAAATAATTCTTTTCCGTAAAATTGGTTTAGATCTGTTGAGAATCAAGATAATCAGCGTGCTCGTGCTGTACTTCGTCTCTCAGTTGATCCCATTACAGTGCTCTTCGTACTATCCATACTGTCCGCTTCTCGTTCATCTTGACAGCTCATCTCATTTCGACCTCTCTGCCCTTCAACAACACGACACGCCTGAGCCTGTGAAATTTCATACAATAAAATGACACACTCGTTATAATTGCCACCGTTATATCATGCAGATGTGCACTTCTGCCCTTTCTTTCTAATTTTATCTAGCCGGTTGAAGACACTCATCTGCCAGCATGGCTTCAAACGCCCCTGATGCCCTTACCATTGCAGCAAAGTTCCAATTCGCAACATGGGCAGCCGGCGCTGTGCCAGTTGCTGTTATTCTTCATATTCTTCTTTTTAGGGGTAATAGCAGTAGTTCTGGGGGACTGGGCCTTTTATTCACCGTTTTGCTTGCAGCAGCGACGTTTCTCTGGTTGGGCGTGGTTTCTGAAATAGTTCCTGAGCCGTATCTAGTGAGTCTGCAAACGAACAAACACGTCTGTGGCAGTATGCTGATGATGCATAAATAGGATGAAGTATTTCATATTCCTCAGGCTCAGAAATATTGCGAAGGAAAATTCTTAGAATGGGACGATAAAATCACGACCCCTCCAGGACTGTAAGTGGCCGAGCCCTCAATCTTAAATCGAGGGATAACCTCTAACTTGGCTGGTTACGTATAGGTACTGGTTATCAATCTTGATCCCACAAGCAGCAAAAAGCAGCGGCCTCATCTCCTCGTACGCATGTGATCCCAAGACATTGAGAGCCACCAATGCAATCGGCGTCATCGTCCTCAGTTACATCGCCTTGCTATGTCGGAAAGAAATCGAAGCACGTCTGCATCAAGCGCATTCATCCGTCAGCATCAACGCCGTATCTCAATATGCCATGCACACAGCCTTTAATATCGCATTGTTCCCTCTACTCTTCTTCTTTTCGGGTCTTTACTACACGGATGTTATTTCCACCGCTGTTGTGCTTGTGGCATTTCTGAATCATTTGCACCGAGTTGGGCGGGATCACAGCTCGTTCCTAAGCGATATCGTCACTATTAGCCTTGGATTATGGACTCTCACCATGAGGCAGACAAATGTTTTCTGGGTCGTCGTCTTCATGGGAGGGCTAGAAGCTGTGCACTCCGTTAAGAGTCTGCGACCAAAGTCTGTCGCTCAGCCATCTATGACGACGTTATCGGAGCAGTTGTTGTTCTTCATCAAGAGGTGGTCGGTTGGACATGTGCATGACTTGCCACTCCACATGGCATATCCCGAAGGTGAGAGAAAGATATGCTAGATTTTGTACTTGGTCGCTAATTCATTGAACCAGACATGTTATTCACCGCCGTGAGTCTCATAATAGCCGCCCTCTGCAACCCCATCCGAGTTGCAAGGCAAATATGGCCCTATGTCACCGTCTTGGCTGCCTTTGCAGGATTCGTAGCATGGAACGGCGGTGTTGTCCTCGGCGACAAGTCTAACCACGTTGCTACCATCCATCTCCCACAGATGCTCTATATCTGGGCGTTTTTCGGCTTCTTCTCGCTCCCACTCTTCGTCCCATATGTCGTGTTAGGGGTAGATGTCTTGCGAAGTTTCTTCAGATCAGGTTCTACATCTCCGAAGCCAAGCACAGAAACATCAGACACCTCTTCAAACTCGACCTCTCAACCCGCGCCGTCACTCCCGCTGAAATTCATCAGCGCTATCTTCAATAATCGTCTGCTTTGGCCACTATACCTCATCGCAACCTTTATTTTGTCCACCCTCATCGTCCGCTTCAACACCATCATTCACCCATTCACTCTCGCCGACAACCGCCACTACATGTTTTACGTCTTCAGATACACCATCCGCCGCGCACCTTGGATCCGCTACTTTCTCATTCTTCCTTATACACTCAGCCGCTGGTTTGTCTGGGGCACTCTATCCGGCTGTACGAACTGGATCTCTGGTTCTCACAAAGACGATTGCTCAGCGTACTATCACTCATCTCGCCCATCGCCTTTTAGCTGCGACCCATTTATGAAAGCAGAACCCACTCACAAAATCACTAAAGGTGAATCTCAAGACGCGCAAGCACAAACACAGAAAGAATTACAACAGCAATTTCTTCAGGATCCTCTCCTATTCTCAACAGAGCCTGTATCGACATCCACAGGACTCATCTTCCTAATAGCCACCGCCCTGTCACTTATCACAGCACCACTTGTCGAACCCCGCTACTTTATCATTCCTTGGGTCATCTGGAGGCTCCTCGTCCCCGCTTGGCGGTTGCACGATCACCAAACTGCGTCGAATAGTTTGTTTGATGGTGTCACTCCAACGACCATATGGGGCAAGTTTGTGACTTTTTGTCGCTTTTACGATGTGAGACTTATTCTCGAGACGACTTGGTTCATTGCCATTAATCTCGTCACTGGATACATATTCCTCACCAAGCCGTATGTTTGGAAGGCTGAAGATGGAACGATCCTTGACGAAGGAAGACTACAGCGATTCATGTGGTGAATTAAAAGAGAGAAAAATGCATCAATCAAGTGAGGCACTGCCGTTAAGATAGAATATTGTATTGTTAAGAGGTCCTTGAGCAGCCTCATTCTTCTTATGCTAGATAGAATAGAATACGAATGCAAAGTTTCGTTCATCAAAAGATTCCCAACCCGGTTGCCAAAACGCCGCGCCCATGTTCTCAGATCCCAAACCCAAAAGTCCCAAATGAATGCCTTCCCGTCGGCGTTGTTTTGATGTTTTGCAGCCTTGTTGCCCAAATTCCAAAAAGTCGCTCTAATCATGTATATACGTTTTTCTCGTTGCTGGTGGCCAAGCAGGAAGAGGTGAGAAGGAGAGAAAAATAAAAAAAAATCCAAGACCAGCCATTCTTGTCCAAATCTCGAATTTTCAAGTTGATGTGGTAATCACCTATAAACTTAGGCGATCGAGACTTAGGCCATCATTACTCCTTACTCGGCGAATCACGCCAAGCTTGAAGAACTTTTCCTCTCCAGCTGCCGTCCTGCCGCCGATATACCACTTGTCAGCGCCGAGGGCATCGCGAAAGCCTTCACTACTGCTATCGCTGCCTCTTCTGCGCCCGCCGGGAATGGGGATGGCGCCGCCGGGAGATCCGCGCGGCGTGTGGATGGCGACGTTGGTGGATGATGTCGTAGCAGCGTTTGTGGAGATTGCGCGGGCGGTGGAGGCGGTTGAAGAAGCTGCTGCTGCTGCGGCTGTTGTGGAGGCGACGGCAGATGCAGATGCAGCAGCTTGAGAGGTGTGTTTGGTGGCCTGCTGGGTGAGGGAGGGCGCTTGCTGGCGGAAGGAGTTGAAGAAGGAGGAGAGGAAGAAGGGACGTTGTGAGGGCATCGTATTGCTTTGCTTGTCTTCGATGCGAGGGACGTTTGGTGGTGTTACACTCATGTATGTTGTTTTTAGGTTTCGCTTCGTTGGATGCAGGCCGTTGAAGAGTATTATGCGTAGGTAGATTTGGATTATCAGCTGCCTGTGCGCGGGTGCGTGCGTTTGCGTAGGGTTTTGCGAGGGAGAAGGTCCCGAGAGTCCGCCTATGGGGGCGTCCCAGGCGTGCAGATTTATGCGAAGATGCCTGCAGCTGCTCACAGTCTATCGAATGAGGGACGTTCGTCGCGGCTGGGCCGTGATGCGGTGAGGCCTGGCGGTGTTTTTTTTTTGCGGAGCCGGAAGCGCAAGAGTGAGATTGAAGTCGAGAGTGTCGTGTTTCCGGGCGATCGAGAGGGAGGGCCCAAGGGAGACGCAGAGAGTCGCGAGAGAGGGAGAGCAGACGGAGGGCAATCTCGCGATGATGAGAAGAATAAGGAACAAGATTCACTCAGGAGAGATGTCGTGGTTAATGAAGATGAAGCTGAGCCGAGCGCAAGGGCCGTTGGTCCGAAGATGGATTAAAGCAAGGCAAGTTTTACGGTCCGAGAGGTTCTGACGTCGAAGAGTCGGCAAAACTCGGGCAGTCGGGTCAGTACCCAGTACGGGGGAGTGCTAATGGCGGGGCTGCGATAGGCTGGAAATGTGGAAATACAGCACCTGGATGGCCTGGGATGGCCTGGGGCAAGCGTCACGGACCACCTGCAAGTCACACTGTGCATGTACTGGTACAAGGGCCTTGGCGCAAATCCATCGGGCTTTTGTTTTTGGTCCGTGGATTTGGACTCAATGACAGCCCAGATGGAACTGCTACAGTGTCACTCGGGGTTCGTTATCTAGATGGACGCAAGATTCACAAGAGGATGCATCCATGGATATTTATGAGCTGATGTCTGCGGGGAAACGAGGGTTACTAGGTAGTTTTCAGTAACAGCAAGGGCAATAGACAACGTCCAACACCTAACAATAGACTCGAATAATCAGATCGGACCGCCTCTCACAAACGGGGCGTCCGCTCAGCGCGCAACTCGACAGCCCTTGACTAAGAAGTGGCGTGAGTTTTCTGCACCGTCTGTAGGCAACGGCGTGTTTTCTTCCCCGTCTTCTTCATCTAGCAGCATCCCCAAGTCTGGGGTATTAACTCGTGTCAGCCCATGGCGCTTGTGTTGTTGTGCCGTTGGCCGGATTGATTGATTGAGGCATAGTCTCCATCAAGAATGCATCGTCTCCGCATTCATCCCACGAACTGTGGTTGCATTTTGCATTCAAGGTGTCCGGAAACCACTCATCAAGTGATCATACGCAGTGCAGCTGGGTCTCCTTCCGAGTTGTTTTCTTGCCTCTTGTATCATGACAAGGGATCAGTGAGTGGAAGCGAAAGAACAAGGGAGTCATGTGCTCTTCGGAATAGGAAAAGGAGAGAAAGCTTGTTCGCAGCCTCGGGTTAAGGGGAAGAGCCGGACAGTGAGTGCTTGTAACGGAACACACAGTAGTAGGCACGGATCTGAGCCGAAGTTCTTCAAGGAACTACTGCAAGTTTTCTAGACTCATCATCTTTTCTTCGAATCCATGTGCCGTAGATTGATTCAAGGGATGCTTCTTCATGCGCTTCTACCAGGCACCCAGAGCGCACTAACCCGAACCAGGATGCATTTAACGGGGATGCCCGTTCAATCGAAAACGTTTTAGCGCATCGGCTTGCCTCGGTAGGTACGTACCCCGTATTACACGCATCAGCTGTTGCTTGGCGTTTTGACCAAAGAGAGTCAAGCGCGGAGATGGAAGAAGAAGCAGCATATTCTTCAACAAGCACGTGAAAGAGGAACTTGAGCAAACGGCATTATCGATACAATTCAATGAAACAATTCTAACGCTAACAATATCTGTCTAATTTCTATCCATCATGAATCATCGCCATCATTTGCGATTCTATGACAATCTTGTAATGTAACCCATGCTCAGAATGCTCACAATGCAGCCAACCAGCCATTCATTACAGCATCGCGCCGCCATTCACAAGCACCGTCTGGCCCACAACCCATGAGCTATCACCACTAGCCAGGAACTTGATCGTGTTGGCAATTTCCTCAGCCTCGCCCAGTCGGTTGAAGGGACTCCAGCTCTTAATGGCATTGACCAGAGTCTCAGGCTTGCCCTTGTAGAAGAGCTCAGTACCCGTCGGGCCAGGAGCCACGGCGTTGACGATGATGCCCTTGGAAGCCAATCCCTTGGCCATGACACGAGTCATCTGCTCAATGGCACCCTTTGTGGCAGCGTAGAGCAGATACTTGGCCGGCGCCATTGAAAAGTGACAGATTCCCGTAGAGATGAAGATGATGCGAGATCCGGGCGGCATGTGGGGGAGCGCCTTCTGGACCAAAAAGTAAGGGCCCTTGACGTTGAGGTCGAAGCACTTTGCAAAGTCTTCCTCCGTAGTGTCCTCAACGTCACGCATTGGCATGATGCCGGCGCTGGCCACGATTGTGTCGATGCGGCCGAATTTGGCCACGGCTGCGTCAACCAGGCGGCTCAGGTCGTCGATGTTGCCGGCGTCAGCCTGCACGGCAATAGCGCGGTCTGGGCCGAAGGACTCGACCATGGCGTTTGCTGAGGCGGTGTCGCTGAGGTAGTTGATGACAATCCGGGCGCCTTCTTTGTAGAGGCGTTCGGCGGTGGCCTTGCCAATGCCGTTGGAGGCGCCGGTGATGAGAACGACTTTGTCTTGGAGAGACATGATTCAGTCTTTTTTTTAATCTAGTTGAAAGTTTAAACTGTGGCTTGTGAGAGGTGTGATTCGATGTCGGTAGAGTGATTTCAAGTGTTTATTGCTGGTGTTTGTTGATGCTATTGAAGCTGTAAGTGATAGAGATGCTGATGATGAGACAAATTCGACAGCAACACGAACGAAACCGTCCATTATATATTTACATCTTCATCTCCTGACAAATGCAATTGAATCCCACTCGCCTCCATCGTTCCATCGTCGCCGTCCGAAAGAAAAGGAATCAATCCGATGCTGCCCCGAAGCTACGGATTTTTGATGCCAATGGAAATATAAATCCATGGCAGCGAAAATCGAGCCTCTGGCTGGCCCCGCTGCGTCTCCCGGCCGTGGGCATCGGGTATAGAGACACTAAGTGGGAAGTGATAAATCCGATAATGGCGTCACTGGCTCGCTCTTCGCGCAAACCACGGAGGATGGAATGCGCGAAGGCGGTTAATCGTATTACGGAGTTTTCTTTTTCCTTTTTCATTTATATGTCTTATCTTGACTTGTTTTTGATAATCGATTTTTTTCGGAGTGCAACTTTCCCATCATAGGCCAGTGGACGATTGTAATGTGGGAGGGACTCCAAGGCCGAGTTCCGCAGAGCCATGGAGTATCCACAGATGTACTTCATTACCTTTCAGAGGCTTTGACGGGTTCAGTTTACATGAGAGCCTCGCCATTGGGTTAACTTGACTGATGCATTTTTGATATAGCATGGTTGACTCAGACTCTATTGTGCTAATCTGTTTGATCGATGTGTATTTGTAGCTGCATGCAGCTTGGCTTGGTCTTAGTCCTGGTCGCGTGCCACATCGATAGAGAGATTTACGAAAAGCCAAGACTTATTCGCCGGGTTCATGTACATCTAGATCCCCCAAAATTAAAAGATTTCCGTAAAGTAATAAGGGAAATTGATACAATTTGAAATTTTTTTGTTCTACAACTCACTGCAAAGTCATTATGCTGTTTCGTTTGAAATGGTGCAGGGTAGATCTTGCTTGACTACCATATATTCAGACGGATACTTCAAGTGCTATTCTCTACGAAGTACAATCGAAGTACGATCAATCTGCCAAAATGTCAGAAATATCACTCACATGCATGCATCCTCAGCAGTATGCAATAGTACAGGCCCCTCTCTAATACGCTTGCTACCCCGATGCTCTGCCTCTGTCTTTTACCCACATCATGTGCATTTCCACGTTACACGCACATGCTCAGCTGGCCCCTCACTTGACGCACGCCGACATTAAACGCTCCACTCTAACCGCAATGACATGCATCTTGCAGCTTCATCTTTGGGGCACATCCACTGTGTTGTGATGATGCATCTGTAGAGAGCAGAAACAAACAGACAAGCAGAGCATTGAAATATCAACAACCGAGGAGACACAGGGCGCACAGTAATCCAAAACTTAGCCCGGGTAAGCCGCCGCGCAATGATTATTCGATAGCGGAGCAGCAGAGACACGGCTGGGCATAACATCCATCCATGTGTAATCTCACTAATTGGGCCAAGTATAAAACCGACGGGAATCACATGTCCTCAGCTTATTCACTCACTCAGCATCAATCTCAAGTATTTCCAAACAAACAAAGCATCTAAACTTCAAAAAACATCTCAAAATGGCCAGCTGGCAGGCATATGTCGCTTCGTGGATGGTGTGGTGGAGGTTCAAGGGCTCCCTTCAAACCGTCAAGGCCCTTCGCCAGCGCATTGAAACCGATCGCCAAACCAAGAGCACGCGGCCCCCAGCGCATCTGGAAACGCAGTTCACCATCGAGGAGCGCCATCTCGGAGGCTGCACCCTGTATGATGTAGCGCCCAAGTCTGAGATGCCGAACCAGGCACGGATTCTTTACCTCCATGGCGGCTGTAATTTGTTTGAGATTGATGCCGCACATTGGCAGATGGTGGCGGCGCTGGCGGAGCGGCTGCGAGCCGTTGTAACGGTAGCGATATTCCCGCTGGCACCAGAACATACCCTGATGGAGATTTTCGATGCGGTAAGGCCGGTCTATGATGATCTTGCTTTGCCGTCGCAGGATAAGACGCCGTTCTTCGTGGTGGGAGATTCGACGGGCGGCAGCATGGGCATCTCGCTCACCCAGGAGGCGCTCAAATCAGGACGGCCAGCGGCATCTCGACTCGCATTCATGTCTCCCTGCGTCGAATTTACCTTTCATAACCCAGAGGTACGGCAAGCCGCCCAGACAGACCCGTGGCTGGATATCCCGGGCTTTGAGGAGGCGGTGCGGTATCTTTGCCCGGATGTGTCGCCGGATGATGCGCGAGTGAGCCCTCTTTATGGAGATGTTAGCCAGCTGCCGCCGACGATGATATTTGCCGGATCAACGGAGATGTTGACGCCGGATATCAGGAAGTTTGTGGCCAAAGTAAGGGAGCAGGGACGAGAGATTGAGTATGTCGAGGGAGAGGGCATGATGCATGTCTGGCCGTTGGTGCAGTTTCTGCCAGAGGCGAGAGAGGCCGTGGATAAACTGGTGCGCTGGCTAGAGTACGGCAAGAGTTAATAATGAGGCTAAGAGGAGGAGTATCTTGGATTGTTGTGAGGTTGGTGACCAGGGTAAGTAGATGATCAAAGAAGCGGGTTTGGGAATTTGCACTTTTTTATTTTGCATCAGAGGATTTGGTAATGATTTGGATATACCTATATGTACCTAGAATGATCTATAGCCGCGTGGATGTTAGCAGACGAACAGAATAATGCCGTGTTCAATATTGAAATGGACAAGAAAAATCATAATTGGTAATGTCAACATCTATCTTGTAAACGAATCCTGATAAAAACACCTCTCGCTCATACCGGAAGAAAGCATCAACCAATCTATTGACTGACATCCAACTTCATCGCCGCAAAATCCACCGTCCCAACCTCCATCCACATCTTGTTGTCAAACCCATGCGTCTCAAACCTTTCCACCAACGACCTCTCAACACCAGCCCAAAATTGCACTCCATCCGCTTGACACTGCTTACGACCAACATCAATCAGCTTCTTCCACACGTCTTCCTTCTGTAATCGCGGCAGTGCTGGATCAACAAGAAATTCGACAATCATCCAGTGATGGCTATCTTCACCACTCATCACCGTCTTGCGCACTTCTGGCATGGCGACGTGTCGGAAATAATCCACTCGCTCATTTCGCACTGCGTGGTTGGGGCGGAGCTTTTCCAAGATGCTGTCGTGGTGGCGGTAGAATCTCCGGAGGCGCTCTTTTCGCACTCGTGGGTCAGTGATTCTCATTTGAACAACAATGATTGCATCGCATTGAAAGATCAAAAGGAAAAGCAATTCAACTCACTCTCGCGAGGCGAACTTTTGCTTAGGTCTATTCCTGTCGGCGGGGGGTTATCTCCGGGAACCAGCGTTACCCAACCCAATATCTTGGAGTCTTCTTCAAACACATAAACGTAGACGCCCGGCTTGAGTACCAAGTTGCGCACGTATTGAGTCCACCATCTCCTGAAAGCGAATGGATGCTCCCACTTGCCGGGGAAAAAGTACTTGTGAAAGCCGTCTTGCCAGGTCAATTCGACCACGTAGTCCATGACCTTTGGGACATCATCAATTGTCATGAGTCGAATTGCCATGATTGCTTTGTGTGGTGGGTGGTGAAGCGGAAAAGAAAGATTGAGAGCGAGTTCACAACCCCTTTCCGATTGTAATGTGTAGTAATCGCGGGCGGGATCCGCAAAAGGGTCCAGTTACTAGGCGTCTGACCTCAGATTTTATTTCGAAACTAAAGTAACTAACGAGACGCGGTTTGCTTAGCTATGTGTGAATTGAAACCTGTCATATTATTATTTTAACTTCCATGTTGGGACGTGTCAGATGGGGCATGCGAGCTGCGCGGACTTAGAGCTGTAATTTGTAGGGATAGTCCATATGCGTTGGTGCATAACATAATTCGGAGATATTTTTCAACTTTATTTTGTATTTTGCATGATAGCGTATGTTGTAATCTATAAGTAAACTCTACATATATCATTTGTCATGAACACCTTCTAGTTATTGCCCTTCAACTCCAAGTAGTGACCCACGACAGACTGAACTTGCTCCTCAAAGTTCTTGAACTTGAATCCAAAAAGCTTCTCTGCCTTTGTGCTATCCACCTTTGTCTGGAGAGTAACCACCTTCTCAACATGATCCAACTGGAAGATTCCATCGGCAGCCGCCTTAGGGAAGTGCTTCTTAATAATGCGAGCCGCATCGCTCCATTCAAACGACTCAAGAGGCTGCGACGCGGCCAAAAAGTCTTGGCCATCCTCTACCTTGGGATCTAGAGCAAGGACGTGAAGTCGGGCAACATCGTCAAGGTGGACAGAGCCGCCTGGGATGGGAGGTCGCGTTGAACCGAAGAGCGGACCCATGAGCATGTTGTTGGTTCCCTTGACGATTTGCTCGGCGGTGGTGACGGTGTCATCACGTCCCAGAACGAAGACAGGGAAGACGTGATTGACAGAGAATGAAGGCTTTTTCTCTGCAACCCACTCTTTGGTCTTGTTAAAGGCTGTAGCTTTGGAAACGGCGTAGGCCTCGATGTGGCTTGAGAACGGGCCAGAAGCAGTTGTGGTTCGTGTTTCCTCTGTATCATGTTATTATGATGTAATTTATTGAGATACGACATGTGTAGGCATTTCTTCTGTGGTCAAAGGGGGAATATGGCAAATAAACTTACCATTAATGTAGTTGCCTGAGCCCAAGGTCTTTGCATCGACCAAAGAGAGGATAGATCCAGTAATCACAACCTTCTTGACTCCTGTGGTCTTGGCTGCTGATTCAAGGATGCCGACAGTGCCCCGAATAGCGGGCTGGATCATGTAGCTGTCATAGTCGATTCCTGGAGGAGCGTTGCTTGCTAGAGGAGAAGCAACATGCACGACATACTCAACACCCTTGACGGCTTCATCGTAAGCTCCATCGACGGTAATGTCTGGTACAATGACGCTGGTTAATTGCGAGACATATGGAGCAACGGGCTTGAGTTGTGAAATTTTGTCAAAGCCAGCTTGGTTTCGCACAGCGGCGCGGACCTTGTAGCCTGCTTCGAGGAGGAAGACCAAGGTTCGGAAGCCGATCATGCCAGTGGCTCCGGTGATCTATAAATTGTGATCTGTTAGAAATGTATATATATATGAATGGAGCAACAATGATAACTAACAAGAACAAGTTCGCCAGCCATGATGGTTGGGGTCAATATGATGTGATTGAGGCGGTGGATGTGTTCGTTGACTGGATTTTGCGATGGGTTATATAAATTTCACGAAATGAACTTGGATCTGACGCAAAGCCTGATATCGTACTGTTTATGAATTGAAAATTGGAAAGATCTCGATGCTACCTAAAGTATTTATACCAAAAGCCAGCCAAAGGATCGATCCTGATGGCCGGAAACACCGCACTAATTATGCGTAACGCCGTTGTTGGTCCGGGCTGTTGCCCACTTTGTCCATGGGTTTCGTTCCTCCATCTAGCCAGCCCGATAGTCTCATGCTTTGCAAGACAAGGGGAGGGCTGATTTGTCAGGCTGGGTCAACGGTTCGCGCCGTGACATTAGTCTCTCAAATCGAAGATCGTAACCGAACCTCGGAATACGCTCAGTTGCGCCATAGAAACGTGGATTATGAAAGGTCGAGTGGGTGCTTGATCCTACGCAATGCGCTGCGACGGGGATTAGCGGGACAAAGGCAATGAAAATGCCGAACTGTCCGCCAGTGTTCCATGGGAAGCTTCTAAGGATCTTAGTGCCAATGGGGCCGATTAGTATTCGAGTTCGGTGCGGTTTTCTGCGATTAATAATCTGGGTGGATGGTCTTCGAACGGCTTTGGGTTGCTTCGAATGGATATGGCTGATGCTAGTGTCTTGGTGTTAATTGCCTTATTAGGGTAATGGAGCCACCGGGATTCGCTGGCCGTGAGGAATCAATATCTTCAGCTCATCGGTTCGGGATATTCAATATTGTTAGCTGAAGGGTGAATTGTCTTCATCAGGAAATAGGTGTCGGGCGCGTAAAGTCCGGGAGGATTCTCTTCATCCTCTGGTGAATAATGCCGATGATGAACTTTGATGACAGTTGCTTGTATAATACGCATGGCTGCATCACATATAGCCAGCTTTGAGTCAACCATGCTTTTGTAATTATTTGATGCATTATGTACGCATATTTTCTCTTGTCGCTGACTCTTGGATATGGCGCCTTGATTGATCGTGCGGCATGACAATCTTCAGTGTCATTTCGTACGCCTACCAGCCATGATACATTGGGATTGTATCTGGGCAGCCCCTGTTATTATGGTAGAACCAGGTATATGAACTTGTTCAATAGTAAGTTGGTTCCTTTTGAGACGATAATGCATACTTGTGGAAATAGGAAGAGTTATTCGAGTTGCTTGCTCATGACGGTCGACTCGCTCAAGGATGCAATAACCATAGACGGGCTTGGTCAATCACCATCCGATTGACAACTTGTATGAGACAATTACAATTGAACGGAAGAAATTTCTCCCTCACTCATAGTCAATTCAATCAACAAAAGTTTTGTCTATTCTCAAACCCGCGATGCGAATGGTTCACATATGAAGCATCGCATCTACGGCTAAATCGTGTAAGGCGCCTAATGTTTTTGCCGAAGCTTAAAGATGTAGCGAAACGACGATTACCGCAGTACTTACTACCGAATAGTTAGGTCAGAGGTATGTAAGCCAACTATGAATGACCGCATCAGCTTTTAAGCTTCCAACGTTGACGTCAAATTCTATTGTTTTTGCAATTAATTTTCAATTTCCAAGATTACCATTGAATTTGTTCGCCATGTTGGAAGGCTTCAATCACTTCACCATCACAACGCAGGATGAGCCGCATGTCTCAATCTTCGGCATCAGAAGTGGCGATGCATCGTCATCGAAACGGCCGCCGCTGTTACTCCTCCATGGCTTCCCGCAAACGCACCGCATCTGGCACCGCGTGGCAGCACAGGTCAAAGACAAATACAACATTGTAATGATTGACTTGCGCGGATACGGAAATTCGTCCAAACCGGCGGATGTGTCGCAATACGTGAAAAGCCTCATGGCTCTCGATGCCGTGAAGGTGATGGACGAGCTTGGGATAACAGAGCCATTCTTCATTTGCGCTCACGACCGCGGTGCAAGAGTTGCTCACAAATTATGTGTCAATCACCCTGATCGCGTGCGCAAGGCTATATTCCTGGATATATGCCCTACCCTTGCAATGTACTCGGTCAAGGATCCCAACTTTGCAAAGTCTTACTGGCATTGGTTCTTCCTGATTCAAAGGGAGCCACTGCCCGAGACACTCATATCTACAAACGCCCGGCGGTTTGCGGAATTATTCATGGGAGGCCGACAGAAGAGAGGACTTGAAATCTTTGAGAAAGAGAGTCTGGCAGCCTATGTTTCAAATCTCGGGGACCCCGCGACGATACATTCCATGTGTCAGGATTATCGAGCAAGCGCTACACTAGACCTGGACGCAGCGCAGGAAGATGCAAAGGAAGGGAAATTGCTTCAAAACCCATTGAGGGTCATATGGGCTAGGCATGGTGTCATTGGCAAGTGTTTCGATGCTGTACAGGAATGGAAAGCTGCTAGCAATGCCTATGTTGATGGTCATGACGTTGATTCGGGGCATTACATCCCGGAGGACGTACCGGATGAAGTTGTATCTAACATCCTGGACTTTCTACATTAAGCAGCCTATTTTTTCTTTAAGCTGTAAGAAATGAAACTCGTGTCTTTTCTTGAATAATACTTAATGATGTGCACCCGGCTTTTGATCTGTAGGCGAATGTTGAACTGAGAATGAGTTTGCAGAAATGCCCCAGTCTGTCACAGCGGCAGATGATTACCTGAATAGGAATCTGGGGCTTGAGCTGTCAAGCATCCAGCTCAAGCATCCAGCTTGCTATGAACATCAAATGCTGGGCGATAGTTTATGCCGTAAAGCCTATTCATGAGGTCGGCAGAAATTTATGATCAATTCGTTCCAGCGAGATTTAATACGCGGAAGATTGTTGTTCGGGTTCTATTTAAACTCTTCCGAGACATGCACCTCAACTGGCAACAAAATACCCCGCGCTGCAGTCGGCTACTTCTGTATGCGAATCAAACTGCGGAAGAAAGAACAAGCGTGCGTATGCTGATCGGTTGCTACATGATGCAATCTGTTTCTATTTCTCTCATTTCATCCACCATTCATATCCATCACTTTATCATCATTCATTCTCCCATTATTTTCTCTACTTCTATTTTTGCTTGATGAAGAAGTCTTTGGCTACTCTGCTATCCCGTCGTCCTCCACCTGCACCACCCCCAGAAGCAAAGATGGCACCCCGCCAGTCTCTCAAAATCGCCGTCATCCCTGGCGATGGCATCGGAAAAGAGGTGATGGAATTTGGCGTCACGTGTCTTGAAAGCATAGCTTCAATCTACAAGATCAAGCTGGAGTTTGAACATTTCGACTTTGCGAGCTGTGACTATTACAAGGAGCATGGCGCAATGCTGCCCCCCGACTGGAAGGAGAAGCTTCTTCCGTTTGACGCCATCTACTTTGGAGCCGTGGGTATGCCAGATCTCGTTCCGGACGATGTATCCCTATGGGGTAGCTTGATTAAGTTTCGCCGCGAATTTGATCAGTATATCAACCTCCGCCCTTGTCGCCTAATGCCTGGTGTCCCGAGTCCATTGGCGAACCGCAAGCCGGGTGATATTGACTTTTGGATCGTGCGGGAGAACACCGAGGGAGAGTACAGCAGCATTGGAGGAAAGATGTTTGAGGGAACGGACCGTGAGATTGTAATTCAAGAAACGGTCATGTCGAGGACAGGAGTGGATCGCGTACTCAAATATGCCTTTGATCTTGCGCTGAGCCGACCACGCAAGCTGTTGACCAGCGCAACAAAGAGTAATGGTATTAGCATCACCATGCCTTACTGGGACTCCAGGGTTCAGGAGATGTCTACCAAATATCCAGACGTCACCGTCGAAAAATACCACATCGACATCTTGACAGCTCATTTTGTCCAACGGCCCAAGAAATTCGACGTCGTGGTCGGCAGCAACTTGTTTGGCGATATCCTGTCAGATCTCGGCCCAGCATGCACTGGCACCATCGGCATTGCTCCGTCAGCTAACATCAACCCCGACGGCAAGTTCCCAAGCCTCTTCGAGCCAGTCCACGGAAGTGCTCCAGACATTGCGGGAAAAGGCATTGCGAACCCAGTGGGCATGATTTGGGCTGGTCAGATGTTACTGCACCACTTTGAGCATCGCGAGGCGGCGGACGCATTACTTAAAGCAATCGAGGCCGTCATGGCTCGCGCTGATGCAGAGGTTGTTACGCCCGATATGGGTGGCAAGGGGACAACGAAAAAGTTTGGAGACGCCATTAAGGATGAGATTTGGCAGACAGCGATAAAGAACGGCAAGTGGAAACCTTGAACATTGTTGAGACTCAATGTTCGATATGAGTGTGTCCTACATACAAGGTCTAGTGTATAGAGAGCTCTCTTTTAGGATTAGAAATACAGGTACAGGTAAATGGTTCACACGCGCGCATATTAACAATCCATTACTATCTTACATAAATTGATATAAATGATTACATATATCAAATATGCAACTCAGACTCTAGGCTAGACCGAGGCCATGCGGAACAATGCAAATACCAGCATCTTGGGTCTCATCAGATTTAGATCGCAGCCACATCTCACTGTCTCCACGCAATATTCATCGACCTCGGTATTTCCAGCTCTAGTCGACCATTTGTCAGCAACCTAGAAGCTTTTCACCCAAACCGGACCCGCACTTGAGCGGTGATATCTCCCTGCATCTGTCCGCAATATGCCGCAGATCAACTAGCAAACTTGCACTGCAAACGCCCGACCGCTGCCATTACGCACTGAGTACGCATATAGTGTGTTCCTATTCCACCATGGAGCGGCGTTATGAGACTCTGGCAACGACGCCGGCGCCATTCGCCTGTTTGGCATGCCGAGACTCCAAACGGCGATGCGACCGGGCTATTCCTCAGTGCAAAGGCTGTCTCCAGTGAGGCCTCTACTCATCTGATTACATGTTTGATGTACATGCGCTTTTCAAGGGCTCGTTTACTAATCGGCTACACCCTTACAGGAAGCGGATTGTGTGCGACTATCCCTACCGTCGTAAGAAGCGAGAGCGAAAGTCACCATCCACCACCAATGCTGTCGTCTCTCCCACTTCCGGCTTACTTACAGATCAGGCTTCAGCCACAGCTGAGACCTCGCAAGCAAGCCCGGACTATGACAACTTTCATCTTGTGCCCTCTCATTCTGCTGGGGCCAACTTTCTCACTGAGCGCTTCCTTGACCCCGAAGCTTTTACCAGTGCTCAGCTCAAGGTACCGGAGCCGGATATCGACTACCTAATTACGAAGGATGTATCAGACTTGGTCGGCGACGTTGCCAATATCAAGGCGATATCTGATCAATTCTTTTCCTCTGTTCAAGAATGGATGCCAATCGTTTCGAAAACCCAGTTCCTGGCCAACCTGGTTAGCTGGTTGACGCATAAGCGCGCCGAGCTGTTCTTTCTCATCCTCGCCATGAAATTATCCTGCGAGCAAGTTTCGGGACCGAGGACACCGCTTTATCAAATCACAAAGTATTTGCAGTTTCGAATTGAGCATTCGGGAGCTTTGTCCCTCCAGGTGATTCAGGCTTCGGTTCTCATAACCATTTATGAGATGGGACATGGCATTTATCCATCGGCATTCTTGTCTATTTCTGAGTGTGCTCGTTATGCTACGGCCTTGGGGATTGACAAGTCAATTCTATGTCGAGATTTGAACGGAGTCTCGAGGAATGAATTGGAGGAACGTCGTCGAGTGTGGTGGGCAATTCTTGTTTTGGATAGGTACTGTTCTTTTTGTCTTTTCCACACGACATGTTGATACTAACTGTAGTGTCAGATTTCTAAACTTGTCGGACCCAAGTCGCCATCTAGTAACGCCTGACCCAATCTTGGAGAATATCCTCCCGGTTGACGATGCCACATTTAATAATGGAGTGAGTAACACCACACTACACAATGTGCCCATGAATCCAAATTAATGTGATATCTCTAGACCTGTCGGCCTGAAGATGCATATACACTCGGCTCAGCCACGGCACTTGATCTAGGCCGATTTGCTCGTTTCGCACAAGCTGCTCATCTAATCGGCCAGGTTCTACGACACGTTGGCGAAGGATATAGTGAGAGCGAGACGGCACAGCTGAGGCGCACTATATTTTCCCTGGTCAGCGTTTCAAAGCTAGAGGCGCACTTGAGGCAACTGGAATTTTGCGCTCAAACAGCAGTGTGCTATTGGTATGCGTACTTGAACAGATCTATTCACCCTCCCCGCTAACATTTACAAGCGGAATTCTCCTGCTGGACTGTTCTCAGTCCAAAAATAAGGGCAGAGCAGACACATCTGGCATACCACTTGACCAGCTATCGACAGAAAGTAACCTGATTTCTCAAACGGCTTTGCAAATGTCTATGTACATCGCGCAGCAGCCCTTTCAGAAAATTCACGACTTTGCATCCCCATTCCTCTTGCATATGCTGTACAAGGTGGCGCTGATCTATTTGCGCGCTTCAAAATCTACTTCTAGTGATACTATTGCTGATAAGTTGCACGTTATCAAACATGGAATGGAGATTCTCGGACGCCGATGGCAGATCGGTCGTACGTATTGCCGCAGACTTTTTATTTGAGCATGTTCTAACTTGCTGTACAGAGTCGTATCTTTCGTTATTATCACGGCACGAAATCATGCAAGCAATGGAGTAGATGCAAGTGCCACCATTTCCAATCCTCTGCCAAAAAGGCATCGACTATGAACCACAGTAGACTTCTGTGGTGCACATCTACCTTACATGTATCCAGCATCCTTTGCGATCCTGTCCAAAAGTTTGTGGAGCTTGACGGCCTTTTCGAAATCGGAATAGCAATCCTTTTTGAGCGCATATGCCTCAAATAATCTTGCAGTATTGGCTCCAGGTGGAGGAATATTCTTGATATGGCTGGGCTCATCTTGCTCCCAGTCAATCGTTTTTACTTCTCCATCCTTTCCAATAAGACGGAGAGTCCTTGCATTGGACCCCGTCTGATACCCTCTGCCCTTAGTTGTGAGCTCTATCTCTCCTTCAAAGCCGGAAATGAGCCAGCGCAGACCTTGTCCGTCAATCGGTCGTGGAGGTGTGCGCGTGGTGATGCTCACAACAGCGCCACTTTCTAGCGTGCCTTGGATGAAGATGTGATCGGGTGAGGTTCTTTTCCTCTCGGGATTGACGACTTCTCCAGTCTTGCTGCTGATGAGCTTTACGATTGGCTGTTGGACGGCGAAAGTCGATTTGACACTGGCGAAATCACCGAGCACATGGACAAAACCACTCAGGACTTGTGCAGATGCAAGTTAGTTTGAGGATCATCATCGCATGTGAAAAGAGTACTCACAATGGGCAAACGTGATGTGATACTCGTCCCCGCCACTCTCAAAATCCAGGTAAAACTCAGCTTCCGCAGTCCACGTATGGATCGGTCCAGTGGGAGGCGAAATCTGGACGTCGGAACTGGTTACTCTGCCAATCGCTCCGCCCTCAATCAACTCTTTGGCTTTTGCAAGCCATGGGTCTGCGCAGAACTGTGTCCCAACTATGGTCTTCAAGTTAGACTCTCTGGCCAGTTGAAGCATCTCCTCGGCTTGTGCCGTGCTAGCACCTAGAGGCCATTCCACAAAGACTTGCTTCTTGGCCAATAGGGCAGGCTTGGCGGCGAGCAGATGCCTCGAGACCACAATGGACACGTCGATGAGGTCAACATCAGGATCATTGGCTAGGTCCTCTACGCTGCCGTATGCCTTGACCGATGAAGGCAGTTTGTGATATTCGATTGAACGACGAGCTGATTCAACTGACGAGTTGCATATGGCAACGATTTCGTAATGAGGAGAGGGACGGAGGGAGGCCAAGTGAGCGGAAACGCCCCATTTACCTTGACCGGCACCGGCTGGCTCAGGGCTGAGTCCAACGATACCGACACGGATAGGAGCCATTATGTATGTAGCTCAACGTTGAGATCTTGAGGAAATGTGATTGAGAAGGAAAGAAGAGAGGAGATGGGAAAGCCGGATATTCAGTCATTTATACTTCGATCTTATTAGCATTTGACGTACAATCGGGACCGAATCGGCCGGAAATTGACTGGATTATGCTGTAAAATATGAATATTCAGTGAGTATAATGTGTTTTATAGGCTTTAATCAGAGTCGTCGACATGATTCTCATTAGATGCCTCTTACAAAGGAACCAATACGATTGCTTAGAGTTCCGGGACCCGCTCCAACTCCGACCGGAACTCCGGCTGCTAAGAGGCTTTGCTCCACCTGAATCCCGTCGCGGATGGCGATATGTAATATATAAGTTGCTGTATTCATATTTAATATATAAGAGCTGGAATTTATACCAGGTGTACTAAATCCGATCGTATTTTAAAAGCTGTTAATACTCGACTTCGGGATTTCGTCGTACGGCAAATGGGACTACTGTGGCCTGCATTTGCCAAGTCTCACTGCGCGGTAGGGAGTACATAAAAGCTTTGACTAAACTGAGACAGCAGATACTGTGATACTGCCAGATATTGGAATTGATATAGGTCGAATCCATTCTCATACGTAAGATGTTACTTACACTCGATAATTATCAGAAAAACATGCTCTCTAAGTGGTGGCTATAATACACTGTAACACGGGTTATTTCGTTCGGCAATCCTACGCTGAATGAACTCGAACCTACATGTATTCAAAGCTGCGACTGCGGACATAGACAGTTGATTCACGACCCAAGAGAATCTGAAAATGGCCAAAATCATTAACCAACCTCCTTTTATTAGAGCAGATGCGCTTGATGATAGCCGTCTTGAAGATTCTCGCGATCAAGTCCTCAATGCAGATTTTCCAGCCTCACCGCATACCCCGCAGTGTCAGCTCGGCAGCATTGAGTATATTCCAGGAGAACCAGCAGTACCCTTAGCTGAGCTTGAAGACTTTTTGCAAAGGGAAGTTGCTACACTGATTTTGGATGAGCTTTACAACGTGCTGCATATATTCGCAAGAAAGCTTGGCAGCAATATTGATGCGCTTCATGCGCAAAACTTCAAGGGCAGAAGAATTGTACCGGTTGAGAATCCCCGGTTTCATCTCATACGGCAGGAGAAGAACTTTTTCATAAAACCAATACCAGTTTGCTTACTCAACTATGACTTTTGGACGCAATATCTGGCATCGGATTTGCACACTTCAAGAGTTAATATTGCCTGAGTCGGATTCCTATCGGGCAATGGCTCTGGGATTTCTGAGATCATATTCTCATCTTATTCTACATCAATCAGATCTTCGAATCGCAAAAGAGCACGGTCTCATCCCGGAGGATATCACCTGGGCTGGGTGGTCCAAGTTCATTCGTGGGTTTCGCCTTCTTAACAATGAAGACGTAGCAAGACGGTACCACTATGGCCAAATTCGCCTTACGCGCTTGAATTGGGCGATCTTCATCTTTCGGCCCAAGAGCGCAGGCAGCAGGTTACGATTTTACCACGAGTCTCCAAGGTCGGCATTGGCGTTCATTCAGCATGCCGCGGTACCGCTGGCCTTCATATTTGCTAGTGTGTCTCTCATTCTATCTTCGATGCAAGTGATGCTCACTGTGCCCGATGATTCGCTGCTATTTGGGGGAATTGGTAAAGGTGAACTCCGGACGGTGCAGCTGATCTTTTGGTGGTTTTCTATCTTGACATTGCTATTTGCAGCTTTATCCTCTGCGTTACTAGTCTTTATTCCTGTTATCATTTTTATATATCAGATATCTTGGGGTATCTTGAAGTATCGAGGGAAGTAGAGTTGGCAGGCAGGATAATTTTGCTTGACGACTGAATACATGTGTGAGATCGGGAAAGGAATAAACAACCAAGGCCCAGATCGCTAATATTCATTTAGGCCTAGCATGCTAGCAGGGGTTGGGTAGCAAAAAGACGGTATCAACCCAACACAATCAACATCCCCTTATTTTCAACAGCTATTATAGCTATTGCAATGGAGCGCAACAACGTGATAAGTCGTGATAAGACCGATGAAGCTATGAGAGGCGCTATTCTAGCGCTAAAAGCTTCGACAACTTGGTCGTCGTCAGAGATATCAGCTGTCCTAGGCGTGTCGCTCCGCCAGGTTAACCGGATTTACAGCCGGTCCCTCAAAAATGGCTTCGATCCATCAGTCCGGCCGCTACAAATAAATAATTCCTTTGTATCGGACCGGCCGAGGAGTGGAAGGCCCAAAAAACGGACGGAGGAAGTCGAACAAGCTATTGCCGAAAACTACAAGCGCGATAGTCTCAACGGGGAAAAGTCATGTGCTGACATAGCTGCTGAGATAACACAAGCAGGTCATCCTGTCTCGTCTACGACGGTGTGGCATGTGTTGAAAGACGCCGGCCTCCGGAAGTCTAAGCCGATTAAAAAGCGTGGCCCGAGGATGAAGATGAAAGAAAGCACGGCTGAATCAGTGCATAGCCCATACGCATTGGCCCTTGAAAGGCGAGAAGAAGGTGATGAGGTCTAAAGTGCTAGCGATTAATTTTACTGTACCGCGGCGGCGGCTATCGAATCCGTCGTTAAGCAGACGAGAGATGATGAAGGATCTATTCGAAGTTGTGTGCGGAAACGACGGAAAGGATAGGTTGTGAATTCATGTTCTGGGACTGGTTCATACGACCAGAAACTCTCTTGTCATTACTGGAAGCCGGAAACAGTTCATGAGGAAAGGCAGTCCTAGCGAGGAAACACACCAGCAACTGCGGAATAATCCGATCCAGACGGCTGGAGTCTCTACGCTCTCCAAAGCTTACATGAACTTCTCCTGCAATGGTCGCGGCCAGATAGTCTCGGATTGGATTGTATTTCCTATTGAACGCGGCCACGTGGTACGTTTGGCGTCCGTTATCAGCTTGACTCCTTGCATTTTAATCATTGATTCATTTTAATAATATTCAACAATAATAGTAGAGCATGGCTCAAGAATATTAAACGCTTGTGTTGAAACCGCTCAATGCTGCTGGGGGACTGGTTGGCCCACGATGGATACTATGGTGACCACAAAAGCTGGCCGGGTTCATCCCGCTCCATATCTTTCTCGCCGAATGCCTTGGTGCAACATGCGGTTGTGAGCCCACTGGCCAAAGTCTATGCATGTCTTTCATCTCCAATGCCGGTGGCAACTTCTGGGTTACATGGGCCACAATATGTATTACTGTACCTGACAATGCCTTAGTCTATCACTTGTGGACCTCTTGAGATACAGACGGCTCGCACAATAGCATGATGTTATTTTGTGTTCAACACGAAGGCTAGTTGACTATTAAGCTCGGTCACTATGTTCCCATGTCTCTGAAGAGGTCAATTGCCAATTTTTTTCCCCCGTGTCAGTGTCTGCTCTATGTATCATAGAAGTGTGGCGGAGAACTCATCTTCTCAATGAAGGCCGCGAGATGGCCCCAGTCCAGTGTTACATGAGCCATGTGTCCACTCAGTTTCAGCTCGCCACATTTTATGACATGATCGTGCCGTGCATATTTGCGGAACATTGAAACATGAGCTCCATCGCAGTTCCCGTCGATACTACCTCGTCATCACACGCACACCAAAGCTTCAACCCGCCATTGTCATAGATTACTGTGGTCGGCCATTGTATAATCTGGTATGATGCATATTTCCTAACATCTGATATTTCTCAATTGTAGTCAATCACGATTTTTAAACAGCTATCTTGAATGCCGCTGAGCAGCCGACTTCCGAGACAGTTTCGGTGAGACAGTCTGGCCGACAGGTGGGACAGTGTTTGTCAAGTGTTACCAAGGGGTCCCCGTCATGTTGTGGCATTGAACACATTAACAGCAGAGTGCAAACTACCGCGATAAATGTTAAGCATGTGAATGTGACAGGTCTGAAGATCTCAGGACAGGCATACAGTTATGCAAGCCACCGGAAAATGAGAGACCAATGCGACCTTATTAGTCGTCTTGTGGTCTGGCTGGTAAAACAAATGATGTAATTGTATATGGCCCATGCTTATCATGAGAAGCATATATAGTTGGTATATCTCCCGGGTCTTCAGTGTATTCTTGATCAGAACCAACTCTATCAATTTACTCATACCTATCCTCACTCAACTATCTTCATAATGAAGCCTCTTTCATTCTTCAGTGTGCTTCTCGCTGCTTCGGGAATTAATGCTACGGTGACCAATCTTCCCACGAAAGACGTGAAATGCAGTAAGATTTCCAAACAAACAAGTGAAGAATAACACCTTCTTATTTTTCCTAGGTGGTGTCAGCCGCGCCTTCAAGCCTTCGGATATTGAGAACGCTGGAAACGCCGCTATTCAACATAAGGATAGTCCTATTGGTGAGTGGAAGCCCAAAGATTTGTCCCTTGGCGATGATTTAAATCACTAACCTTACTCCCGTAGGAGCTCGAAAATACCCTCATAGATACTATTTTGATCGTCCTGACTGCCCCGGTGACCTCTATGGGTTCCCGCTCAGTTGGACAATTGCCTACACGGGAGGAGACCCTGGACTCGTTAGGGGTATTTTCACCTTCCAAAAGGTTGGAAATACTTGGCAGGCGAGGTAGGCTCGAACAAACCCATAGGTGGCACTATGTGAATACTGCTAACGTTCAAAGATACTGCGGTACTTACGCCCACAAGACGAAGCCTGGCGACAACAACTTTTATATCTGTAACTAAACTAGCTAGCTCCTTTCGGGCTTGCATAGAAGTATTAGTCTCTGCAATGCTGCATTACTGCATTACTGCATATGAATGAATAGTGCTAATTGACTTTTTCTAATCTCCTCTTGTCACTTCCGTGACCATATGTGGTGGGGGAAATATAGAGCGCTACTACGTAATAAATGATTCCAGATGTAGACCCTTCTCTGTGCTCAACATTCAATAAATATTGCCTTCCTTATTCCTTCTTCTCAAATAGCTCCAAAACATTTCTGTTTCCACACGCAGCAGCCGCGTCAATCGCCGTCTGCTGGGCGCCATCCTCCATCATGGGATCGAGCCCTATATCCATAAGCTCCTGAAATCGTTCGACATCCCCGGCCGCAGCGGCATGTAAGAGACCTCGGCCTCGATTATCCCTAGCTAAGAAGTCACCACCTAGAGTTTCCAGCATTGGCTTGACAAGTTCTGGTGAAGGTTTGTCGCTATCGCTGTAAAGCCACTTGTCGGTCTTTGGCAAACTATAGAATGAAAACAATGCCGTCTCCCCACGGTTGTTGCGAGCATTTATATCAATACCTCGACCGACCAAGGTATGAAAGAAGGTGCGTAAAGCTAGATGAGAAATACCATCTCCTAGTATATGCAGCAGAGTTTCTCCCTTCTTGTTGACAACTGTATGATCTGCTCCCGCCGCCAACAGCATCTCTAATTCGTCGGGAGTGTCACGACTGTTGGCACGTCTCGCTGCATAGTGAAATGGAGTATCGCCATTTCCATCCGCTTGGTCCATTAAACTGGGGGCCTTTTCAAGAACATAGGCCAGAGACTTTTGGTACAAGTTAAGATAAGTGTGCTCTCCACCACCAAGCATATAATGAATGACGTTTCGGCCAAAGTTATCTGCCGCCTCCAATTCTGCACCGAGAGACAAAAGTTGTTGAAATGAAGTAACTTGCTCTTCCGGCGCAATCACGTCCCTATTCGAGTCTGATCCGATGATATGATCGGGGCCACCACCGCCAGAATAGCCACCCTTATTGTCGCAGATCGCGTGGAGAAGAGTGCGACCTTTGGCATCTCGATGGTTGACGTCGAGATTTGGAATTTGGAGAAACGAATCCGCTATTATATCTGCACCAAATATTTCATGTAATAGTGTGCATTCTCTATAGCCTTTAGGCACATCAATAGTGGTGATTTGTGTCTCTGAGTGATTAGACTCGTCCTCGGCCCTTTTGTCCCTTTTGAGGAATCTTGCAAACGGATCAGCTCCATGCTGAATGAGTATCTCAATGATTTTCGTTCTGGCGGCGAGTTCTCGATAAAAGTCGAATGACTGACTCCAACTGAAGCTCAAATGCCTGGCGGCAAAATGTAGTGGAAACTCTTTATGTGACTCCTCCACTATAATACCCTTCCTCCTCCTCCTCTCGTCTTCCTCCCTGAGCGGCGCGTCTCCAAGAGAATTTAGGTCTATACCGCTAGACAAGAGCGCTTGCAGAACTTCGGCATTGCCGGAGTCAATAGCGCCAAAAATCGAATCCAGTGTGACAGTTGCTCCATGCTTGACGAGAAGATTGACCATATCGACGTTATGTTGTGCGCACGCAAGACAGCTCTGACCCTGGCCATCAACCGCATTGACATCCGCTCCTCTTTCTATCAGTATCTTGGCTGCGTCCCAGTTAAATGGTCCTAGATAATCGCCGTCTCCTTGAAGCGCCATATGGAGTGGCGTTTGCCCCTTTGCATTACGCATATGAATGTCTGCGCCAGCATCAAGCAGATAAGGCAATGCTTGGTGGATTTGCCACCAGTCGTCGCCTCGTGCAACCCAAAAGAGAGCGGATTCCATGTCAGCATCAGTCTCGTTGATGTTGACTGCAAATTTCTCAACAAGCAATCGCACCATATCCATGTTCGGCAACTCCCTCTGAACGGCGGCAAGAAGAAATGGCCTGAAAGAAGCTGTGGTGTTATCCCTCTTCGAGAAGAACAAGCCCGGCTTTGTCTTGTCGCCAAACGCATGCCATTCTCCCTTTTCTAACTGTGCCTCAGTCTCAATGGATGCTATCTTGTCAACAAGTGATGTGAAGCCAAGTTGGATAAGATGTAACAGGGTGGCGTTCTCGTTTGGTTTGTACTCAGAACCTTGAGTGAATTTGGGAAGAAATGTCGCTCCCAGTCGAACAAGTTCTTCTAAAAGATGATATTCCCTCCGAATCAAAAACCGCGTGACAAAATGCAATGGCACGGATTGACCCTCGTCTCCGGGATGAATAAGGGTTGACGATGTCAAGGCCTGAACCGCCGCTTCTTGCTCATGGCGACGTGCAATTTGAGAGAACTTTGTGAGCTCATCTATCCCTTCTGTAGCGTCCGTGCCGAGAGCGCGCATTAAACAGGCAGCCGTATAATTCCTTTGTTTCACGACAGCTGTGTTGATGATGCCTTCTTTCTGTCTCCCAGGACGATTCACAAGCAAAGAAATATCGGCCCCATGCTCGACAAGCATATCAACATTCTCTTCAAGCCTTGTTGTACTGCCTATACCTATACCTGGAACTGTACTGTGACACTGGCAAGATCCATCGGTACGATATGAATCACGCAGTTTAAGAGGGGCCCTGTATGAATATTCGCCACCATCTTGTTGTGGACGAGGATGCTTCCATAGTTCGCATTCCTCCTCAAACTCAAGACAACCTCGGAAGATGTCTTTGAATTTAGCATCTGCTCCAGCTTCCAGCAGCAGAGACACTGTTTCAGGTCTCCCGGACCTGCAGGCGTAGTAAAGAGGTGTATTGGCGGCTAAATCAGTTATTACTTTCGCATCCACGCCCATTACTGCCCGGCGCTTATTCATTTCTCTGCTCAGAGTTGTACCATCAGCGTTTCCTGACTGTGCATTGTCGGTATCTGGTAGGTCCTGTTGTTGCTTCCTTAGTGCATCTAATAGAAGGCCGACACTGTTGCTGTCTCTGCACCGGGCAGCAAGATGAAGAGGAGTCAGCCCTTCATGAGTAGAAACCAGAGGATTCGCGCCAGCATCAATTAGCTTTTTGGCATACAGCCTCCCGCAAGAAGACACAGCTATGTGTAGAGGAGTGATTCCATCATTATCGGAGACATTGACATTCTTAGTTCGGGAAATGACGAGGTCAATGGGCATGGTTTTCCCCGGCGGCATGCGCAACCAACGATTACTGCATGCGGATAATAAGTGTAGTGGCGTGCGACCGGCATGGTCTCTCTGCTCCAAGTCTAATCCCAGAGCGAGAAGCCTCTCCCAGAGTTCCAATAATCGCGGGCCATCATAAGAGCTGTGGTTTACATCCAGCATGGCAACCGTATGAAGGAGGTTATTTCCGTTATAGTCCACGGCCTTCACGTCAAGTTTTAAACTAATCAGGAAATCAAGCCTTGTCATGGGATTGGCGGCCGTAGGTCTCGACTCGTAGGCATAGGGGCACTTCATGGCGTAGTGGAGAGCTGTTTCGCCACGGAAATTGCGTTGAAATGGTGAAACTCCTCGATCAATAAGATATTTAAGATCTTTATGTGGGTCTTTCTCATTCATAAACAAGAAAACGGAGAGTGATCGAAAGATCAAGTTGTTTCCATCCTTGTCAACCGTGTTGATATCGGCGCCCGCCTCGAGAAGGATATCTAGAATATCCATCCGACTCCCGCTGGACTGGTTCCAAAGCAGTAATGCAGTCATGCCGTCGTGATTTCGTGCATTTGGATCGACTCCTCCAGCAAGTAGAGCTTTGACCATTTCTGGGGTTGGCTTAGGTTGTTGCATAAGAGTATGCAGTGGAGTGTTGCCCATGTTATCGACTGCATTGCAGTTTGGTCCGTATTCCAAGAATCTCAGAGCTGATGGCTCGTGACCATTGAGAATAAGACAATGAAGAATTGTTCGCCCGCATTCTTTTGTAGCATTGATATCAGCATGTCCTTGCTCAACAAGGAGTTCAATAGACGGTATCAAGGGTGCCATTCCTGAACGCATAAAGTGAAGTGGAGTTGCGCCAGTGATATCAGTGGCATTCGCATCAAGTCCAGCCTCTAGTAGCAACTTGATGAGGACTGGACAATGAGCGGCGTTGTGTAATGCTGTTTCACCTAACGGTGTCCGGTAGTGAATGTCAACTCCGGCCTCGACCAAAAGCGAGAATATAACTCGCAATTTGTCGTTATAATATTCACTGTCGTGTCGATTACATATAGCAAAGAGGCAGGTCAGTCTGGCGGGTTCATCCTGCGAATATTTCCATTGCCAAGTCGCATCATCACCGGGATCGCATATAATGCTAACATCTGCTCCAGCCTTCAATAGCATTTCCACCATGACTTCATCAACCGTCTGGCAAGCTCTATAAAGCATTGTCTGGCCATCAATGATTCTGTTGATATCCACGCCCGGTTGTTGACGCAGCAAATCAACGCATTTTAATGATCTCAAACCGGCTGCCCATGCCAAGGCACGGTGCATCAAATCCAAATCGTCTCTTATAAAGGGGAGAAATGCTTCCAGTGCCTTCAAATGGCCATTACAAGCATACTGGAGCGGTGTGTCGCCAATAGATGACGGGGAACGGCTACCCCTAGCCCAAGGATTTTGGAGAGTCTTTTTCGTTGAAGGACTGACTCCGGCTTTCAGTAGCGTTGCTACGGCTGCAGGATGGTCGTGGCTAGCCGCTACATGAAGAGGCCTGCGGCCAGAATAAGTATCAGGTCGATCTGGATCTGCACCGCTTTCTATCAATATCGACATAATTTCCGCATGTCCCTCAGAAGCAGCCCACCAACTAGACATTGTGTTGACGTTAGTAATTTGATGCTAGAAAACTCACCACTATTTTAGTAGTGGTCAGTCTGGAAGGGAGAGAGCCATGGCTTACAGAGGCGTTCTATCGTAGAAATCCGGCACGTTTATGTCGAAGCTTCCAAGTAATTTTTTCACGTATGATACCAGTCCTTTTTTGGCAGCGATATGAAGCTTTGTGACACTTCTAGCGCCCAAGCTGTGTTCTGGCCACCTCATCTTGAGCCATGCCCTCATATTGTTATCGAGTCCAAATAGTTCGTCAAGTTTTGCGTTGATCTCTTTCTGATCCTGACCGGCAGCTTCAGACTTTGCAATATGCTGGTGCCAATTACTGGCCGCATATTCAAAGAATGGGTACTGAAGCCTGACTTCGACTTCCATCTCTTGTACTCTGCGCTTCGTCTTGTAATAGCGACCGCCACGTTCCCATTGGGTGTGTGGCATGTCGGCTATTTCTTCATCCGTTTCAAGGACGACGGAATTCAAGCATCCAGATTTCAAGTACAGAATACACTGCAGGGCAATTTGAGCGTGTGTTGGGCCCATCTGCAGGACAGGATATCCAATGAGCTGGCTCTCGCCCGGTCGTGTAGTACCCTTAAGGTATTCGGTGAAGGAGTGGTGTATTACCGAAACTGTTTCATCAGGTAGTATCTCTAGCAATGGGCCACATGCAGCTCTGATGAGTCCCTTGGTAGCTTTTATATCCCACTTGGAGTCGTTAAACATGCTGATCCTGATCATTTCTGCCAGCTCAAGCAGTCTCAAAGGACGAGTAGCATGAGTGACAGATTGCAAAATGAGATGCTGGATGTTATCCGGCACACCAGATCTTTTTGCATGCTCCTCTAATAGGTCGGTATATAAGGCATTTAAATCTGTTGGGAGCTTCAAGAGAACTGCATTGATATCGACGTTTGGCTCGAGAAACGCATCCATGGCTAGCTTGGCGTAGAGAAACAAACCATTCGCACGGCCTGGGACTGCATCTGCAATCGTTTTCCAATCGCTCTCTGGGATACTGGATTTTGATAGAGCGAAATGGACATAGGTTGAAATGTCCACATCAACCAAAGCTTCCTGTAAACGAATGTGCAAGCAAGGGGTCTTTCTTAGTGGCACTTCTACACTTGACACTGGACGGCTGGTGATCAAGACCTTGACCGTCTTTGGTCGCCACTGGCCAATGTCTCCAAGTGCCTTGAGGAACCCCTCATTGCCGCGATCCATCTCATCAAGTGCATCAGCGACACAGAAGACTTTTCCAGGAAGACTGGCAAAGGCTAGGCGCAAGTGATTCCACATAGTTTCCGGAGATATGCTGTCAAGGGATCGATTCTCTTGTACATACTCTTTCAGTTGCTTCTGTAAAGGTGGGCTATAACTCAATATTTGGTCCATCCAATCTCGTAGTAAAGCTCGAGGCTCATGATTGGCGTCGATGATTTGGCGGAAAAAGAAGTATAACACTGGACAGCCTGGATTCGACTTGGCAATTTCGTTGATTAAATCGGCCGCCATCACCGACTTTCCAGATCCCGGAATGCCCTTGATCCAGAGCAATCCATGCTCGTCGTTTGTCATCCATTCTTGATATTGATTACTTGAAGTGAGCCACTGCCCTGTGCCGGCAACGTGAGACGACAAGTGTCTGCGGTATTCTCCCCCCGCAATGTCGTATGCTGTTGGCTGCAGCCAAGCTCGAATCTTCTCGATGACGTCGGGAAGCTCGGGCAGCAACTGCCCCGGATTATAATCACTGACATCATCTCGGCCAATAAAGACAGTGTCAATGTCTTCTTCACTAGCCTGGCTTCCTAATCCCATGATGTTGGTTTAGAGTTGTAGAGGTGAAGAACCAAGGGCTACCGCGGCAATCGAACCATGCGATCGACTCAACTTCGCGAGGGGGGAAAGTTAGATTGTAGAAGTAGTTGGGTTTGAGTCGAGTTTATGTCCTCCAGGTTGAATGTCGCATGTCTGTTGCTGTGTCTCTAGTATTATATCGTTTACATTGGTGGCTTGGTTGACCGCTAAACGTAAGATCGACAAGGCAGACAAACTAATGTTTCGCTGCCTGATGCATATAATAAGCGCTAAAGCTTTGGCGATTGGATGCAATTATCTGCCTAATGCTTAGCCTAGGACTTCAGGGCTGTGTTTAATTATAGACGTGCATCGAGAAAATAGCTAATCTACGACAAATATCTTCTTGACCCCGCCGATCGTATAACTTTCTTTATGCTCATCAACCGATGGAAGTGAAATGAAGGTGCCATGATCGTTGTGTTATTCATTTCTATCAATGCATGATGGAAGCAAACGGCGATTCAATTGATGCTGCTTCGACTCATAGCATCATCATGCTCACTAGGCTGCCTTGAGCAGAAGCCATTTTTGCCTCATCAAGTGTTGCCACTACACTCAGCTCAGCGCGGCTTTATTGAGTGATGCTTGGCTACGGTCAGCAAGTGTGGGTGGGATAGAAGACGAGGATATCGAAGGAATTGAAGAAGTTAAGAGATTTCTTATAGAGGGTTAAGTCAGTAGTTAAGAAGAAATTGGAACGTTGTTGTGGACATTTAAGTTGCTTTAGAGAGATCCGTGTCAGACAAGATCTGGGCTAGAGTAGTCAGAAAATTAGAGGCTGGACGCTCATGCTGCTCTCTATTCAGTGCGGAGTATGAGCGCTACACGGAGTTGCGGATTAATGGCCCTACAAATCACATATTCTCCGAACCCAGCGCGGGGGTTTGTGCCAGCCGATCTATTGCTTACAGTGTATGCTTAGTAAATCTTGGACGCATTCGAGACCGTATCATGGACTCTAAGAAGGGCATTGTTTGACAAGAAGAGTTGCTTTGAAATCATGCGCTTGGCAAATAGCGTACTAAGACTAAGTTAGGTTACCTGAGACTGGGATCTTAGCGGAAATGTGCTGCAAATGATATGAGATTCGGAATTGTATATTAATCTGAATACTATCCTGATTATTAAATGACCATCCAGCAACATGATGAGCTGAAATGCGAGTAACTCTTGTTTCAATAATGACATCGATGGCTTGATAAAACGTGCATGGAATCAAAAAAATGATTCCAGGTCCCGGTGCATGATTAATGAACACATAAATAAAATCCTATCAAGGTTGGGAACTAACAACTGCCTAGCTATAGAGGTGGCAGTATAAATATCTCTCAAAACCCAGCAGTAGTTTAGAATATTCAGTCTGTCATTCTAACAAAAAAACCTCTATCATATCATTTAGCACGAAACGCACAACTCTACAACTACAGCCATGGCGGAACAAAAAGCAGTGGTGATTACAGGCCGTAGCCAGCGACTTGCCTTGCAAACCAGACCAGTACCGACTCCTGGCCCCAATGAAGTCTTGGTGAAGGTCAACATCGTGGGATGTTCGTATGATGATGCTCCACAGCCTTGCTAGCATGACTGACCTCAATAGTAAATCCTCACGATCAGTATGTTCGTGATTTGGGGTACTTCATTGGCGACAATGTCCCCTCTCCATTTGGAATCGATCTCGTTGGCGTTGTGCATGCTCTTGGCAAAGATGTCGACAAGTTCAAAGTTGGCGATGTGGTGTTTGGTAATGGAGATCCATTCAAGGGAGATTACATGGGCACCCAAGAGTACGCAATCATGGATGTCAGTTTCATGGGTCGGGTTCCCTCCTCAATCACACAGGATGAGGCCGCGACATTACCACTGAATGTACTTACCATGTACATTGCCCTGTTCCATCCATCTACTCACGCTATCCCTTCTCCTTTGACACCAGAAGGGCAGTCATTCGATTACAAGAACACACCCCTAGTTATCGTTGGAGGCGGCTCTAACTGCGGAAAATTTGCTATTCAAATCGCTAAGTGGGCTGGATTTGGTACCATTATCGCCATCGCGGGCAAGGCTAAATCCGATCTTCTTGTTGAACTCGGAGCCACACATGTCATCGACAGAACACTGAGCGACAGTGACATTGAAGCAAAAGTACGAAGCATTGTGGGAGATAACATTTTGCACGTTTGCACCGCAGTCCAGGCAAAAGACCTGACACTAGGTGCCAGCCTTTTGTCAAATAGCAAGAAGGGAATACTGGTTCCTTTAACAGCTGGCGAAGTCGATGACACCAGACTCAGCAAACAGGCAGGATACGAGTTGCGACGCTTCCTCTGCCGCCCACATGAAGATGATAGACGAGAGCTCTCGACAATCTTTTGGAAGTCTTTCCCAGAACTTGTTGAGAAGGGAGTTTTCAAGCCGACTCCATTTCAAGTTGTTAGGGGATTGGATGCCAATAAGATCAACGACATTATTGATGAGTATGGGGCTGGAAAGAATCCAACACGACCGAATGTACATGTTAGCGATATCTAGATAGGCAGCTAAACATAGACAATGAGAAGAGTACATCGCTTCGTTCTCAGCGCCTCAATAGGGTATGTGCTAGACAAGCCAAGCTTGGGGTTCAGAGCACTCAATTTATCGTGAAGAGCCTTCACTTCTCTTCTGACAAAAGAACTCATTGTATGAGCCGACTCCAGCTTCCGCGATGTCATTGGTATAATTAATGTCATATTTGCGAAGCAGCCTTCGGAGGAAACGTTTATCTGCTTGATTGGCTGTGGAATAGATCCAAGACACGAAAAAATGAGTCACTTGTGGTCTTCTGAGATTCAAGTCGAGGGAGTGTTTGACTAACAGGTAAACTTTTACCCCGGAGATGGTGCAGGGTACCTATATTGAGCTTGAGTTACGGGAAGCAGAGACTCAAAGTACCAACGATCCCATCTACAGTTTCTTTGTTAGCAAGGCTGCTTGATGCAAATGATTCAGCTTAAACAATCTACTCAAGACTGGAGAGCAGAGTAGAGGCCTTGCATGTATCTTCGCGGTAAAAATTTCGCAGTGCGATATTGCTCTGATATGTAGCCATGTCGCCATGCACTAACCTCACATACATCATCATAGACATGACAATGGTACACAAGCATTAAGCGAACAAAATAGTATGTATAAATGCGCTAAATAACGCATTACGCTCTATCAAATATGCCATCGCTTGCTGTATTCAATCTTGTAGACCAACGAACAGACGCCGCCGCTTTCATTACCTATGCAAACACAAATGCATTTCCATTCCATTCCTAATGTTTCCCATAAAATCCGTAAACTTTAATACCTGGTATCTCAATCCAAAAAATTATCTTTTAAGCAAAACTCCAAAAAGCCATCTTGTTATATACGCAGGTCCGTAAAATGAACCAACTTTGCTTTTAACAAGTCCCTGTTATGCTTAATATTAATCATCCAGTTTCATCCTAAGCAAACCACTCATCAACCTATCCATGTCGCAAGTCTCCATCGTTTCTTTTACCTGCCTCGTAAATTCATGATTATCCCCAAACAGTATATCGAACCGTGAGTAAACTTGGTTCATCCAAGCACGGCTTTGGTCGCATTCACGCCTGTTGTGGAATTCAGATGCCGTCGAGATGAGAAACTCGCACACCGAAATCCTGTAGCCGCTGCGACTATCGTTGAACTTTTCGACGTCCATATTCTGTAATACGGAGCCTAGGACTCTGAAACAGGCTTCTATGTCTATCTCAAAGAACGTAAAAGCAACACGTTTAGTCAATTCGAACGTCGAGGGCTCCATTGAAGGTTGATGCTTCAAAAGCTGCTCGCTTTCTTCCGCAGTATGTAAAGCTCTCTCAAGTTGGTGGCTCTCGGCTAATATGGTCGCCAAAATGCATCTAGAGCAGATGGCCAGGTGCTCAAGCCTCAGTTGGTCGCACTTCCGTATATAATGAGAGAGTAGATCTTGAAGTAACGCATGGTTGTTGGGATCTTTTGAAAGATCTTTCAGAATGTTGAACATGGTCGTCAGCTCATCGGGTTCACTCTGTGCTAGCAGATCCTCAATCCTCTCATTCGACCTGATACAACGAATAAAAGAATTCTGTAGGAGGAAATGACGCGCCTCCGGACCTCGGTGGTTCTTTAAGAGGCGGAGTGTAAATAGATCTGCCTCTCCATCCCTTCGTGTCCTACGAAGGAAGGCTATGACACGGAGCACATGAGCCACGATCTTGGAGCTGCAAGAGGTGGTACCTCCATGCTTATTGGTCATCCAGTCAAGTATGCAATTAGCATCGCCGATGCGCCTCGTTTTGACAAATAAGGAGGCAAGCATGTGGCCAGCCTCCTGTGTCTTGGGGTGAACTGGCGATAGGTGGTAGTTGTAGCAGGAAAGCGCATCCTTAAGGGTTGACTCTGCCTCTTCGTAGTTACAGGTAACTTCGTCGAACGCTTTCGTAACTTCTTGGACGCGGGAGTGGATTTCCGAAGTCAAATTGATGCGGCACTGCCCTTCGTCAAGGGACCTGCACAGGTCTTCGGTAGTATCGGCACAGGCTCCATCAGTGCCATGTAAGTTCCCGAAGTTGCTGTCATTGTCCGTAATGCCGGAAAACGTTGCTGTCTCATAGGTCGAACCGTCCAGCGTGGGGCAGTCTTTTGCACACCCGGTGTTAGCCTATGCGGAATCGAGCTGTGTTTCAGCCAGAGTACGGGTAAGCTTACCCTCCTGTATAGAAGAGCCTCCTTCGCCGGAAGCTCTGCCCAACGACTTCATGTTCTTTATCCGCTCGATGGGCCACTTTAAGTTACCTATATTCAAACCTAAAAGTGGCCTTCTAGGGTTGAAATCGGTCATCCGCGCGGCTATGTTTTTTGTCATATTCTTGGACCATTTCCACTGTTTGAACTTGTCTTTATACATCTTGTCCCTGGATGTCGGTTAGATTAACCTCTCACGACCAGTATTTTCTTAGGAGTATGCAGAACAAACTCACGTTGCAATAAACTGGTGAATTGTCGTCATTTTCACCATAGTTGCCGCCAAAGTAAGGTTCTTGTGCATATACCACCACTCAATGTTATTCTTATGATACTCCCACTCCTGTGGGGCGGGCGCTCGTGCACGGGGTTTGCGTTGGCGGGGACGTTGTCCCTGGTTTCCCTCGACGACCATGGAGAGAGCAGGGGAAGCATAGCCCACATCTCCGGTTAGTTGGTTGTTAAATCGATCGCCAACTCCGGCAAGAAATCCGGCCATCTCGGCTTGGTGAGCCGTGCCTGGAGGTGGCGGAGGCGGGCCCCCCTCCGTAGGCGCCGCATTGCTCGGGACCGAATATCCATTGCCAAATGGAAGATTTTGCCAACCGGCAAGAGACGTAATCGCGTCGTCTCCAAGAAGCATTTCCGGCGTGAACAGACCAGTGTCTCCACTGGCCTGCGACCCGGCAGCACTGAAATCATTGGGATGGCTGGGATAGTTGGAATGGTTGGAGTGGTCGTGACCTGGGGACTGCCAAGTCATCGCGTATTAGTATTCTCTGAGGCCTACGTTCAAGGCAAAGAATTATCGATGGGGGCGGGCGGTGAAGGGGCGGGGGTTTGGAATGGCTACAACTGCTGGAGCATCTAGAGCAGGAACCTAGGAACGGCCTGGGAGGTCTGGGAGGGTCTGGGAGGGTTTGGGGGATGTTGGGAAGTCTTGGGTAGTCGTGGGAAGTTTGGGGAAGTCGTGGGAGGTTTTTGGGAGGATACCGCAGGACGGCGAAACTACATACAGGCACATGCACTGGGCCGGGAAGCAAGCTTGCGGATTCGTGCAGCGAGCGGCGCAGGGTCTGTAAGTTATGTAAGTTGTACATTATTACAGCTGAGCTCTCGACTACAAGAAGGTTGTTTGGCTGCCATCACCATGGCCCAGAAATCTTCACCAAGAAACAAACAAACAAACCAAATCAAATCGAGGGGAGTAGGGTTGGTGCTATGGCAGAGGGGCGCTGCGGCTCCAAAGAATGGCCCGGACATAAACACAGCGGGCAGGCCGTTCTTAATAAGGTCCGCCATCGCAATACTCCAAGCCCAACAAAGCCCGAGCCAATGTCTGCTAAAAGCCGCAAGACCCACATACATAGTCCTTTATAGCCCTTAAAAAAGGGTCTGAGGAAAAGGCTGGATGTCCATGGTTGGCTGGCCCGCAATGAGCCGCGGAGGGGGAATGGATAACGCCGAGAAACCCCGCCTCTACTTGTGACGTACTTCTATGCCCAACAACTCCCTGCTAGTAATATCACATTTCAGCACCATGTCTGTTATACATCAGGTACTGAAGAGGTACTGTATTGCTGACAAAGAGAGAACAAAAAACTGCGTGCCACGTCGATAAGAAGCTGGAGGGAGGGTAGAGAAAGTGATGAAAACAGTATCGCGACGAATAGGAGTCGGCCGGAATACAGGCTCTTATCCATACTCTTCTCTCTCTGTCTTCTATTTCGTAATCGCCTGTACTAGTAGTTCTCAATATTCGTAGCTTCGTCTCCTCCACCTGGCGTTGCTGTATTTAAACCTTCACCTTTCTCTGTCAAGGTTAATTGATGGCTGAACCTCCTCTTGCAAACCAATCTCAGATAGCCATTGTACATGTACTCTCTCTGCTCCCTGTTATATCTGCAGTCACCTCCTTACCGTCCGGGTTGGAATCTGATTGACCACCTCAGCGATGCACGTGTATCATACGCCTTCGCTTAAGAGCACCTGGGCAGGGCCGTGTTACTCTGTACAGCGCTGCAGAACATTAAGGTCCTGGATGATGCAAACCCATGATTACCTAATGCCTTCTCCCCCTGAAAAAAGGACTACAGCGAAAGGCCCAGCAGAAACAATGCAAGGGGGGACGCGTGTTGGTATTGCTTTGGGTTAGGAGGGTTTCAGGAGCGGGACGGAAAAGGTCTACAAAGTGCTGTGCCAGACTACAAGCAGTGTACACGAAGTAATGCCAGACGGTATCTGTACAGATGCATGTCCACATACTACATAGGTAGGTCTGTGCCCAAAAAGTTTTACAGCTCCCAAAAGGACTTCCAAGATGTGCGGATGACAGGTGTAGAGCTTGGGCAAATGATAAAAAGCTGGCAATGGCCTCTTCCATTAGACAGGCCTCGCGGAATGGCATCAAGGCGAGTTGTCCATCCGAATTCGACTCCGGAATACATGTATCTTGACTACGCTTTTCGCCTATTACAGTACAACGATCAGTACGCTTCTCATCATACCCATCCGCTCTCATATACCTACAGAGGTATTGTAAAGCCATGAGCTCCTCAGTAAGTAGCAGACCTGTATCCTTACCATTCAAATTCCGCGCCCGTGTTTCCAGTTTGCAAGTACCCTAGAAATTGGACGCTAACGATCCATGCCTCTACGTCATCCAGCCTCGCTGCCGCAGCTCTCTCGAGGCGGCTAGTACACAAGCACTGGCCGGATCGGTCCCGGGCGCAGGAAATGATGAGAGCAACAGTCCCCCGCAGAACCCAAGAGAGAATGGAAACAATGGGCCGAGTCCTCTCAAGCGCCCTTTTGCTCTTCAACAATGGCTTGCGGAATCACGGAAGGATGAACCGTTTAATGTTTTGGCTTCGGCTAGGGCCGCCGCCTCGGGCCAGGCCGAGAGCGTGCCGCCACCTTCAGCGGGGGACGCAAGAGGGTCCGTTAAACGCTGATAAACATAAACAACCGAGTGGCTGATCGCTGCCACTTAAGCGTCGTCGTCGCCTCGTTTCCTCTGTGTTTGTATGATAAGAGATTGGTATAGATAGGGATGACTTTGTGTAATAATATTGGATCAATGGAATATAAATGAAAGAATGGCAAGAGGTTAGCCACCACCCATAGCGTGCATAAGCGTCATTTTAGGTGTCGTACTAAAACAAAGGCCCCATAAACCCACATGCAATTACTACATGTAACCTCCAGGGCTGTGCTCCAGAAGGCATGGATGGAAGAACCTCTCAATTTCAGGCAGGTTTCTCAAAATATAGAGGCTGGTAGTTGCATTTAGAAGGTTGACCGCTAGCTATACGATTTCCTCGCTGCTCTAAGAGTATTTTCCAAACTGGAAACCTGTTTGTGTTGTTTGTTTGTTCCTTGAGGCACAGAGCTCCAACTGCTGCAAGTAAAGTGCAGTCACTCCCACAACGGCAAGGCGCAAGTACATTTACACCCTTGTCTGTATATTTCAAGACTACTGGAAAGGGATTCACTCATGTTATTCAGTCATCAGCCCTGTAAATTACGCTGCAGCTCTCCTTGATACAGCGCTGTAGAAACACTCTGCCATCCAGTCCTGCGTCAACCCTCGTGGGTTGTTCAACATGTTTACCTGCAAAGTTCACCGCTTTTGAGACCGGATCAGTTGCCAGAACTCACAGGGTGTTTCCAAGCTTCGTATGACACCCAGGCCTGGAATACCCCAACAGCCAGCCCGAGAATCCCCAGAATAATTGCTATAATGACACCAACGAGCGTTGCCATCATCATATAGCGAGCGCCGCTTTTGCGCTGAAGCCATTTCTCCAGTATACCGCGGGGGCTGGGATCCTCCAGCTCTCTGAATAGATCCACGAGTCGCGCGCCGAAGTAGTTGTAAGATACGACTTCTTCACTTTCCCTTCGATAGACGGCCGAGGCATATTGTAGGCAATCGGGGTCGAGGGATTCCTTGGCTACTAGATCGCGGAGAATCTTCTCCGAGTCTGAATCGAAGGGGAAGAGGATCTTCTGCATTGAATCCAAAGCTTCGAGCGCGATTTGTCTAGGAATATTTCTTCTGAGATAGCGGTGATTAGTGCCCGCCTGTCAAGGCTTACAGTTCTCTTCAGAAGTCGGCTTACGCTGAGATGGAGTTCTCAAAGACTAATGAGTCGTGCAGCGTTTGCGACGCCGCCAAATGCTCCCTTAGGACGCTTGTGTAATGGTAAATCTCCACGACTCCCTTTTTGACGTCCATCCTTAGATGGTTTTGCAGGTCATCAGTCCCTTGAAATCTCAGCCCTGCAACTTTCTTTAGACGCCTGGCTGTTAAGGCCGGTTTTATATCTCTAATCTGGCCCGAGTCATCGTGAACATGGAGATTGCCTGTATCCTTTTGCGGAAACGCTCTTGATAGGAATTCAGCCAGCGACTCATCGAAATGCCACTGGATTGCCTGGGTGCCGAGTTCTAGCAGACTCGAGGGTTGGTTTTCGGCTGAACACTTGACCATGGACATGACTTGTACGGCAAGGTTGAAGGCCCAATGCTGATCACTGGAAGAAGGTGGTTTATCCCGCTTGGAGAGGTATTCATGCGTCAACTCTGAGCGCTTCGTATCGGGATGAGCCTGGAGTAGCCTGATGATATCGAAAACGTCTTCATGGTTGCGCAAGGCCGGGGTGCTGGTAGGCAGCAAATCTGGGACATAGGAAGATGTGACATATTTGTAATAGTCAAAGAAGCGCTTTAACCGAGCTGAGCGCCTCCATGAGCATCCCGAGTTTGTACAGGTCTCGACATTCTGACACGCCTCGCAAATGTTCCAGTTCCAGAGTGCTTGGGCGAGCTTCTGTAGCTCGGCGTCAGTGATGCTCTTGAGCGGGTAGGGACATGCCAGAGAGCCGATCATACTCGGAGTCTGGATGTGACGAGCAGTTTCCTCGAAACGAAAAGGCCCTCGATATGGGCAGGGCAACGCAGTTACATGTATTATTTGGGGGCTGGGAGAGCCTACCTGGCCAATGCTGTGATGAGGTGAATGTAAGGCTTCCCTACGGGCTCAATTGAGAGGATTGTGGCTTAGGAGTTATTGGAGCCCAATCAGAACATTTCGAATGGCTTCGGAGCCCGCTGCTAAGCCTGCACGACGCGAAGGAAAATGTTCCATTGCTATTTCACCTCTTCGCCTATGAGATTTCTTCTTAATGCTTCAAGTTACACGCCATTTTTTATTTTTTTTTACAGCGCCTGTCCCTGCCATGTCGAGTTGGTAACACCACATAGCAGGTGTAACAATGAATAACATCCCCGCATCCACCCAACCCTCCACGACCGACGACCAACAAGATTCAGGATACAGCAGCACCCAATTCCCGTCGCCCAACGGCAAACTAATAGAGTCTGATTGTACACAAATTCCACACCTTAGTACCAACGCCAGCGTCAACGGCAAGGGCCGATCCGTTCCGTCTGCCCCCACGCCCATCGCCGGCTTCTCAGAGTTTGACAAGAGCGTCGACAACGCCACGATCTCCCGCTTCCGCCACGTGCATTCGCTGCTTGAGAAGCCGCTGCTAGAGTATATTCGCAGCACGATTCGCAAGAAACAATGTCCGATTTCCATAAGATTGATGGTCCTGGGCCGCTCCGAAGACGATGCGAAGCCGTGCATTGTCGTGTTGTGTCCGGAGCAGCAATCCAAGAAGGTCAGAAAGTTTTTCGACAAGAAATCCGTCAGAGCTTTGCGCTTGCCCGAAGGCGGTCAACCATCGTTTGAAGTCTTTGTCGTCGGCCGAGAGCCGGAGACGAAACAGGCAGAAGGAGACATTGATGTCCTCATTCCGATCGTTGACGAGAGCGAGGGTTATACAAGCGAGACATATTGCGGAGCGCCCATCGTTATCCGACAGACTTCTGGTGTCGAGAAAAGATGCACTTTCGGCGGTGTCATAAAGGCTTCTTGGTCGAATGGAGAGATTAAGTTGTACGGGCTGACCGTCGGCCACATCCTTCTAGACGACTTGGAGGATGATATGACGGCCAGCACGGAGAGCGACCAGTCCAGGTGTTCCGACGACTGGGTATTCGAGCTTTCGGATTCCGATAGCGAGGACAAATCGTGTGACTCATCTGAGGAAGAGCAAAATGATGAGGCCGAACCACTGCGTGGGATGGATGAACTCCAGTTGACTCTGCCAGGCGCCAGTTCGTCATGGACGGCCGACGAGTTGAGCAAGATAGGTTCCATTTCCAAGGACTCACCGCGATATCAATCCGCAGCGACCGACACAAATTATCATGAGCCAGAGGTTTACTACGACTGGGCTCTTATCGATATGATCAGCTACAAGCCGAACCTCATTCGACCGAGGAGGATGTCACACGATGACGCTCAGGAGGATAGAGTCTTCAACTTCCGGGATCATGAACTCATGATGCCCGTCTTGCCGTCCAGTAGTTATGGCAAGAGACAGCCAGTTGTCCTTGTGAGCGGATCAGAAGGGTTAAGATGGGGATCTCTGTCGGCTCTGCCTTCGAGACTCCTTCTTGGCCCTGGAAGAGGGTTTGTCGACACACTCATCTTAAACCTTGACGGCCATAAGCGTATGTAACCCTCTCCATTTATTCTAGGTTTGGAGTCGATCACCTAAAATGTGAGCAGAAATTCTCGATGGAGATTCAGGATCATGGGTGGTCAACGAGACAACCCTTGAGGTGTACGGCTACGTCGTTGCTGCCGACGCATTTGGCGGAGGCTACGTTATTCCATTAGCTGAAGCATTCCGCAACATCGCAAACACCCTGAGATGTCAATCTGTTGATCTTGCTACGACAGTCGATATGGCAAGTGCCAAACTGGGGCGTATGTTTGACGTAAACGGGGAACCAACAACCATGATGGCACCCAGCATTGCAGACCATTATGTGATGCCTGGCTCATCCATCACCTCTTGCATCTCTACCCCGACTACCAATCTCTCCATTACCTCCTGTGTCTCTACCCCAGCTACTAACTTCTCAATTACCCCCATGCACGATGGCGCTCTAACTCTCATGACTTCTACGGAAGACCACTTCCTGTTCCCTCCTTTTGCTCAGGAGAAGCCATTTTCCCATCCCGAAATTCACTCAGATTGCAACCTCGAGCCTCCCCGGAGCCCCGATGGGGAGGATTCTTACACGGAATGGACTCCTCAGCACGAGAGCTCTGATGGAGGTTCCGACAACACCTCCAGACCTGGAACCCCCTCAGTCACTGAGCACGCCGAAGATGATACCGCCGTTTCGATCAGGCCTTCGCGCCACGTTGACTACTTGTCCCATGACTGGAAGGAGGAGGATATCAGGTCTTCCTGGAGATACATTACAACTCGGCGCGCCGACTTTCCCAATAGCGCCCGATTGGAAAACGCTTCTTGGAGAGCCTGGGTGAAGGTGAAAAATAATCTACGAACCGTTTCGGCCGAAACCATTAACTGGTGTGTATCTGTTTTACCTTGTATTGGGAGTGATAAATGACTGAGACATCACAGGTTCAAGGATAGCGATGTTACTTGGTTGTACGGTCCGTTGCAATCAGAGACCAAGCCCATTCACGATACCCGCGCAGCGCGATCAAGCATCTCACAGTCAAAGACGGACTTGTCTGTCAATCTCAACAAGAAGCCAATCCTCAAGAAGAGGAGCATGTCTCAGGTCACTCTTCAGAGGCCGTTGTCCACTACCTCACTTTTAGATCAAGCCGCAGCCACCATCCAGGCCCAAGAAACACAAGGCATCCCGAGGCCCAGCAACAACAGGCGCGGAGCCGTTGATGATTTCGCCTACCCCTTCTCTTCAAGGAGGATGAGTGTTGATAGCAGCGGCCTGGCATCTCCGACGGAGTCTTCTGGGATTACATCCACTAGTGCTAAGCGGAGGCAGATTCGCTTTAACGAGCAAGTTGAGCAGTGCATTGCTGTTGATGTCAGGGCCGATGACAAGGATGAGATGGAGGCGTGCCCAGATTGCTACGGTGACAATAGCGATTCGGATGATGGTGTTATTCTGAATCGGCTCAGGGTCAAGAAACAAACTGCCAAATCAAAGTCGACGGGGGACAAGACCATTGCCAAACTTCCCTCGACGACCCTTAAGGACCGCAAGGATACGAGGCACCCACGCAGCCCACCCTTGTCTCCGTCGTCTTCGCAAGAGACAATGCTTCCATCAAATCCATCTGCAAGGTTCTTATTTGACGAGGATGACGATGAAGACGCGCTCCTAAGCCCCGGCTAGTTGTCTCTTCCTGATGACAGCAGCAGCAGCAGTAGCAAACCCGTTGGGATGCGCCGGAAATCTTCTGGAATGCTAATACCCCGCGAGGAGGGCCACCCAAACCCCGATGAAGGCCTTTATGGTCAAGTTCTCGACAAGGGCGACACTTCGTGTCACATTGCCCGCGTCCACTGGAAGAGAAATTGAAGCTTTAGGAGCTCTCACCCAATGAAGACCACTCTACTACCTAACGGCTTCTTGGACTCTGATAACCACCGAGTTGCAGATCGGCGCTCTTTGGACGTTGTCGACTCATCCTTTCTCTTGTACAGTAGCTACATGAGCATGTGTAATAACAATGTGATTGCAAAAATGGCAAGAGGCTAACTACCACAACCGTTATCTGCAATATGTCCGAAAGCCCCATATGATTGCACATAGTCATCTTTGGTGGCGCATCAAAAGATACCCAATTGATTCCATAAGGATTGGTGGCGGGTTTCAACTCTCATGTTGACGTACCAGCATAGAAAACTTAACCTTGGCAGCCTCATATGTTTACGTTCATCAAGCTACCTGCAGCCAGGGTAAAACTGTGAATATAGCTAACAATCTGTAACATTAAAAACTATATAGTCTCCGAGGCCGATAACAGCTGCTCACCCACTTCAAAGCACTTATCTGGCTTGTGACTAACTTCATTCTCCTGGTTTGTTCCGCAAAATGTCCTGAATCTCCACCACGCTTGCATAGAGTGGTCGATTTGTTCCGGGGGGATCAACACCAGGGAAGTTACCTGCACCGAGGATCATGAGTCGACTCTTGTCTTTGCTAAAGATGTGGAGGGCACGGCTGTAGGCCTTTGGCTGAGGAGAATTGTGTTCCTCCCATTGATCAGGCTGACCGTTGGCTCGGTTGGTAAAGACGCTCTGATGGTCGGCGTCTGAGACGACGATAGTGCCATTGATGCCACCCTCTGGTGTCCATACCACATATGGACTGCTGCTAGGCTGTACACCGTTGACAACAATAGGGTAACCATAGGCATATCGAAAGTCAAAGGGACTATCCGAGAGCCTGTAATACACTGGATATCCGGCACCAGACCATGAGTCTCCGCCTGGAAATTCATGAACCAGAATCCATTTCCCGAGGGGCGGGATGTAATCGATGACAGTCATTCCAGGGCGATCAGTATACAGCGGGTAAGCGACATCATTTACGACATCGCCCCAATTCTTTAGATCGGTTGAAACTTGGTGAGAAAGCTTTTGCCCGTGCAGGGGATCCCGCTGATCAGAATAAAACACGCCGACTGTGTTGTTTGTTGGGCTGCAGTTGACATTAGTTCCAAGCTTCAGGAGACAATACAGTCACGAGTTGCAAGACTCACAGAATAAACGGCTCCCAAATACAGGGATTTCCATTTTGAGTACTGGGAGCACTTCCCCTAGCCACATTGCTGATAAACTTCCACGTCTCGCCTTTGTCAGTACTTGCGTAAAGATCAATGTTTGTACCATTGGCGCCAGCACTGTTACCACTTGCAAGCACGGTACCAGCTTTGAAGCCTCCAAGGTTAAAGGTGAGCTCAGCCAAGGCAGGCTGAGATCCAAAGCCCAATCCATTGACCTGGTCCGTCAAGTTACTCCGCCATTCCCATGTCGCACCGCCATCCTCACTGGCAAAGATGGGAAAATGTGGAGGGTGATCTCCAGAATATGCTGCGGTTGCAAGAATTGTGCCGTCAGATAGTTCTGTGAGTCGTGGGTAGGAAACACCATGGCTGCTATCTGGCTGGAATATCACATTCTGCTCAAAAGTACTCCATGGCCTGGGCTTCTTGGATTTGTTTGCAAGGGAATCCCCGACACCAAGAGAAAGTATCAGGAACAAAAGTCTGCCACGCATTATGATTGAGTAACCTTGGACTTGAGTAATGAAGTTGGCAAGAACCCTGATGTTTTCTTGCCATTATTGCGAATTATCTCGTCTTTTTATATGCCAAAAGAAAAAAAAAAAGGTTTAGTTAATGTTACAATGACACTCACCGGCTCTGATGGCATGATACTGTAACATCTGCCCGACTACGATCCCTGGATGTCAGATCACTTACCGGAGAGTTTGGATTTAACCGTCCACGTTCTGCTTTTTCTTTGCTTTTTACCCGGCCCGATGTGCCCCAAGATTCGAGAAACAAAGAATTCTGCTTATTAAAAAGGGCGCCCTATTGGTCTAGGCTGGACCGGCATTGATTTCCGGTACCTATACTCCGGAAGTTGAACGATCGTGGGGTGAGTTTGCGGGGAAGTCGCACTGCATGGGGGATGAAATTCACCCATCCCATTTAGCCGTGAAACCCCGGTGTCTGTCATCTGCAAGTATAACTCATCTTGACCAACAATCTGAAGCCATCCGTCATAACTTGCTACTGGCAGCTCATCGTGGGACTTAGTACCCCGCGTCATGGCCAAATAGAGACACAGAGGATGGGGTAGTGGGGGCTAGGTATATGCGATCCAAAGAACGCGAAGATAAAGAGCAGGGGAGCCTTGTCTTTGATGCTACCAAGTTCAATTTTCGGGGAGTTAGAGGCATGGAAGCTAGACCTGACAAATTAAAGAAGGTCGTCCCTGTGCTTAAATGCGGAGAATATGTCTATAGAAAGGGTTAGACTGTATATGAAGTGTACGCTCTAACTGAGATTCAGGGAAAAAAGTAGAAAAAGGACACACCGGCGCTGTCGAAGAGCGACATCGACTGATACAAAGAACAGACGTCATCAAGAAAGCTCGTAGGCATAGAGGCAATCTTGGGAAGGGAAATGAACATAGAGAAAGAGACTCATGAAGGCAAAAGCTTACCCTAAGCTCGATACGAAGATACCTGGCCAAGCCCGTTTTCTGGAACAAGGATTGTATTTCAAAAACTTGCTACTACCCAAACTGTGTAATATATCTAGTAAAGATGAAATTCAATTATATCAAGTTTTGAGAAAGACGTTGAGGGTGATGCTTCCCATGTCAAAGAATAGACAGCTGTTAAAGATGCAGACGATGGCTTAGCCCACGTACCTTAATAAGCTTGCGTCTATGCATGTCAATCAGCAATGAAGCTATGCTCAAGAATTTTGCAATTTATATCTGAGAACTTATGAGGAGTCCTCTTCAATTTGACTGATTTCATTGATGTAATTCGTAATATACACCAATGTAATATTTCCACTTTGCCGTCAGAGGCAATTTCACCTTATAATCTTATACCCCAACTCGGAAATCGCGGTGATTCATCAAACCAAGATTTGCCCACAATTATGGTCAGTTTATAAATTCTGCTTAACCCAATTCGTGCGAATAAGCCCACAGCCTAAGCCTCTGAGTGGTCGGTAAATTAACTTGATCCAACTCGCAAGCCGTCTCTCTTGATATCCCGTCAATCAAGTGTCAATCAAGTGCAGTTTTGCTAATAAGCAATGTGTCAAGAATTGCTCAAACATTAGGAACCATGTCCGATAATCTTTTCCTACATCCGTCTGCTATTCTTAGTGTGCTCTGTCGCTCATGGCTTATTTGGGCCAATTTTATGTATATGTTTGACGTCGCTTAATTCGCTTACTAGCCATCAAGCCGTGTCTGAGCCCTCAAGATCAGGAGATGATCGATGGGGCAGTGGAGGTGCTAAATACAAGTATGTAAGATTCAATAGGTGTTGTCATAATATGGGCAAGGTAGGTTTATCGTCACCTCAATCAATTAATTCGGCAGGGACTAGAACTTCGGACATTTGAACCATAAATACCTAGTTTCCGTTTGGGTAAACTCAGCGATCGAACATTGCTACAATGCAGCATATAACATTTATGTTGAAGAGAATAAGACAATTTTGAACTATCGTATTTCGCTCGGGTATAGGGCTACGAATGTAATAGTTCCGACACATCGGTATTATCATGATTATGGCATGACAAATCACCGACCCAATCACAGCGTGCCGCCAGACAATTGATGTGGTGATCACGGTGATCTCCATAAGACCTAATAGTGGCTCCAGATTTATGTACTAAATAGGAATTTGGGGTATTGAGTTATGGCTGTGCTAATCACAGCCCTATTCAAGTCCTAACATGCTTAAAATAGAACTATTTTCAGCCCAAACTCAGTTTGAAGACGATCGATGAAGATAGGGCCTGCTATATAAACACTACCTATACCAAGCATCATAGCCTTAGCGTTCATCACCAAATTCGCATTCAATCACGACAAATACAACTATATCACCATTTACAAGTTTTCAAACCATTATTTTCAATCTCAAAAGAGCGTCTCAATTGCCACCATGAAGACAGTACTCCCATGGTCGGTCCTCATACAGGCCTATTTGGCCACTTCGAGTCCCCTCTTACCGCGAAGCATAGAGAAAACTCAGTCAGAATCATTGCTTCAAATGAGATCCCCAGCTCCATTCCAGGATCCAAGCCCAAATACTGTCACACCCCACACTATCCGACTTAGCCGCGTTAGTGCTCAATCATCAGCTGCGCGTGAAGCATCGGGGATCCTCTCACGCAGCGACAAGTCCAGTTCATCCATCTTCCAAAAGTTCGCCGGTGGCGTTCTCGCTCCAGTCTTTCAAAACACAGAGATGGTTGGCGAAGTCACACTTGGAAACCAGACTATGAGACTCATTTTCGACACTGGCTCAAGTGATCTCTGGGTAGCGGGTGAAAATTACCAGTGCCTCTCATCAAATTTGACCATACAAAGCAACACCGTTTGCAACTTTACCAACACATTCAAGGGCACATACTCAGGAGGTGAAGTACGCGATCAACATCTTGACGTCAGATATGGTGGCGGTCAGATTGTCATCGGTAGTTTGGGATACGAGTCTGTTTCTGTAGCTGGCATTACTATTCCCGACCTGGAGATTTCTATTGCCGATTCTGTCAATTTCCAAGCTCAGGGACAAGTCGACGGCTTGCTCGGCCTGTCTTATCCTCAAATAACAAGTGCGTTTGCTGGCGCATTTGCTGGCAATGAAACAATCATTACTCAAGACACTCCAAATGCTACACTTCCATACAACAACTTGTTGACCAACATTTTCCGAAAGAACCTTACGGCGCCTTTGTTCAGTATTGCCATGGAGCGTGGCAGCGGCGGAGCTTTTGCCATAGGAGGGCTGCCCTCAGTACCCATCACGCCCAA